GTGAGGAAGGAGGAACAGAAGAGAGATAAAGGGTTATGAAGGGAAAATGGGGGAAGGGCAGAAGGCAAACTAAAGCTATATCTTATTTTTATCTCACTAGAAGTGGTTGCAAATAATAAAACTGATCCTACTTCGACGATATAAAGTTCCCATTTCTGTTATATGAACTGTGTCTGCTGAAACATCAGCATTTCGTCTTTGCTGACTGGCCGAAGTGACAGATTAAACTCCTGTCCGAAGTCGTAGCTGCGGGAAAATGATGTGCCCTGCTTGAAGCACAGCCTCTTACTTAGCCATTGGTTGGTGGCTAGGCAGTATTCAATCTCACACTGCACTGGTGCTTTTTCACTGAACACAATACAATAAGACTGTCAATGCAGTAAAGTCTTGCCCTATTTCCTCATCCTTTTCCCTCGGGTGTAGCCCACCACTTTAAGCAAAAGCACAGCATCAGCCCTGACCGTTCTTGAGTAAACAATTAAACTACTGGGACTGGGAGGTCAGCATAGAGCTCCACTACAGAAATAATAGGAGGTAGAAACGAAAAGTAAAACCAGCTATTAGAGCCTGGGTTGACCTCTGCCTTACTGAATAATTAGTGTACCAGATAATTGCCAAATCTCCACATTCATCTCCTTTTTCGAGTGACCTTCACCATGACCCGCGTATTAACGCATAATGGGTGAGAAAAACTCGAAGGAAACTCAACGCAAACACAAATCAAAAAAGAGGAATCAAATACCAATCATGTAATTCTAGAAAATATTACCTAGCACAGAATCTTTAGATTCCGTCAAAGCCACAATGAGATCGGGCAATAGATACAATTTTGAGGTAACCGTCTTCACTAGCTGAGCTAGGGTGGAAGAATATGGAAAAACAGTGTAGCCACGAACGGTAAGGAGTGTAATTGCAACAACTGGCCGACCGAGATCTTAAAGGCACACCCAAAGTGCTTCAGAGAAGGAAGGACCCTGCAACACAACGTTCCAGGATGACTGAAAAATCAGAAGACAAGAAAGAGAGTTTACTTCAATTGGGACTGACACTGTTTTCAGCACTGGGTGGAAGCGCTGTATGAGACTACTCTTGCCTTTGAATCTCAACAGGCAGAATAACTATGGTCTATATAACCTGCACAGCCTTTACTCAAGATGTAAGAGCAGCATAAACTATTTTTTTGCCTTAATCAGCTCGAATATTATTGCCTATGGGAGAGAAAGGCAACGTTTCACTCGGAGCTTAGAGCAGTATTGTAAGTCAATTTAAAAGGGTAGAGCGAGCAAATGAGGCGAGGCAGTATGCTCCAAAGTAGGATAGGTGAATTCACTTATCACTTTTGCTTTCGGACGGTGATCCAAATGTTTCCGGAGCATCTGCTATCACAACAAATGTCAGAAGAGATTTCGATAGTTGCTCAGCCAAGTGAATACAGTCTGCAAGACAAAAAAAAGTGACTAACATCGAATTCACCGTCATAATAGCATAGAGTGTACGACATTCCCCATGTTGAACTGTACCAAAGGGTACATCAAATAATCCTGTGGGGTTGACAACTCTCGGTACCACAGCATTGATGTTTGCACATTGTCGAACTCTGGTATGGAATTAGGCTGAATAAAAACTGGACTCTTGTGGTGAGAGGATGGAGAATAACTCGGGTCTCGTGCTTTGGAAGTGGTTAGATAGCACGGGCGTAGAGACGTAGGTCAAACACTAACCCCCTTCCAACCCACTGTTACCTCTTCCTGTTCTATATACCAACTAAAATAGTTCAAAGTAATCAGATTCCTTGTACTCAATTTAACCGCTGGGCAACAAGGGAGAAAAAATCTCTACAACTGCAATAAGCTCACTCATTGTAACTGAATTTTATGTTAATTTCGGTCAGTTTTTATATCCGCAGAAAATGGAGATAAAAGAAAAGGACCAATTACTGAATTGGAGGTGTTGACAGGGGTGAAAAAGTACCCCAAGTCATTAAGTCACACTTCTGCTATCCCATAGACCACGCATGGTATAATGAACGGAGAAACAGAAAAGAAATTCTTTCGTATACATTCTTCCGCTAGTAGAGTGAGTAATAGGAGAAGAATGCGAAATAAGGTCATCTAACGTATACATACACGCACGCACATACACACATGGTAAAGAAAGAGGAGGAGGAGGAGGAGGAGGAAGAAGAGGCAGAAGTGAGGATGGAGAAAAAGAGAGGATACTAATGTACACAGACACACGCACACATGGCGATGAAGAGAGTGCGAAGGAAGTGGAGGGATGCATTGATAAGAGACTAGTTGGAGTAACGGTAGCGATGGCAATAGCAGTGATAATCTACTTTCCTTCTTCTTCTTCTTCTTCTTTCTTTCCTTCTTCACATTTTTCCCAACCATTATCAAAATGGACAAAAAGGGCAGCAAGTGATGTCACTTGACACCATACTTAGTCATCTTCACTCAATCCAACATCGTCGCCTTCTTCATTTCCTTTCTCGACTCTGGGAAAGACTATGGCTTCACTGAGGAGAAAAACGCAGCATACGAATCAACTGTAGAGATGGCAAACAAACAAGAACACACGCATACCTAGTCCTCGTGTCTATTGCTGCAAAATAAGTGCATATTTGTTGACACGTGAGCGCACGCGAGACACGTGTCACCTGTCCGATATAAGCGGAAGATAAAGGTTGGGAGAAAATGGATCTTGTCTCATGTGTCAGCAAGGCGTATATCAAGGGAAGGAGAAGGGATGGGAGAGGACAAGAAGAAGGTGAATCACGATTCTTCAAGCGGACCCGCCGTCGATCCTTTGATAGAAGAGAACGTAGGCCTCTGACGATACGGCTTCGGCTTCTCGAATTGGCCTTACTCTACATCAAAAAAGAACAACTCACAAAAGCCTGTCAACACAGAGAAGCAACAAAGAAACATTGTGTGAAGTGGAGGTTGTCGGCATCACCTGTTCCATAGTTTTGAGAAAACTGGCAATATGTTATGGAAGGTATCTCAGTATTACTCTTTTAACTCCCATCCCCACCCCAAATATCGGCAGATTTTTGTGTTCCAAGTCGAGTAAAACAAAGGGGTTAACAACTTCCGGAAAAGGTTGGGTTAAGTTTGAGAGCAAAATAGTTTGCCAAATGCTAGTCTTAGGCTGCTGGACAGAGATTTTGCGGTTCTCAGCAAAAAACGGAGACACCGTGGGCGTTCCACCCATCTGAATAAAATAATTGTGATTAAACAATGAAGACCACCTGATCTAGATTGTAACTATGGTGATCAAGATAGATGAAACGATCATTCAACCGTATCCGATCTGCTCAAATATGTCACTTCAACAGTTCCACTCATCGATTTAGTTTGTCAGCCTTCCAAACCAATGATCTGGGAATCCAGAGTGGTGGACTTATTGCCATTGCTCTTGGACTTCCTAGTATCCTTCCCATTTGCGATGTGTTGAACATTAGATCTGGAATGGAACAATTAATGGATGAGAAAAATAAACTGAGCAACTACTTTAGAAGTGACCTCCGTATGGTGCTTCAGTCACCCATATGCCTCCTCCAATGAGACACGCCATTACAATTCACACCCTTCACACAGCATGCCTTAGGTTGATGGAAGAAAAAAGTCAATTATTACCCACCTCTACATCTATTTATTTATTAATGGACTAGGCTACTCTAGAAATGATTGACTTACTCTGCCACTAAAAAGATTAATCATCTTGCCTGAAGCTCGGAGTGCTACCATTATAAGAACATGGAAGGTAAGTCCGAGGATGAGGTGAGAGGCTACCGTCTGCCTTCCTCTCTCCTCTCCTATTAAAGTATAATGAGAAATAATCTAAACACGATTTTTTTGTTGAGTGGGTTAAGCAGTGATTAAGGGCTCGTGATGATGCACGTTTGAAGCGGGAGGAGTGGTATGAGGATGGCAAGGGCATAACGTCATTCCTTCATTTTGAAATCAAAAAATTTCAATTGAGTGACGCATCGCCATAGAGTACGGATGAAGTGCCCAGCAATGCACATATCACTTTTCACGAAAACTTCCACGACCTGCTATTCTGATGGTGACCCTGATCACCATCGCCCTTATTTCTGGCAGGCTAATCCCAAACCTTCAGTGAGTGTCAACACGCAGAATGTGAACTTATGATGCTCCCTGTTACCACATCCTCAAATCTCGACAACAACCAGTCAGAAGGCCTCATCAGCTCGAAAATTAAGCCAAGCGCCAATCACGTCAATCAGATTCAACTTACGGTTTATGAAATACGTGATTCAAAATGGCAGAACACCAGAGATTGTGGAAGTGTACTATAGGCAAGAGAGTATCATAAATCTGACGCTTTCAATTGTTGGTGAATGTTTAAACAAGTTGTGTCGAAAATTACCCTTAAAATCCCCCTCTTTGCCATACTTCATTCTCCTTTTACAGTAGCTGCTAAAAATGCAAACTTATTTTGGCAGCGAAGTTCAACAACGCCTCGTCGATTTCCATTTTTTGGCCTTAAAAGAGAAATAGCCTTTTGTGTAAAATGAGCAGTCGACCCCTCTAATATTTCCATCCATTTAGTGATGGCCGATAGTAGAAAGTCACATCATCTCAATTCCTCAAGAGGTTGAGTGCCGTTTCAATAACACTTTCAGGACAAACCTCAACTCTCCCCAAGGAAAAGAGCTCAGAAAAAGCCAATAAAAGATGAATTGGATAGCGCTATTTTCCCACATTAATGTCAGTAGCTGATGCAGTAAATCCATCTGCAATGTAAGGTGTGGTAGTGAAGATGGTTCAAAGTTACTCAAGAAAATTCGCTTCCACTAGAAGCTAGAGAAAAGTCAATAGAGCATTAAAAAATTGCATGCATAGGAGTTTATCTATGAGAAAAGGACGTAAAGCTTAATTGGCAAAGATAAAGCTGCTCGATGAGGAGCTTAGAACTGAAACACAAGTTGATAAATGAAGCGCCGTCAAGATGATTATGACAAAGTGGACTCACCTAGTGTCGTTGAATTCAAACCATGTACCGAGTTTGGGATGCAAACAAGAGGCAGTGTAGTGGCCACCGAATACACTTCCACTGTGGTTCGACACCGCGTAGAGACGGTAGGAAGCATTCGTCTCGGGAGCTACAACACAAAGAAACAGAATGGCATGGACGAATGTAGTAAAAAAGTGCTTTTAACCACAGCTGACTACCTCATCCAGAAAAGTGAAAACTGTCAACATCTTATCAGTGCCTTGCCCACACATAAGATGTCAAGTGGACTCTTTATATCTCATTTCTGCATAAAAATACAAGTGACGAGAATTTCTTCACTTTCTCAATCATTAAAAGTTCACTCAGAGCATGACAGTGAAAAAAAGAACACAAATGAGCGCAACAACTAGAAGATGGAACTTTAGCCATTTGCACTCCTGAAGAATGCATTCTGTTAATAAGGAGGAAAAGCAACAAGTAACTTCTTTGAGGCAATCGACTCCAACTTACAACATTGCGCAGCGTAGCGATTGAGGTCGAGGTGTTCGATGGGGTAGTCGATGAATGTGGTGAGCTTGGAGCGCGATCTTTCCCCAGAGAAGCGTTTGAAGTCTATACGAATCGGAGTTTAGGCAAACCACTGCGATTACTGCCTCAACATTGGTTTATCCCACTACCTGTGGAAAATATTCCTCAGCGCAGTAAGAACTATCTTAGAATTTATTTACTAATTGAAAGTGACAGCAGGATTTAAGAGTGCCAACGTTCCCCAGCCAAATTAATTATCGTCGACGTCATTGAAAGACGTTCTTGTGTAAGGGCTACTCCCATCGATTCGGTATTTAAAATAATCCTAAGGGTAGTGAGACAGAGGACACACTGAAGTCCATCTCTCATGGTTTTCCAAATGGAACAACTTTGGTACTGAAATAGCTTATCAGTAGCTCACTGCATCACTCACCTCAAAAACAGGTGATCCATACCATTAAGCCATTTAAAAATCATACGAAATTAAAATAGTTGATGAGGTGGCAAGATTAATGCAAGATGGCAGTCCATCAAGGGCATCAAGTGGTGACTCAATGCACAACCCTATGCTTGCTACTGAAGTAATTCGTAAGCAGTTTAACACTAGCTGAATAAATTAATCCAGAGTCAAACACTGACAACCACACCATATGAGGCTCTATATGAAGGAAAGAGATGTTTAAAATCGGGTGTTGAAAAGGATACGAATCACTAGGATAGTGGGAAAGCGTTGAATGGAGAAACTTTTGCGACACGGTTGTCGGCGTTTGCATCCACTGCAAGTCTACAAAAAGTGAGAAGGAAAAAAGGACTGGGCTTTAGATAATGCATTAAGATGACCAATATTGTGCTGTTATTGAACACATGTATGCACAAAGCATTATTGTTTGCAGTCGCAAGTGAGTGTTCACCAACAAACAGGAAAACACAGACAGACGGATAGACAGGTTGACAAAGACAGGCTGAGCGACAAGTGGTGTGGTTACCGTCTGGTGTAAAAGTAGACCTGATCACGTAGTTTTCAATCTTTTATTCATAAAGTATCCCTCTGAATGCACACAGTGGTGATTTACAAGATGCGGGTGCACTTTTGGTAACCGGACACCCACCAAATAAAGCACAGAGGCAACCAGGAAATAGAATCTAAACTCAGGCTTACTTGAGTCCATGACACGCATACTTTATGAAGATAAATTAGAAACTGGACCTTAATTAGCCAGCAAAACGATAGGTTGGGTGTTAGATTGGATTATAGCAGCGAGCGAAAATACAAGAGAATTACTTGTAAGGAAGATTTGGATATTTTTTATTTCGTCGAAAGTTAGCTAAAGAGTGCAAGGGTGTGAGGTGTAACCAAGACCTCAGACATGCACTTCATTCCACTAAATCATGGCCCCATGCCAGTGCTTCCATCGAGGCGATGAGACATCCTAACCTTTGTACGGATGTACACACGCAAATGACCCTACACGCTGGTGTGTCTACGCATGCACACAGTCGTGCTTAAGTGAGTCTGGAGAGACTAGTGGATGGTGAAGGGGCGAGAAATGCAACAATGATGCGCAGTCTGTACACCTCTGACAGTTTCCGGGTTTGCAATTGCGTGGGCTAGGGACTTTTGGATGATTGGATGGGCGAGGAGAGAGGACGCGCGAGAGCGGCAAAGAGGCAATCCAGCACATGCACCAACTGCCATGCTGCTTATGCTAAGGCCGCTACTTTTACTACCGCTAACATGCGCTTCCGATTGACTGCGATATCCGAACATCGTAACAGTTACTTTCTTATTCAAAAGGTACCGGTAATTTGCTGGCAAATGCGGTGGGTAGACTTGACTGTCTTGTTTAGCCCACAATCTTGACAACACTAAACTCCAAGTTGCAGACTCAAAAAATAACATCCTTTGCTTTAGCTTCATGATCTGATAATATTGGTTTCAAAAGGCAACTATTTCCACATAACAGCTTTTCTTCGTTCCGATGGAAAGGGTGATTGCTTTCACAAAACACCAACTATGAGGATGCATTTGTTGGTGTTTTCACGATTCTTTCTATTCAATGATTTCACACCAATTAACAAAAATTCCCACAACCCGAAGCACGACAATGCGTCAATTGGCAGTGTCAACTCAATGAACTGAGAAGTATTGTTTTTTTACCACCGTTTCATAAACTAACGTCAAATAGTTGCAAATTACAAGGTAGTTCCTTAGAAGCATATGCGATCACATCTGCCAGGGTTGAAAGAGGAAGGCAGTACTTTTCAACAGCTCTCCTAAGCCTAGAGAAAACGCAAAAAATAATGCAAATTTTTCACATGAATAATGAAGGATTGCAGATGAAAAGGAAGGTTAATGGAATGAAAAGTTGTGCTGGCCCCCGATCCCCTTTTAAGATGAATGAAGTCAGCACAGAGTGTAATTTGAAGCCTTGAAAGGGAGGACAGGATTTAACTCCATGAATTATGCTACCAATTTCATTCTGCGTATGGGAGAGAAGCCTCAACATCAGTAGTTGATTGCCCCATATTTGATATCTCGAAAGGTACCGCAGTTTCTTGTAATTAGTGAGCAAGTCATTTCAAACAACATGCTTCCACTAATCATTTAAAGTTCTAAAGACTTTCTGGTAGGAAATAAGTGAAATGAATGTTAGCAGGAGAAACGGTAGATCGCGGTCTGTTGAATTTAATTTTTCTTGCATGCACATGTGCACAGTGTGAGAATTAAATGACATTTTGTCAGAAAAGCGACACAATGGGAGGCAGTGTTGACGGTAATGGCAACAATGAGAATGACAACAACACGCAAAATTATCAGTAAATAAAATACTGCTGTCAAAACACTGTGGTCGGACTCACAGGCAACGCACTAGTGTGTCGATGCACCTGACAAAGGGAAATGCGAATGCGTGGTTGGTAGAGAGAAAGAGGGAGTAGAAACATGCAATTTAGTGAATGACACAGACCAAATGCGGCAAAGTGAAGGAGAGAGAAAATGAAAGAGGGAATGGGGCGAGGACAGGGGTGGATAAAGAAATTGGACCTTCAACTTACTGGTTGTTCAGCACCGTCCAGGATCTCACTAGAGGTGAAGAGATGGAAACAGTTGTGAATGTCCACCTCGCTACCCTGTAATTAAATAAAGCTCCACATTACAAATGAAAGAAGATGCTGCGATATGATGCCCGGTGGATACGTCCGAACTGTTCCACACCTTTCCAAGCCATTAAATAAACAGAAAAGCAGATGAGCAAGCTAGCAGGTGCGTGCATGCCCCACGTGATGTCTGCCATCACAACGGAGGTTGCCCCATCCACCAATTTTGGTATTTATGCCTTTCGCCATTCAACCCCCTCCCCCCCCCGACTTTTGACATTAAAAGAGGGTATTTCCCGTACATCTATAAGTGTGACGCTATGATAAAAGTCGAATAAGTTTTCCAAATGGTATTTTCTTATAAAAAAGGTTGTGCTGCTGCATTGCGTCGTTTTGCTATCTAACTTGGAATTGGGTTGATCAACTAAAATAGCCTCCACTATGACAGTTTGTAGTTGAAATCATAAATGCAAACTGACAACCTGTCATTCACCTTAGGGTACAAAGTCACCGAAATACGCAATCTCATTACTTCTACTTAAAACAAGCACTAAATTCTTAGGGAATGGGTTTGGATTTGATTACTTCAATCAGACGCGTGACTCTTTCAAGCCACCCTCAAACACAAATTGCATAACTTTGTAATTTGCGTGATGTCAAATGCATAACATTAAATTGCTGTTGACGAACGCATTAGAAAAAAACTTCGTTTTCGCAGAACAAGCTGATTCATCACACAGTCAAAAAGATGCTCTTTCGTCTATGGGAAAAGGAGTAGTGAAAGACTGCAAATTTGTGGGCGTTACTTAAACAAATATTTTGTGAAACCGTTCCAAGTACACTTGGATAGCTGGAAGGAAGGATAGAAATGCCACTTTCATTGATACTAGATAGAAGGGATGAGCATCTCCATTAAATTGCTGTTATTATGCATCCTGGCAGCTGTTTTCGATTCATAGTGTGCGACTTGCAAGGATCTGGACTACTGACTGAATTAAGTTGTAACCATTCTGCCTCGGGTGTCCTTTTCATCATGTTGATTTAGTTCAAGAAAATTGTTTACGCACGCATGTGAGGAAGTTTCGCTTGATTTGTTCTACTGTTTTCCTTCACTTTGATCAAATTACAAAACAACAAGGTATGCGACGCGCGACTGTTGCTGCTATATTTTTGGAACACAATTGCAAAGGAGATACGGCTAGGCACAAGGGGAAGATATATGAGCATCCACTATGGTTGCAGAGAATGAGCCAAAAGCCAAGTCACATCCACGGTGGCTGTTGAGAATAATTTGTACTTTTGTTTTAGCCTTTCCAACTTACAAATCACGATGTTGTCCACATAACCTGACAATCCATTCGACAATCAGTTAATTTATTGAAAAAGTCCCATAAGGCTTACATATAACCTCGACGACTGAAAAGTGGCTCAATATAACAGCAAACATAGTGGAAAACTTTATATTTTTATCTTATGTTAATGGAGAAGCAAGGCATATCTTCTAAGCGGCTGGATTGAATGGAGAAGACGCACCATTGGAGCAAAGTGGACCAGAGTAGTTATTCAAGCTGACAAGTTTCCATAATCATTAAAATTTGTACTTCATTTGATAATAGAAAACAACAGTACAATTTTCATGTCAAAAGAACATATGAAAGGAGGTAGACTTTCTAGAGGCTGAAAGGACAGGTACTGTACAATGAGCAAACAAATGCGAACCAACCCGAGGAATAGGAAGACTGAGATCCCAAAAGGGATCGAAAGTGGTCGATTTGTGGCCGCACGACATGCACTCCAACGTACTCATCAACTGACCGAGGAAGAGATCTACAATCGTAAGGAAAAATGCGCAAAGAAAGACGAAAAATTCGAAGCGAAAATCTTACTCATGTCGATGCTCACCAGCAATGATGCTGTCGTCAATTCGCTTGTAGCGCTGCCAGTAAAGTGCTGCCTTCTTCGAGTCTCTGAAAAACGAAATACCAATTTCGACAGTGCGACTCGAGCACCCAACGTCTTGAGACGTTCGCTTTAACCACCTCATAAGCAATAAAAAGCCGAGACACGATAAATACTAAACAGCCAAGACAACACTACAGAGGTAATAAGTTAACATGGAATGGCATTACCATTATTCGGATCATCTTAAAATTTACCAGTAATTCATAGATGTGGTCGCAATTAATGGCCCAGATGAATAGCCTTCATTTCCATAGGTTTATAGATTACTATATCTGTAACCGAGCTTCTCCCACTTGAGCACTGTGGTCAAGGCCTTAAACTAAGCCTGAATTCAGTTTTCCATGTAACTTCCCATTAATGATTGAACACTGTTGCAAGTGCAATGCTACTTTATGAAGTTCAGCCGAAATAGCTCTGCTTTTGACCTTGAAGTCATAAAGTCGATTGGTTACGGAAGCGGTAGGAGTAGTTTCCAAATCAGGCGGCTGGCTGAAAAGTGGTGGGCTATTGACTTTTGAGACAAATACAGAACAGTCTGTGCATGCCAATATGCCTGTGGCCATGTGCGCGTATGTACCCAAGTAGGAATAACTTGGCACCGATGTGATCAATTTGCATTGCGCTACTTGAGCATCATCTCGTATAAAACACACTAAATCCATTGAAACACAGAACTGCCAAAATACCCGATACGAAATTCGCGTTCGGCAAACCCTTCTGTAAACCCTCAGCCCTTGTGGCTAGAGTAGACGAGTGTCAAAACCTGTGCACGTGCCCATGTGCACACGTGACGCTTGCGACCAATCATGACACGTGATGAGGTAACCAATAGGCGTAAAGTGAGGACTTGGAAAACGTATCACCTCAACCCAGGCCAAGGAGCGAGGTTCTAATCGGAATTCGTTTGAAATGCTCCCGAAAAGCTCGGTCGTTAAGATGAACAGTTGGAATCGAAATGCCAGTGCGCTTTATGGCCAACGTGGTGTTGCTCCACTTTTACATCCTTATATTCATGGTTTGGACTAGAGAGTCACGTGATGCGATTCTGTCGATTTTAGTACAACCAAAAACATGCGTACCCATCACCTTGTAAAAAGTTAAATCATTCTGAGTATAGGATGGGAATTGCCCAAATCTAACCAGGAAATTGGACGTAAGAAATGCACTGTGCCTATGTAATGGTCGTTTTGCTACTTTTGTGCCTTTTGATGCTAGTCCCACCTCTGCTAGTGCCTTGTCCGCCGTGATGTTGACCATAAACAGTTTTAAGAGCATCTTCAAGGAATGCTTTATATCGGGTCATGATTTTAAGGACCATGAAGCGACCCACTTTAAGTAAGTAGAGGGTTATTTAAAAACTGTCAATATTCTGTTCAAATTTTATGGTCTTCATCGAAAATACCGATCGAGGAGATATTTTGAGTAATATTAATAAATTGCCGTTTGTGAACACCATGCCAGTCTGAAAAATTTCACCAACTACTACATACATTAAACGACTTGGGTAAGTTGAAGCCAAATAATCTTTTATTGGGTAAAGAGGTGTTAGGTTCAAATTAAGCAGGGCGATTTCAATCAAAATTTAAAGTGATTAGATGATCATACAAAGTTCCCCTCAAAGAATCATAAGCAATCGACTCACGGCATTCGATCCTCCTTGTCGTAGTCAGGAATTTCTGAGGGTGGGCGCTTGGTCACGCGGTTGACATCCTCGTGAAGGCCCTGAACGAGGTAGCGGAGAAATTCCTGAGCATCTTGCTGACTTCAAACAAAAGTGGATGATGAGGACATTGAAAGACGATAAACAAAAAAGGAGAAGTAGAAGGTAAGGCGACCTACGCATAGCCCATGAAACGCGGTGCGAACTTTTGCACTTGTGACCTGAAGCGCTGGGGACTGACATAAGTGATGGTGGAACTAGACGGCGTCCACATCTGTCGCATCAAATCCGCGTAGGCTGTAAATTGGAAGCGTGTACACAGTTATGTGGTATTGTCTTACAATTTTACGGACAAAAACGGGGTTGCCATTTTATCAGGCTACGCTCTCGCAGACAGGACTCTTGTGACACTCACGCAAGCCAGAACATAGGGCATGTGATCACCTTTAACCAAAAAAAGTGCTTAATAAAAGGTAATACGATTCGCGTTTTTGGAGTTGGCGGGAGAACGCATATTAGAATATATAATATTAGGAACAAAACCGTTTCTGAAAAAAAATGCTAAACAAATGTCAGAATTGAAGATCTTCAAACTGTTTCTGTAACTGCTCTGAGTGGTGAAAACATTGCAATGCCTCGTCCACGGAAGAGCCTATGGATGAGGTAGCCACTAATAGGATTAAAGGAGAAGCAAAAGAACCCGTTTTGCCTCGAGCAAAAAGAAATAACTCCGTTTGGTAAAGTACACCTCTAAGTGGGTCGCTGAAATGACCTCAAACCAGTTGATGCGGGATTATCTACGTAACTTTAAATAAGGCATTAATGCCCTCAGCTCAAGGCTATTGCAGGTGACCTCAGTGAAGAAGCATTCCTTTCAACTTGATGGAGCACTGAACAGGATCTGTGACATTGCTATTTAAACACAAGGGATAAAGGATCAACCCACTGCATTATTACTCCAGCAAAGCAGAATTGTAACTGAGAGAGACAGAGGAAGTGTGAGTGCACGGGAGTGAGCACTGGAGTCACGTTTTTGCAAAAAAAAAAAACAGTTTCAATTTCATTCCAACTTTTTTACTAGGATCTACATTTTCATCACGCATTTCGAGAGCTGCATTTTAAAATAAGGATTTTGGCGACCGCTCACACCGACAACAGTTATAAAAGCTTGTGATTTTCACATTTGCAAAATGTGATCTATTGTTTTCCGGTTGATTCGTTAAATTATTTAAGGAAACATTTAAGGTAGAACATAAATATAGCAGAGTTTTTAGGCCTAACCTCCTACATCCTTTCCGAAATGTGAAGTAAAGAGATGGTTGGGGAAAAGGTTACAAAGTGTGCGTTCCATAAACACAAACATCCCCACTTAATCGAGACATCAAATCAATACAAGTGACAAGGGACAGCGGTAACATTTCATATTCCCCAAGTTAGTAAAAATGGACCAGTCGCTAATCGCTTTTTTACGGCTATGACAGAGATGGAGAGGCAAGTCAAACGCTGCAGGGAACCCATCTACGGAGTTGCTTTTCAAGTTACTGGACATGAGATTGCATACTTTCAGAACTTGCATCTAAGGCATACTGTCAGGGCGTATCGCCACCTCAACCTAAAACATAAGTTCCCAGTTTTGGCACACAAGCAGTTGAAAACATTGTTCCACTAAAAAGGTGATCACCAACTTTCTAGACACTTTTAAATGCTATCAAATTACGTTCAGATGGTTGAAATTAATAGGAAGGAGTTAGAAGGCAATTCAGCAGACGAAAGAGTGCATTTATATTATCATCCACGCCACTATTTGAGCTTCCTTTCTTCAAAGGAGAACACTGAAAGTGGAACTAGAGGAATGTAAAAAAAGTAAGGTTGGTGCAATAGGATCTATGTGAGGCGATCACCATACCGCTTGCTCAGAAAACACAGTGTTTGCATGTGAAGTCAGGTCGTGAGTGCGCGTGTGTACGCATATGAAATGAGAATGAGAGCACGGAAGAATGGAGGTGTGAGGAATCAGAAAGGTGGAGCGAAAATCACTCACATACCTGTAAAGAGATTGCCCTTCATGCTGCTATTAACGTTCAACTCGGACTGATAGACGTAGTCCAAACAGACGTGAAGCAGATCCCGAGTATTGCTGAGGCATTGGATAACAGAATTCATGAAACACTGGAGAAGAAGAAACCCCAAATCACAACAATATACGAGATTCGCCGGGTTCTAGGTTCCATACGTCTTGAGAGTTAAGAGAAATCAGGAAACAATTGTAAAGAGGGTCCCATTAATGTGAGAAAGCCAATCCTTCAGGAGTGATAAAGCATGAAATTGCGAAAGGTTCGCTTCCTACTAAACAGTTGTTGAAATACTACAATTACATGGTTTTAGCAAAAGTTATTTATATCGAACTTCATAGGTTGCGCCCATAAAAGACGACAACTTCGCAGAAATCACATTTTGGCAAGAGTGGCTCTGAATCGAAAGGGAAGGGACCTTACCGATGGTGAATTGAAAGAGTCGCTTCATAATCTCATTTTCATCCAAATTCATGTCCACTAATGCGCATCCTATGAACTGATGACAGGTGGAGGACAAATGATGGCACAACTTGCTCCACTTATGCATTTCGTTACGACAAACCATAAGAGCAAGCAAATTTTGGCTTCACAATTTAGATTAACCTTTTAATAGGGGCCCAAATACTCTCAAAATTTAAAAAGAACAATCGCTGTTACAAGTTCACGCCAAAAAGAAGTCGAGAAAACATAACTTGAAGGTCTTCCATTTCGCTTTAACTACGGATGAATTCAAGTATTTCCAATAAATAAAACTTATTTAGACATAAACAACAACAGACATCGTTGAGACATTGAAGATATTTCTGTACATACTGTGCTTATGATTATTACTTATTGTACCATAGAGCTTGAAATCGGTGAGTTTACCGGAGTAAGTGGCCAAATTATTATGAGAATAGAGTGTTCGATAGCCTGTGAAAAATGGTAGATAGCTCTCCATTTAATCAAGTGCCAAAATCCTACCGTATTTCCAAGGTTGCTGAGTCCAACTAAACCAGCCGTAGAAGTGGGAGAAACCGAAGAGAAGTTGGCGCCAACAGCGTTGGAGGAGGAAGATATGGAGGCAGCAGAGGAGGTAGTGGTGTTGACGGCACGACCACCATGGAGACCAGAGGACTTACGTCTGTAGGCATCAGAGGAAGTGGAGGCGGAGGAGGTTGGAGAGGTTGTGTTGTTAACGTTGGCGTCAGCAGGCGAGGTGCTACGACCGCTACTCGAACGCGAAACGGGCTGCGTTTCTACAGTCACTGACACTGCTCTGCCACCCCGGGTATCCGATATGTCGCGATCAGCCGGCACCACTGTTGTTGTAGTTTTCACTTTTGGTATTTTCTCATTTCCAGACTCCACATCCACTCGATGCACCCGCCGTGGGCAAAGCTCAGCTGTGAAACAGTGTCACGAACTATTTTTTCGTATTTTTTTTGCGTAATTGCATTGCACCTTGGCTATTTTGCAATGCAAAAAACTAGGAGCCCAGACTTCTAGCAGATATGCAATTATTTACTTATGAGTAATACGAATGCATCGATCAAAAATCCTTGCCCTTCGAGTGGTAAGTCAGAATTGGAATTGATAGGAGCAAATCCATATACCCCAACCGTTCAATCTCGCCACCCCATTCTGCACAAAACCAATCCCAAATGCAGTTAAACTTCCTTGAAATTTGAAACCAACACCAATACGGATTACTGGTAAAGCAGCGCAACACATTTCGGAAAAAGTTATTTTTATGGTTTATTTCCTCACCCTCTACCCATAACAAGGATTCGCAACATAATTCAACCTATTTCATAAGAGAGGCTCCTAGCAATGCGATCTTCGTTAGAACTACTGCTATTAGTATGCGACGATTTATCTACGGAATGTAGCATTCTTCTAGAGTGGAAAAGTAAAGAGTACTCTACTTTTGAAACACTGCTTATAAAACATACATTAAGGAAACACGAAAAGTTACTGGATTTTAAATACTAGCCCATTAAAAGTTTTGTTAAGGAGGGAACTTCTTACCTCTATCTTCAATGCGTTCGTTTACCCTTTGAGTGTTGCGACCTGAAGCGGAAAGATGAAAGGTTGATAAGATTTGTCTTTCAATTCACATTCCTTAAACAGAGGGATCACAACGTCGTTCTACAAATGATAAATATATTAAGTAATGAATTAAGCTTTGCACAAAATCCTCTTCCAGGATAGATAGGACCTTAAGTACTCAGAACAGTGCCAATAAGTGGATAGCGATTGGTTTGGTTGAAATGAATCAGAAGGTGCATGAATAGGTCACAGAGTATAAAAAGTACAAAGTAGTACGTCAGTGCGGGAAGTCGACCCAATCCCCAAGGAGCATCTCTCATCTCCCTTTGCCCTTGGGCAGCCAAATTCATTACATCTGCATCAAATTACTTCATCCGCCTCCTTCTTCTTTCTTTGATTAAATTATAAAAAGACGGAAAATGTATTCTTTCAAAAAAATACACGCCAGTCAAAGTTTAACAAAGAAACGTGAAAAAACTAACAGAATAAATTGAGGCATGCCAAAGGAGGTAGGGGAAAGAACACAAACATTTATCTAACCTGGTCCAAAATATTGATTTCGGTGCAACTTTAAGTATGGAATGCGACGAAGTAGTCAAAGTGTGACTCGCCCCATTCATCAAGCTAGTGAACCAAATGCATTTCCATTTCTTTCCCTGCTACTAGCATAACTAAAACTAGCTCATAAAGCAAATTAAGAGATAATCAGCCTAACAATAAAGTCCAACATCAGAAGGGCAGAGGACGTGTTGGAGAAAGGGACTTTCTGAAGGAAAAAAAGTAGAAATAAAGAGGCGAAGTTAAAGAGAAAAGGCTTCATGATGAAAGAAAGACCATTGGCATGCCCGTAATATAAAGGAGGTATGAAGAGCAGAAAAAACAAGAAATTCAAATGTTGTACTATGAAGCAGAGATGAAATCGTCAAATCGTTAATAAAGTAGTAAGTGTGAGTAAGCACGCATAGCTAATACCGCAATTCCAATGAACACATGAGAATTTGAGTCGTTTGGTGAAGTAGCTCACATGGGAAACTTGTGTTCTACATAAAATGGCAGCCTTTAAATGTATGCAGTGTGGCCAAAACTACGCATTCTTTTAATTGCCACGTTACCACCGATCTCAAGGTCCGATTTTACCAATTTCTCACCCCTGAAACTAAAAGGATAGCACTGAGTCGGGATGAAACTCGACTCCATTGGAAAACTGGAAGATCAGTGAAAAGATGGTGAACTATTTCGCGTTCAACAGCTCTGACATCTACCTAATTCCTATCTAGCGTTGGCCTTTTATCATGAAAAGTTCCAGCCTACCTAAAGGATAGGGCGATGATCGAAAGTCTGCGTCAATACCACTGAGATCAGATGACGGACGCACAGACAAATGGGAGAAGTTTTTTGCCACTTCGTAGTTTGCACGCTTGATAGGTGACTCAGTCCGCCGTAGCAATTGGGATGACGATAGGTTGCAAGAATGGTTGCAATGGTGGTTGTTTGAGTAATCGGCAAAATAATTGTTAAACGACCTGGGCTCATTGTAGGGAAAAGTATGAGGCGCATGAGGTGGTAGCGAAGGAGTGAACTTGGAGAGGGAACTGGAGCGGGGCAGAGAGGCACCGAAAGATGTTAAGGCGGCGCGTTCGGTAGTGCGATAGCGGGAGCCGGATGCGGAAGCTGATGATGGAGGTAAGAATGGAGAGCGACTGGACATCGCACTAGCTGGAGAATAGCAGTACGACGAGCCACGGTAGGAAATGGGGTGGCGATGCAGCAGAGCCGAAGATTGGCAACAGCCGCTTGAAACCGGGAAATTCAAGTCATTTCGATGAACTGGAGGGAAAGAGGAACGAAAGGGGTCTACAGAGACGGCGCGACAGCGAACAGACGGGCGTGCAGAATAATCTTTTGACGCCTCAGGATAGCCCGTCTGACGACGTGAATGGTAGGAAGAAGAGGAGTTCATTCGCCGGCTTTGGCGAAGTTACTGTAGTAATGAAATAGCAGCAAGAATACGAACCCGTGAATATTTTGGTAAACTACGTGATGAGTAGGTAAATGCTTTTCTATCAAAAATATTTAATGAATCAAACTTAATAACAGTTAACACTTAGTGATTAAATATAGTAGAAAAAAGAGTTCGAGAGTAAAAAAATAATGTAGTTTGTAGACGCTTGCAAAATGTGACTTAGTACATATACATACTAGAGCATAAATGACAGCTGATCGTTTGCCCTCTACTGAAGTCCACCCTCAATGCAACGATCTCAAATGATTCGAGCATGCTCACCTCACGGATTGGGTGGTTAACTAAGCTAAAAGGCGTAGAAGCTTCTTTTAACAGACTTGGGGAACCTTTGGAAGGGAATAGAGATTGAAATGCGGAGGAACAGCGTGTCACGCAGATAGAGTTTTAAAAGATTATATTTAAGTCATGAAACAGTGTAAGGTGCATTACTATCAGAAAGGCCTATCATTGACATTGGCGATAGTGAGAACTCAAGCATCTCTATTGGAAGGTTTGAAACAAATCGGGTTCCTTAAAAATTTCTGAATAGGAGAATCGAATTGCATACCTCTTTAGATGATAAAATGGAAGCATACATCAATAAAGAATGTCAACCAAGGAGAAAACCCCGTGCTATTCGGTGATAATTCAAGGATCAAAGGAGTGGCACTATAAATAGCCAATTAAGGTAAGCATTCAGGCAAAAAACGCATTTGAAGAAGGCTCTAAATCAAAGAAATTTTCATAAAATTAACCACTGCCTTCCAACCTCATTATGCTATGACGGAACCTCAGGCTGAACTTGTACAGGCAAGGATTTATTAGTTCATTAGTACCATCGTCTTCACACTGTATACATGCCAACTCAAAAATGCATACCTCAGTGCTGACACAAAAGGCGGAAGAAAATACGCATGCCTTCCATTTTCAGAGAGAAAAGCGATGCAGTTGTGGTAAAAAATGTCTGAACAATTTGATAAAATTAAAGCAGAGAATGAACAATGATGATAGCTTCACTAAAGATCTGCAAAAACTAAATTGTGGGCTTTTATGGTGGTATGTATATGAGAGGAGATTCCTCATGCAAATAAATGGGAGGCTATGGATACACATATGGCATTGCTGTGCTACCAGATGCGATTCTTTCAAGTTGAATGGAAAAATAAAACATTATTAATGCAAGATACTGGAACACCAACAGATTAAAACGAATAAATAAATTCGGCAAATTCCTACTTAAGTTAAAATAGCGGTCCATTGGAAGGAGAAGCAAGACAAAATTTAAGAAAAATTTACGCTACTGCCGCCCAGTATTCAAACACTTGCTGAAAGTCACCATATGAACTAGAAATCACGAACCAACTTCATTTATACCATTTATAATCCCATTATCAAGTAAAAGCAATATCCAATGGCATAAATTTATAGCTCCGACTACCAGTCGGAAAGACTACCCCCGCAATAAAGAGCAATGTACTTAGAAATGAACACTTGTTCCGATCAAGGCAAACAAAGCATTACGATGCCTATTGATCATTGCATTTATTTGTGCTGTTAATAAGATGGAACCTAACTACGAATAAGACGATAATAGTGTCAAATCATAGCATTTGCCACTCGAGAAGCCCATTGTCCAGACAGACAACAAAATAACTCGAGAGCTTCACCAACTCCACTAGACGAAACACTCATTACAAATGCATTAATGATTCATTTAGGAGGAAATTCATGAACTGCAAGATCTGCATTTGGACAGTGAGAGTTTCAAGCGGTGTAGTCTAGAGGCTTGTAAGAAATGTGATCAGATAACGATAATAAATTCTGACCACCAACACGCAAAAAAAGCTAGCAAGTCCTAATATGAAAACGTAAAGGATTTGAACTACAGAAGTTTGGGGGAAATCCGGTGGGTATTAGGGACGTTTAAGTTGATGAAAGACCAAAGGCGGATTCTTTCAAAATAACTGGACTAGACTAAGATGATGATAAATGCACAAATCAGACAACCGAGATGAAATAACAAGGCGCAACGATTCGAGAACATTAGATAACTATGAAAGATATCCAACTATTATAAAAACAAAAGGCAGTAGAATAAAACAATGGATTACAAAAGTCATTGGTGAAGCATTACCTATGCAGGAGCTACAGATAAACTTAAAGGGATTGTATAAGGAATTGCCTCACGGAGTACCACTTACACGAGAGCAATTAGCAAAATACGCGCAAATCATTGTACAATCGGAATATTACAATGAAAAACTCGCACAATCAAGAATACAAATATATCAGATGAAAAATTCCCTACAAATAACCAAAGGATATGTTTAGAAAGTATGGAAGTCTGTATCAAAAAAGAGCGTTTAACACTTCAAAAGAAGTCAGTGTCGATCTCGTAGAAATTCCTAAGGATTTCATGCAAGTCATTAAAAAAGGATAGGTGAAAATAGGTTTAAGGGAAGAAATAGGTCGCATTAGGCCACCACAACGTTAGAGGCGTTTAAATGAAATAATATAAATCCTCATAAAAACACGAAGACTATCGACTAGCGGTGTCAGAACGCGCAAATAAAATTACAATAACAGTGGTGATCCAAAACTATACCCCTCGAATTAACAAGCCTGATTTTAGACAAATGAAAAACTCCAGAATTCTACTCTTACTGAGCATTGGATAAGTATTGCCAAAGTCAAATAGCTGCTCCCAATAGCTATAACAACTGTTAATTAAAACAATTCTTAAAAGTTAATAAATGTTTTATTTGAAGGAAAATAAAATTTATGACACATATCAAATTTAAATTTAAGCAGGTTATATAGCTTGGATTTCTAGCGGAGCGCGTCTTCTAATCATAGTGAAAACATGTTGGGTGCCTTGAGGAACCCTCCGCGAGTTGTTACTGTTAGAGGTATGTTAAGCCGGCACGTAACATCCGCGTTTAGTTAACAAAGCATCTGGCCTACGAAATGTCTATGCTGAAGCAAAGAAACGTAAGTATTGTGCTGTAATTTTGATGCTTTACAGATCGAAAGGATAACTGCAAATGGAAGGTCAAAATCAAGGGAGGCAAAAAGACAATGGAGTCATACACCATAAATGATCAAAATGGTAATCCAACGTGGGATTTTGAGGCTACCTTGTGAGTTGGGGAACATAAATAACGCTTTCTTAGTGAAATTGTGGATGTTAGTCAACCTGTGGTTATAAAAGTTACTGACTCCGATGACCACCATGTTGGTCAGGTTGTTATACCGCTAGTTCAAATTCCTCCTCGCCCGTCTGGGCCTTCTGCGAAGCCAGCAACACCAGCCAATCTTCGAGTTGCTGAATTGGAACCAACCAAAAAGGTTTCGGAAGTATATGGGTCTCTCTATTACTGGATATGGGCAGAATCTTATTACGACGGTGTTGGTCCTGAAAAAAGTTCAAAAGCCTCACTTGTTAGTTCTGATCGGATTCATCGTAGTGCTTCCAGAATATCTTCGTAAGTTTTTGCACTCGTTAGCAATTTCTTCCTTATTTGAGCTCAATTGAGTTGACCATCTCATTTAGGCACCTTCATCGGCATCGAGATAACGATGATAGGTCCTCAATGGCCGGAAGCTCATTAAGCATGTACTCTACTGCTAGTGGGAAGAAGAAACACTGGTACCAAAAGAATCCCATCAAGCATATCCACGATAGACACAGTAGCGGTGCATCACATCTGGGCAGTAAGCATGGTAGCGAACTTGGTTATAGCATGTCCCAGTCAATGAGCTCCCTATTTCCTGCTGAGCATGGTAATTAGGTTCCTTTCCTTAAACATACTTTTTCTGTCAATTTGATGGCTTACTGAATTTCAACGTTGCAGATGGTAGCATTCTTGGTGGTCGGTCGGGCAATGGGAGTGACATTTCTGCAGGTAGCAATGCTGTATCCGCAGATTTGGATCCCAAAATCCCGAAGGCTGGTGCGAATTTATTTTGCCCAAGCTTACGCGATAGTTGAACTTCCTTGGCTAAGTATTGAAGCATTTTCTTTTTTCAGAAAATCCATTTCCACGAGTTGGAAGTAATAATCGTATGGTTAGACCTCCTTTATCCAGCAAAGTGGGCAATAATCCAGAAACGGTTCCGAAACGACCAATTATCCCCTCTGAGCGTCCGAAGCGGCGTAGCGAACAGGTGGCTTCTTTGAACCCGACAGAAAAGGCGCCTTCCTCGGCTTCTTCGGATGAGGGTGACGATGTTCGAACTCAACCACATTTGGCAACTCCACTTTCGACTCAAGAACCACCAAGTCTTCTCTCCATCTCTCCGTCCACAGGATCACCAAATTGTAGGTTTAAACGTCCCTAAGAACAAAATGTCCTATCTAATCTTGGTTCTCTATCTAGCTGAGACAGAAGTCCATGTTTTTGGCAAGAATCTGAGTGACTCAACAATGCGTCACGCTGTCCTTCTTGTTGATGATTACACCGTCGCTAACTATAAGTGGAGCGTTAGCGAAGGGTCGTGGACCGAGGAACCACGTGCGACTCACAGGCTAACTCTGAAAGTTCCTCCCAAGAAGGATACTTCAGGTAGTGATGAAGTTTGGATTGATGTGGAGACAATGAGCCATGGTCGATTGCGATGTCCCACACCTTTTGTCTATCAAGTGGTCAAAAAACTTCCAGAAGGTGAGCTATTAATCACCAAGCTTTCTTTTCAAACTGTTAGTTTTTATCGTCACTTGTGCTCTTTTCCGCTTAGAGAAGGAACTGCCATCAAATCTCCCAGGAGCGGGTTTTATTCGTAACTCTAGTATCCGCCTTTCTGATAATCGTAATAGACGCAGTGTCAGGAAACCAGCAGAACGTAAGCATGACAAGTTATTTCACTTGTTGACTGCAACTATCAACTGGTGTTCACACTTGGTATTGCTAGAGCAACACTCATTTTTGGTCAGAGAGGTTCAGCTTAGCGCACAGTACTTTGTCCAAGCATCAATAACCAGAAGTACAGCCCTCTTTTATATAGATGAATGTATTAATGAATCTAACGTTGCCTGTTTCCATAAGTATGCCTTCCATTAACTTCAGCTACGCCATTGAAAGCAATCAGCCCTCAGACAAGCGAGAAGAGTGGGGTTGTTCGAAATTCCAGTATCCGACTCTCGGACACAAGAGGGCATCATAGTATGCGAGGTGCTAAACCATCGCCAACTCTGCCATCTTTCAACGAGCTTCCAATTAGTGCTGGAAATCGATCTTCTGGTCTTGGATCCGAAGATTCTTTCAGCGAAGCAACTGTCCCAGGTGCTCCAGTTTATTCAGTAGATGGTAGGATTAGTACCTCGGTTTGAATACCTTGTTTTTTTTTAAATTCAGTTTTTAAACTGAGTTTAAAGGAAAACTCAGGTTTATCCTTGCTAACATCCAAAGAGGGGTTAACTAGGTTGAGTTTTAGGCATGATTAAATAAATTTTGAGAAAAAAATAGCCTTTGGTTCGCTAATGCACCCTGACATAACGTTAGCGTACTCAACAATGAAGGTTTTGAGTGAAGTGGGCGAATAACTCAGTGAATAATAGTTTGAAAATCACAGACGGTTGTGTAATAATGCAACCCAACTATAAATACAGTGTATTGATGTCCTTGAGCATATGCTAGTGGCGTCATTTGTGATTTTTATTGTAGATATTCTGACAAAAGGGGGGAATTTTAAATAAGTGTGCTTTGCTAGTTATTGGCATTCCTCATAAGGCACTGCATGCTCTTTCCTATTTAATGTACAAAATGCATGATTGGTTCATCTACATCAGTAAAATTACTGGTGGTTTAACATCATGCCGAGTTATTGTTAAAATTCCTTAATTCCAATCTTGTCAAGCTATATGCTTAAAACTTTGTACGTCTGTGTTAATTCGAGTTGCAAAGCTAACTTATTTTCATACCTGATGGACGCATTTTTGTAAGCTTTATTGGTTGAGCACTTGGAAAAGGTCAAAGTCAATATGAGGGTGATGTCGATGACAGTGAATAAGTACCAAAGGGTTTTCAACTACGTTTAGCAGCTCTTATCTGCTAGATTTGTGTAATTCTGGCATATCATGCAATAAAGGTTATCAATGTTGACTGAGATAGGTAAACAAGGGGACGTCTTATCGCACAATTTATGATATCCCATCCCTATCAGACGCATATGGCCTTCCTTTTGTTGTATTCAGGACCAATCTTTGAATTTTACGTTCTTTGTGGCATTTCAGTTCTGCTTGTCTGTTTACTCCAGCAGTAAATAATCACGTGCTCACGTCACGCAAGAGTTTTGAAGTCCTCTAACCCATGTAAACTAATGCCCACCTTATTAACTCCAAGTTGCGGAGTGACAAATTACAAGGCATGACGGTGAATCACATTTGCTGTCATTCTTGTCCTAAGCATTGTTACTCTTTGGTAATACGATAGTGATTTTGTGTCAATACCTGCTGAGGCCACAACCACTTTGGTAAAGGTTTATTCTATTATACAACTTCAAAGTAGTCGGTTTACAATGAGATCTGGTGCATTAGTGATAATTAATCATTCATCAACATCTGAGGCATAACTTCTCAGCGGTAATCCCTTTTATGTTTAAATTTCACCTCGGTTACCACATTAGCTATAAATGAAAGGCAATGTCAAAGGAAGCCCATAGGGCCGCTTGTGAACATTTCTCACAAGGGATTAATGTTCCCACTAAGAGTTTCTTGACCTCTACCCTTGAGAATCCCTATTTGTAGTCTTCTCTGAATTATCTTCCTTCATTGGACATTGTGGAAGTGTAGAAATCCTAATTGAAACCTGCATTCCATTTGCGAATCCAACGAGGTGTAGAGATTGGCAGCAGTAGGCTAACCTTCAAGCGTCTCCTCTACCGAATGAAATGATTGGAGGAAATTAATTCGATAGGTCAAGTACACCTTGCTTGCTTCATTACACACTAATCTTTTATGGGGGAGCGAATTTACAAATATTATGGCTGCTTTTACATCTGGGCCTACACTACAGTAGATTGCACATTCACTTAACCACCGATTGCGCCTACTTGCAATAGTAGATAGTTTGTGGTGCTTTGATCAGTGGGTCCATTTACATGCGCGCGTGAGTGAGTGCTTCTTGTGTTTCTTTTAGAGGTGCACATAGACTCGCTAGTCGACGCAGAAGCGGTGATTGCTAAACTAAGGGGCGAGGTATCTGGTTTGACCACCGAGTTGTCCCGCAAGGCAGCGGATGTTGATCGCGTCAGCGCGGACCTCTGTCGTCTGCGAGTGCGCCTCCTAGAAGACGGGATGTTTAAGTATCTTGAGAGAGTCTAGCCACTTCCACGCTCATCTACTTCTCTTTCACCCACTCAACCGATCATCCTCCATTGCTTCCAATCCCTCTCCTATCAAATGAGATTTATCTCCTGTGTATCAGGCTATTCATTAAAATGGCTGTGAATTCCCCAATGCTGTGGATTATTTCTCGTAGCATCGTTTGACCTCTGTCCACGTTGTGTTGATATAGTTTGATTTGCTTTCGCGTGTAAAATTAATAGCAGATGATTTAGGATTTAGGGTCGGGCAATAAAAGCGCTGACCTCAAACAAAGCCTTATGGTCGGTATGAGATGACTTGGACTGATGGATTCCTCTTTCGCATACATTTGGAATTTATGACTCTCGAAGTAACCTCTTTGTGCCTCTAATGTGCCCAAAAGTAAATACACGGCAGGAGTTCGCAACAGAAGTGCTTATTTTTTGTAGTTGCACATCTTTGTATTTGTGTATCGATGAAAGACTATTTATTCATTCAAAGTTGAGTTGCCATGATCAGCGATTTTAGAAAACTCATAACAAAATTCACTAGCAATCTCGTGGAAGGAGGTAGTCGGGAGTTGGTCTACACAATACAATTCTTTGATCTTATGCGGCAAAACACACTGTCCAAATTGCATACATATCATCTCAAAACAAATAGGGCTTCAAAATAGTCGCTGTATAAGGTATGAGGTGGTTTGTTGAAACGGCAAGCGAAAAAGAGGCATAATTCTACAAAACCTCATGCTAAAGATTTCACAGACAGTGAAGAGGAGGTACGCATTTGGGGATGTAAAATTTGTGACAAAGAAAGTGATGCTGCTATTCTGATAAATTTATTTTGCGGTGTGGCAACTGTCTTCATCTGTGACTCCTCTTTCGGCGTTGCTGCTATCGCCACAGTTGATTGGTTCCGCGCTTTCGTGGCTCTTCACGCGTAATGTGACTCCTCCAAGCTGTTTTGTTGATGATATGCTAATTTGTGCTCTTTCACACAAACAGGAGAGCAATTGGTCCGTCACTAGAGAAGACAAGTTGGAATTAATTACCTTTAGAAAAGGAAACTAGCGTTTTTGTGCATGCATAGGGCTGCCTGATCGTAGTGGCTGCATGATTACATCGTTTAATGAGTGGCAAATGTCCGCATCACGTGACTCTCGTGTCTCAGGTGATCAATCGCAAGGTGGCGTGGTCGGAATACGCACTGCGTCATGCGAGTGCGTGGGAAATGCTAATTTTCATGTCCCATAGTGACGTAGTGGAACACCAGTTGATAGTGGATCTAGGGCTTTGTGTGAAAAAACCAGTTTTAGGTGCAATTCGGTGGGAAAGGGAGAAACATTCTTTGCATGTCAAACGAACGATTCGAAATTTTTCTGTGAGTTAGCGAATGCGCCTAAGTGATTGACAATTTACGGTAGTACCAAAGAGGAAAATGACATTTTGGGTGACGAAGGGTGCATATCACATCTTCACATCAAAGTAGTTAATCTTTGTCAAGGCATAGTTTATGCCGAAACCTGAGGCATTTCATAGGGCACTAATTCTCTACGGCGTTTTTTGCTGTAAAGTACAAAATTTTTCAAGTATTAAGGCAGGAACAATTTGAAATGTGACAGGATGACTGATGCAAATTGACGTCACGACTCCGTGACCACCCAAACTGCAACAGCCTAATTAAACCACCTCGTGAACGGGGCATGCAGGGGATTGTTTTTTCCTTACAAATGAGCTCGAGATTTTAGCTCCTCGTATTTGTTTGCTTAGTTCGCCATCGTATAATACCCAAAGATTAATGCTACGGCATTTTTTTTCTTCATCCATTCAGGGTTTCTTTTAATTTCTATATATTTTTGGTTTGCAAGATGTTCTATTACAGCAGCTGCTTTGCTTTCGACAATTTCATCATTTCCATTTGCATGTCTCTCAATGTTAGGTTATGAAATTTGGAAAGGGGAGAAGTGATCGTTACTGGAAATTAATTTGCTGTATATTGAATGGAAGTCATTTAAGTGGTGCTTTTTAATCCTCCCTTAATAGGCGGCTCATGCTCAGGAGGTTAGCCCTTCTAGGCGTCATCATGGTAGCAATCGCATGAGCGCCTATGCCACGGAAAGAAGACAAAGGAAGGATTTGACAACGACCATGAATTGTCTTTTCTCTAAAATTCGAAATCATACACTTACGTTCGTACTTTTGTTGGCCATCTTTCAGGTTCTTTTGCGCCTCTACCAAATGTGTAGCCAGTTTTGAAATCTTGTGAACACTCTTTTGTCGTTAAATAGCGGGTTCGTATTCTCGTTTCGTGTTTTGAATACGTAGTCATGCCTCTTTTGTATTCACAATTTTGTAGCGCTAGAAGAACTTCAACGGACAGTTGGCTAAATGAACGCATTACCCACGTTTTTTTCGGTAGAGGGTTCGTGAGATTAAAGTTTGTTTTAACCCGTGCAATTGAGGTAGCTCTTAGGGGATCGCATTGTTGCATGTGTTCATTTAACTTCATTTATAAGCGCTCGGATACGGTAGGACAAATGTGTTTGAAGTTAGTCTCTATGGCAGCACTCCAGCTGGTTTTGACATGCAGTGAGACTCTGACCTGCTCAACTATTGGAAAATTGACTCTCTTGTCCTGCAGTTTCAAATCCATTGGAAGGAAGGGCGAAGGAGATGCTCCCAACCATATTAGAGGGCAGAAATGAGCATAGCCTCAGGACAGTTCCTGTGGAGAGGGCATTCGATGCCTCTTCTGATGTCGAGGACGATCATCCATCTCAATTCGTCCATCATGCTGATGATGGAAAAGAAATGCTCTCAGACGTGGAACCTTTACCCAATGGAGATGTGAAAGACAGTAATGAGATTACGCAGGCGAGATCCCCCTCTCCCATGTTGACGGAATGCCTGAAACCCCAGTTGCCAAGTTCCACAATAGTCAAATTGCAAGTTGAAAGCAATTCCCATTCACCTGGTAAGGTGGAGGAAATAAACCCAAAACCGTCAGATTTCACGTCTATTGAACCTAAAGTTTCATCGCCTGGATTCCGATCCCCAAGTCCAATGATTACCGATGCGCACTATGGAAATGACTACAATTTGTCAACAGTGAAGGAAGTTGAAGAGCCTCGGACACCAAGTCCAGTAATTGTCCAAGTTGATAAGTCGCAGCCTTCAAGTTTCAATGCCGCAAAACTTCAAAGTGAGAGTGATTATCACGCCTCACCCTTGAAACAGCCTGCAAAAACTGAAAATTGTACTGTTGATGATGATGGAAAATCATCAAGGTCTTCGTGCTCAGCTGAGATCAAAACGGAGGAGCGTCCAGATCCCATTGGGGGAGTGGCAACTGTACAAGCTCAACAATATGGCGAGGAGAAGGCAACCACTAACCTTGCAGAGGCAGAAGAGACGACTTCAGAAAGTGGTGATTCCACGGACTACAGTTTGGATTCTGCGCGTGGTGACAGTCTTCTCCCGACTGTGGATGAAAATTTCTATTTAAATTCACGAGTTCACCCGCGATTTATTCTGATGAAGCCGTCCGAAGGATCAACTGCTGGTAGGTCAAAGGCCGTTGATTGCTTTGCTTCGCTTTCAGTCAGAAAATAGGCTTTGTATTGTTTGAAAAAGGCTGGGGAACCGATTTCTATCCACGGTTCTCTGTTCTTTCCATTTTCGTCACGCTTCCTTAATTAGTAGCTTTATGCGATTTGCAAGGCAACAGGTCTCTGACTGTCGTCAAGTCGCTTTTATTTCTTCTCACCAACTGTAAAAGTAGTTCCTTGCTCTTCAATAGCACTTGAAGACAGTGAATTAAGCGTCAATTCTAACAGCCATAGTCTTCTAGGTTTGCATGCAACGCCTGTACCGATGTTCCTACATGATTTTCCACCTCTAAAGAAACGAATTTGAAATGAGAAAGAACCTGACGAAGTCATTTGAAGCCGCCTAAAGTTGATAGCTCTTTTATGGCATCCATAAATATTATCCACTAAGCTAAGGTCGGCAGAAATTCTCTCATGAAAGCTAGTACGAATGCTCTTTTATACATCAATTTTATTTCTTAAAAAAACAAGAAACAGTGATTCTACGGAGGTGGATGAGGAACAGACATAAAAATCACTGGAGCAGTACATTCTTTAAGCATAACACTTCTGCATTTGAATAGGCGACTACGAAGTGTGCCTCTATGGTGTACATCTCGATGAGGCAGTGATGCTTCATGCCCAGGTCTTTATTGACATCTACAATGTCACAAAAGAGAATTGGCGAGTAGTACCCGGTCAGTGGCCAACACTGGCACCAGAAGCTACTCATTGTCTTCATATCCATGTTCCACCCATGCCACCTGGTGAGGCGTGGATTGAGATCGAGACTTTGAATGACGGCCGACTGCAATCTCCACGACCCTTCGTATTCACCGACAACTTTTCGGTGAAACATTCAATGCGTGGAGTGGGCGGTCGTGTCACTGGGACACCTCTCCCAGCAAACCACCAACCGGCACCGTCATTTGCGGATTTTGAGCTCTCACCGAAGGAGGGGGAAGGAGGGAAGGTCGCTGCATCGAATTGCAGTAGGTTGAAGCCAATTTGCAACTTCTGTTGGTCAAAAACTTTACTACATCTACCCTATATCATGAGTAAAGCCCTCTTTTTTGTAACATCAGTTGAAGTCTCAAGAAATTGTAATTGTTAGCTTAGCCTGAACAGATGTGCTATTATTGTCTGAGTGCGTCGGGTCGTCTCTGTGTGGGTGTTTGATGAGCCAAAAGTTTATTACTGCTTTTCCTCAGACCTTATATTTGTTGTTTTATTCCAAAATTCGTGTATGCTTAAGTTTTCTCTAATCATACTTTAATGCGGAACTTAATATTGAACATTAGTAGTTTTAGTGATAAAAAGACAGAATTAAGCGTCTTTAAGCTGTCATGCTAATTAAAGGTCTCTTTAATTTTTTTCTAATTTCCTCTTTGATTGCCACCTTTAATCGAAAGTGTTAAGAAAGGGGCATCATATAATGCGTAGCACGAAATATTCGAAGGTCAAAGAGCGATTTTTGGAATTGCTTTCTAAAAGAAGGTAATCAAATCGTCCACTCCTGATTGTCTACACCATGCCAGGTCTTTTGACCGCGTCTAAAAATTCAAGGTCGTCCGTTAATCGGTTACTACCAATGGTAAATTGATCCTTTCTTCTCAATGTCACGATGATGGTCATCGTAACAGTGACTATGGCTTTGGTGTCACATGCTCTCCAAAACAAGAGGCAAGAGCTTAGCAATTTTAGAAGCAACGTCATTCAATCAGTCCTGACACCTAGTGAATGATGCGATGGTGATTCAGTCGCGCAGTGTCTCGAGTTGATGTGGTCACTAAGTCCCAAGTGGAAGTCTTGTCAAACGCGGATCTCTCAGGTGTTTTGCAGCGCTAAGACCTCAGGAGTCAAGCTTTTTGTTGTTGGGATGGAGATAGAAATGCAGAAAAGGAGGGGCTGGTAGTACCTTCGTGGTATCTTGGAGTGAGCTTGTCTGTTAACTAATTGTGACTGAGCAGGTCATCTGACATCGTTTCTCATTAAGGCAAACGCACACCTCCACTTGCTTATAATTTAATTTTCTTAAATGCGAACAACAGTGGTCAGATGTTGAATGTTTTTTTTTTTTGAATTGAAATTCTAAGTGGGTTAACACTTCAAGGTCAATTTGCAGTCCCCACACAATTGATTGCTTGAGTCGACGCCAAAGTTAGTGCCACGGGAGTTGCTCCATTGCCTTTGCGTGAACTTGTTGCCACGTTTTTGAGACATGAGTCTGTTAGGTACCTTGACATCATAGCAGAAACGCAACTTCTCCTTCGTTGAGCTGTTGAATATGTCGTCACCTAGACCAAGGCTTAGCTTATAGACGGTGTAAACAACTTTTAAGCATTGATCAGTTGAAAGGTGACGCTTTGGTGTATAAATGGTTGTCAGGGTGGTTGCCAAAGACAGGCTTTAAGGCATCTTTATTTTACTGCTTTTTAGTTTTGAGCTGAATAAAACGCTCGTTGAAACATTTAAGTAGCAGTGCCTTTTCAAAATGTTCTTTTATATTTGCATGTAGGTAGCTTTGAAAGTATAGACATTGCGAAACAGGAAATATCGAAACTTTATAGCGAAATAGCGCAGCTGAAAGTGGAACTGCAAGAGAAAGCGGCTGATGAGGCGCGTGTGGCGCGTGAGCTGTGTGTGCTGCGAACCCGACTGCTGGAAGACGGCCAGCTGAAGTACCTTGAAAGAAACTAACTTTTTTAACATTCCTATGACACCACCTGTGATCTTTCACAACCGTGATTTTTTTCATTTTTTTTCACTTTTAATGCTTCTATTCTTATTGCAAATTGTTGCTGTTTTTAAATGCAAAATTCTACCAGTTGCTGTATTTTTTTTGCATCGAGAATACTGAGTGCAAGAGTGGAAGGGAGGGTTTGAGGTTGGTGAAGCCAAGCAAGGTCTGGCAGTACACGAGAACAATGAATGCTCTTCACTAGATGCGACCTTAATGACTCAGTAATATATTGTCCTTTTGTACACGATTTAATGCAACGCTCAAGATCATGCCAGCATGGAAGGCGATTTACCATAGCCGTATGGAAGAAATGGCTGCAGATCAAATTTTTGTTGTAGACGTGCAACCTACTGGGGATGCACACAGACACGCCGTCCCCAAGACGCCAGCAAATGCTGATCCATAACGAGTTGGCAGGAATGGAGGGGTGCGGGATGTTAGCTCTGAATTCAATGGAACCACCTTAACCCAATCACTGACGTACGAAATCCTTACGCTGTAAAGCATCGCCAAATTTTAGTGCCGAGCATGACTAGCGTCACAACTTTACAGTTCCACATTTTCCAGACGTGACTTCCCATTTGCAAAATTTCACCAAATTTATGACAATGTTTCTTCGTGGGTAGTTTTGGATGCACCACCAACGTCATGCTGGGTGCCAAGTGCTGTTGACTTAAGGAGGGTCATTTGTCCGCTGTGGTAACGCAGTGCTTGATGTTTTGGATTCGAGCATAAATGTGCGCCCTCGAGTGTGGCCACGCGATAGTCGTCGCCTCCTGACAACTGACTACCTCCATTGGGGTGATTGGAGTTGTGGTGTCAGGCAATCCAAATTGCAAATGGCTTTTCCGACTGACCAAAAGTAAACTCTACGTCATGGCACATGCGGTGTTTTATTCTTTTTGAAAAAAACTAAATTATTTCACTGATTTGACAAGTTGCAACCTCTACCTGGATGCAGCAAACACTACCTCCATCTGTCCACTGCTTAATAAAATGCTCTTTGCATAATTTCATTTTCTTAATAACGTTATTGAGAAATTCTCAGCAAGGTTGAACATCCTAAATTTCGGTAACAGTTACTCAACTGCAGGTCAACATCTTACCAATCTCATCACTCAGGAGATGATGGAGAGAATTTAAGGAAGTGTTGGACAAAATCTCTTTCTCAGTAATTCACCACACGAAACAAAGTGTAATTTCACATAAGATCAAAGCACTGTAAAATTGTTTAGCCAAAAGTGTCTACTTGCGTGAATACCCTAACTTTTGGTGGCAATGAAAGTGGTCTTCCCAGTCCCCTTGTTGATTGGGGGGGCAGTACGTCCACCAACATTGCCACTGCCTTTTGCAACTTCGACTAAGACTGTGGCGCTGCAGGTGGAATGCATTTGCGGATAACTTAAAAACAGCATCTTCTTCTTCTCCAAGGAAAGCCTAACTGACCGGAGAGAGCCTTTTAATATGTTCTTCTGGTAGCGCAGGTGCCTTTAGTATTTTCCCAAAGGAAAGGTGAGAAGAGTGGAGTGGACGAAGTGCGACATCAGTCTTGTTCGCCATGATATGGATCTCCTTAAAAGGATTGTCATTGGGGTAAGAAGTCTGATCTCGCTGAGTGATTTAGACGAATTGAGGAATTGCTTTTTAATCAAGTGATCTGGACATTCTCAATCCCACAAATCCCAACTCCATCTAGATTGCATTATAAATGTGGTTTTTTGGAAAGGAAATTCGCACCTAACTGAGCATCGCGATGCGAGATGGGCGGATCGCTTGGCAATAAAAAATGCTGCTGATAATTGCTACATTGTTAATCACCAAGTAAACAAAACAAAGTATGAAGTGGAAGTGTAAATTGTATCCGATTGCTTGGTATAGCCAATCTCACCATCTCAGATAAGACTCCTCATCATTATTTGCGGAAAGCACCACTGATTGACAGTAGCACCGCCTTAGACTTCAATGTTTTTTACACTGGTGCAATGCGAAAGCTGCAATTGCTCCTACATCGCTCTTCTTCATAACTAAATTAGTCGTCAACGCCAGTTTAGATCGAGGCGACGATCACAAATTGGTTGACGCTTCGATGTTCCCTATTCTGCATGCTTGTGGACTTTTGCAAGTATCTAATGTGCCCTCCAGAGTCGAAGCCTTTGCACTCAGTCATTTCGCAAAGCGGAAGGAAATACTCGCAGCCCTCATAATTTACGAGTTTAAAAAAACCTTTTTCTTACCTCCTTTTCCACGTCACCAGGTGTTGTCTTCTAAACCAACAGCCTTCATGCAACCACTTCTTTTTCTTGTAATTATAACATGGCTTAATATTCGGCGGCATAAAGCTCATTTTGAAAAATCAGGACGCATTAAATTGTATGAAATGCTACGCATTACTTTTTATATTTTAAATGAATTTTTTACATGTCATAGTCTACTTATAATAGCATATAAGTAGGAACAATTCAAAGTTTTAAGTAATAAACATCATTAGGCAAAGTGATGGATAGCAGAAAAACGCTAATCTGTGCCTTGCATGTCTAGCATTTTACTCTGATAAAGACATTAATGCAATTCGTTGTAACATAGTTCTGAAAAGGAAAGGGCTCCAACTTATTTACCTTGTCTTGTCAAATGGCATGGTTCTGGCAGACAGTACGAACAGCAGCAGTGACTATACACGTATTTTAGAACGTCAGTAATCAGTTAGAAGTGTGGCACGGGGATCAGGCTGCTGAAAGATACAAGTGTCGCTGCCAGGACACATGATTTCATTGGAGTTAAGTCGAAGTGAAATGAAGACATCCGCGTTTGTACACGCGACTCAAAGAAAGGTGGCGTGTGTGTGTCTACACGTGCCATTCAGCGGTTAAAAAGCACTTTACATCGCTTTTAGATGGTCCGCGGATGCAGAAATAATTTCACTTGTCTGTTTGACTGACGGACCGACTACAAGGTGGGTAAACAATGCCTGTTTGCATTAGAGTGCTGCATGCAATCTACGCCCTTTTCTGCATCACCTGCACCACAGCGATTTACAACCTCAGACAATTCAAATACCTGAATGTCTACCGAGCTGTGTTCAGCCTAATTGCATCTGCTGTGGCTATAGTCTTTGGCGTTATCATAACAAAAAGATACCTCTACTGGATCCTCATTCCAATATTTGTGGACGCTGGCCTGATTCTTTTCAATATGGCCACAATGAAATCTACCCGTCCGCTGGACCAAGATGACTGGGTGAGTGTTGCTCTGGTGATCGGTGGACTGCTGCACTATTGTCTGGGCTTAGCGGAACTAATCTACTCCTCAGTGGAGCAGCGGAATGAGAACGAAGAAAGCGAGTGCTCGGATGCTAGCGTAATTTCTGTCCTACCTTAATGCTGGTAGATCGTAATTTAATAAATGTTTACACTCATCGACTTGTGTAGTTTTTTTTTATTTTTGTCACCCTTTTTTCCATATTTACCAAAAGTGCTTGAGCTATGTGGTATAGTTAGAAATCGTAAAAGGGCAGACATTAGAATGTTTGCCAGAAAGGTCTGTTGAGTGGAGGATGACTTCGATGACATTTATTTTATATTTTTAACGCATGCTATTTAAGTGAATGAAAATAAATTACCAGACCGTATTGATGAGGAAATTGTAATAAGATTTACGAACTTATTCATAAATCTTTGACGTTGACCTATAGCCTACGGTACTTAGATATGGACTTTAATCTCTAGTAGGACCCAAAGACATGTTAGTAACCGCCGATGGCTCCACCTTTGAGACGCTAGCAGAGTCGATGAAGTGCAGTGAAGATAGTGCAAGTGTGCTCATTTCACAGGAACAGCCATTCTATTCCCTGGTACCGAACATTATCATTTCTTGTCACAGGAAGTACCGTGTAGCGTCCTGAGACTACCCACCGGATGGCAGATGGTAGCAAGTGAAGCCGCAAGCATGTATTTCAAGGGGAGAAAACCATTTAGGTCTGAGCATGGCCCGAAGGCCAGACCACGAAGGACCATGCAAATCCTAAAGTGATCGTCAAACGTCAGGTGATCACATAAACAAAGCATCACATACCGTAGCTGCTCATGGTTTTAAATGGCATTTAAAAAAGATAACATCATCACCTCCCCAATAGTTGCATAAAACCCGGAGAAATAAAGCATAGACTCAGGGAGAGGAGGAAAAGGTGTGCTAACCTATGCTTGCGAAAGCGTTAATATGCTTGAATTTTACATAATAATGTCACTTTTATGTCGTACCACACTAAGCGACAAGTGCACAAGTGCCTTTAGAGTAAACCGAACCTTAATTTATTGTTCCCATTTGGTAAATTACAACGGCCGATGCGCTGGCTGTCCATCAATTGCGTATGCTACCCGAGAAATATGCGACTTTACGGGATATGTTGCGACATTGTAATATTTTGTTTATGTGACCATATGACGTATGACGTTCACTTTAGGATTTGCCTGGCCTTTGCACGTGTGGGTTGGCCTTCGAGCCATGCCCAGGCCCATTTGTCCCGTTGTCTTCAGCATACATGCATCCAGCTGCACTTACTGACTTCTTATACCGGCCAGGAGGTCTCGCGACGCTAGGCTGGTGGCAGCGGGCAGTTGGTCTTTAGTGACGATGCATTTGATTGATCCTTCTGCGCCCCTTCTACCGGCTGGTAAATATCTCAAGTCGATTTTGGCGCAAAAAACAAAAAGCTGCGTGGATTTCGAAAATTAAATCGACAACATTTGATTACAATACTGCAGTATACCCTACCAGTTTTAATTTATATTTAGATGCATATGCTTATCAGGGGATATAAATGATTCTGTCACAGTGAGGGCATTGCACGCTGACGAAACACATGCGGTGAGGAGGGGTAAACATCAATGCAAGCCATATTTTAGAATTCGAATTTGGCCCTTGTTGGAGTTACGTAGATGTCCATACAATCTCTGTCAAATGGTCTAATTCTAGCAACTATTTATGGCAATTTTCTAAATTTCCTATATATAGTCTGGTCCGACATGTAATTACATAACACAATTACACCAAAAAGAAGCTTTTTGCTTTAAAAGCTTTATAAACTGAAAGTTAAGAAACAAAGCCATTTTATGAAAAGTTATTTAGACAGACTACATTTATTGGCGGCTTGATGCGAGTTAATTGTTTGTAGATGACGTCTGGACACGAAGGTTCGTTTTATTCTGTACAACTGTTGACCAAGTATTTTTCACTGCTCTTCGTTAAATTTGCCAGCTTTGTGTTTTGTCGCCATTTCCGCCTATCAAATAAGTGTGCATATCCAGATTAAGTCTTCGCATGGACAGTCAGTGTGGCAATGAGTTGGTCACGTTAGTTTTACTACAGTACCCGTCAAAATTGTCTATCACTATGCAGATTATTTTGTTGTAACAGTGTAAGGCTTGTTTCACCTCATGTCTTGAATCGACTAATTACCTTCACCGTAGTGCAGATAGGATTTTCTTGTGTGTTTCTATCTCAAAGTATTTCTTGTATTTGATCTGTATTTACTTCGAACGGAAGGAGCTCTTTCTACCGGTTAGTGTTTTTTATAATTGGTCGCATTTTTTGCTTTCCTTTTACTCCATTTTGAACTACTTTTTTCGTTATGTTCACCTCTTAATTATGAAATGGTACCTCGATTCATTCCTTTGAATTAAACCCACCTATTGGCTCATAATATATGCGACAACTACTTTTGCTTCTCACTTACCTGCTTCGCAAGTCGTATGCTAATTTTTTTATGAATCGAGACCTTAGGCAAATCATTAGCTTATTAACTTTCATCAATTCTGCTGTTGTTGGAAAACTTGAGTTGCTTATGTCCTTTTGAAATAGAATCGTCAAAGTCCAGGACCCTTTATTCCGTCTGTAACGGCTGTAATTCTAACTTTGAGCAACTTTTCATGTGTCGTTTATGTTGTAGGAATTAAATGCGATGCCTGTGAGGCAAATGCTTTTCGACTCCGCCGGTATAAATGCCTCCGTTGCGTTGACTTCGATCTCTGCGGTCCATGCTATGATCGGCGTGCAGAGGCTCTTTCGCATCGAAAGAATCATCCAATGCAATGCCTCATCCTTGAGTCGGATCGCAAAATTTTCTTCCCAAATTCTGTTAGTCTTAACCATTATCGTTCATATAATTTGGTTCAAAACTCATTTAACACAAGCTTCTTTTACTTAAAGAAGTCTAACGAAATGGCTAGGAGTTATATTTGCCCCATCTGTGGGGCTCCGGGATTCAAGGCTGTCGATCTGGGAGCTCATGTTCACGCCAAACACAGCAATTCTCGTATGGGTGTTCTCTGCCCAATTTGTATCTACCCTCCTCTTGGTAATTCTGCGGGTGGCAGAAGTAGCAATCCCAACAGGATTCACAACTCATTCTCCACCCATCTTAGTGACGTTCACCGCCTCAAAGCACTCACAAGTGGTACACCCACCACCACCACCCCTGACATTCTGTCTCCCGCCGTTATTGAGACATTTTTGACGAGAGATCCCAATTGTAAGTGTTAGTAGATATGTGGTAATTTAAAGCAGAAGGAGCTCTACTTATGCTACTTTTCCTCCCCTAGACTTTTATGAACCTGCCGAAACCGAACAACGAGTGTGTAATCACGGGAGTTTTGGTAGATCCTTGTTAAGTGCCGAGGAACAAGAATTGTTCGATCTTATTGCAACTTCCTCTATGGTTCCTGATGGCCAAGGCTTGCGCTTCCGTACTCCGCATAATAGTTCCCCCTCAGTTTCAGGTCAGGTTTCGCACTCTGAGCAGGTTGCTAGCTCAAAGGTGAGTGCTGCACTTGCTATTTCCAAAATTCAACAATCAGATTTTGTGAATAGCTTCTCTGTGTTTTAAGCATATTTCCAGTATTTGAAACTACATTTAGCTGAGCTGCCAACTGAAAGGACTTTTTGTCACAGAGTAATATCATGCTTCACAACGTTCGTTAAAATTTTTGAATGGGTTTGAAGGCTTGTGTTGGTTAACAGGTGATTGAGAAACAGGCCGATAGCAGTCGACCGGAGGCGGGAGATGAGGCCTCCGAATCTGGCCCACAATTGGCTCTACTTAACAGAAATATTAACAGTAACAATAATGGGGGAGAAGAAAATAATGGGAATGCTGAGTCGCAGGAGCATGCGGTCTCATCGGCGACGGTTGTTGGAAGCATAACAGTTGAGGAGGTCCAGAGCGATAGCGTTGCTGCGCCTGTCGAACCGGTTTCTTCACTTGTCTCTTACGGTGACACTGCTGCTATACTAGATCCTCGGTGAGTTTAACATTGCGTAGAATTTGAACCTCTGAGGGTGCTGAGCATGCTTCGTTGCCAGCAGGATTCATGATCGTTAACTAGAACTACTCGTACCCCAAGGGTTGCTTAATCGTCTACTTTGAAGGTTGGCTACTAAAATGACTAAATCGTCGGCTTGTATTACTATCGCGTTTATTGCCGAAGTCCGGCCATCACGTGCATTGTACCATCCTTTTTGTCTTTGAGCCATAAATTCATCTTGTTTGCCGTAACACTACGTCTACCTGTGAGAACAGGACGACTTACCAGTCCCTGAGTCGGGGTTGACTACCGCTGGTATCCTTTTATACTTGGATGCAAGCGAGTGTGGTTACATGATTTAAATGTGCTCGAGTCGCGAAGCGGGCAACAACTCCTCCCCCTCAACCATGCTATTCGTCCACAGGCAATTTGATCTCCCTCTTCGTGAGCTGAATTAGAGATATTTTCCCTCTAGAGTCTTTGAAGCTGCGAAAAAGAAGTGCGACCCTGTCTGGCTTTCATTCGTGCATGAATTGATTTGGGATAGTCTACATATCGCCGGTCTTTCACTGACGCCTAGTGAGGGTGAAAAGGAGTAGAAAACATCAGTCAAACCAAACTACCGATGCGTTGTCTTTCTCAAGAAGACTACCTCTTCCACTCCTCCCCCTCCATTGTTTCACTCTCACAAACACTACTAGCCAATTCCCCACCATCCTTCCATGCATCCGCCATTACACTTTTGTTATGGTGCTCGCTAGCGCCTCTGCCATTCCTTCCTCCTCATCTCTTTTCCCCGTGAAGGTTTTTAAAGCAGCAAGAATGGGGCAATTTATATCCGATTTTGTTATCTTATATCTTCCTCGTTGATGAGTCGGAGACATTCATCAGCAAATTCCACGAAGATGGGTTCTTTCATGGCTTTTTCAACAGCTTTTGCAGGATGTCGAGAACTGTCGAGATCAACCAGATAGTCTCGCAAATGTCGATTTGAGAGGAGCTCCTTTAGGCGTTCTGATGTTCCTAATAAGTGTTGGTAATCGGTAAAGAAGACGACAAGTCAACGTACGAAGCTTTTCAAGAAGTCGAGTAGGGATGTAGTCGGAGCAATCATCACCCAGGTCAAGGGGTACCAAGGGCACTAAATCAAGTGCGCTTATGCGGAAACGGCCTTACCCTCTGGGCCCGGCAGCTTCACCGGAGAGTTCTTATGCAATTGTACACAAGAGCTTTTGTGCTCCTTATAGCAATTGAGAGAACAGCTAAGCACAAAAGTTAAGGAGGAAAAGTACTACTGTTTTTGTAGGCAAACTGAACACTTGTATTTCCATGCGGCGGACTTGCAAACGCTGCAAAGCTTGTTCTCCATCAGGTTGTTCATAACGAACGCATGTAGCTTTAGTAAAAAAATCGGATGGCAATATAGAAGAAAAGAGAAGATGGGAAGAGAATCGCCTTTAAACAGTCGACAGCTGCTCGACGCCAAAATCTTCCGCCTAAGGTTAAGCAAAAACCAGGGCAGGACTGTCATTGCACATTTCTTAGTCACTTACGTTAAATGAGGATTAAAAGTAGACTACAAATTCTGAATGAGCATAGAAAAGAAATGTAGCATGGTAAGATACAGAACAAGCATCATACATAGTCTAAGCTGTTAGCAGCATTAAAGACACAGCATGTCCAGCAAGGCTGCCTCATTCAAATAAGGCGAGCTAGGTTCATGGTAGGTAGAAGTCTTTACCTCAACACAAATAATTGCATAGGTCTAACAGGGCAAGTAAACAAAATTTTCGAAGAATTAAACAACCACTTGTATCATGCCACGAGAAATAAGACAAAAAGTCGCGTAACAGATAAACGCCAAAGCAATAAGACACTTATTTACACCAAATTATCAATGACCCTTTTAAGAGAAAGAGCCTGTAGCGCCTTGAGAAGCTTTACTGAGTAGGAAAAATAAACTTGGAAATGAGCAAGACGTTAAAGCTACGATCCTGTCCGAAGGCCAGGCTACACACAAAAGTAAAACAAATGAAAAGTAACAACTGGACACTAGAGTGGCTACAAAAAAAGGAATAAAACAAAAGACAAAACACTACACATTTTAAAAAATAGAATATTAACTTCATTTATTTGCTTAACCAATAGTTCTCGTACTCATAAATAAAGCATACGATGAAACGATTAACAAATCGCACGTGTGATAGGTGGTCAGTTTGGCCGGCATATGGCTTTAGTACTTTGCTTATGTGACCGTCGAATGTTCGGTCACAAATTGCGCGTGTCGTCTGGCCTTCAAAACAAGCTAGGGCTCAGTCTCCTCTAATCCTCTAGGGACGCATACATTCTGCTCAAATAATACCTTCTTTTACCTGGTGGAAAATCGTGAAACGCCGCCTCGATCTTTGCCTGGCCATTCTTGGACATTGCCCTTTTTCTTCCAGTGTGAAATGTGCAGTGGGCAAGGCCTACTGCCTTCTACCATCTAATGGGATATCTTGAGGTGTTAGAGCATATGTTTAACAAAGATGAAGCCTTCAGTACGTACTAAAGTGCACGTCTCCGTTAAATCTCACCAATTTTGCCAAATTTATACAGTTCCTACAGCCACGAGATACCACAGAAACATGGCCGCCTGATGCCTGCCGTTACTATGGATTTTGTCTGACCCACGTACCCGTGGACTGGCTTTCAAGCCAAGCTAAGGATTAATCCATTCTCTCTCCTTAGAATACATACATTCTCTGTAGCGTCCCGAACCTGGATACATGTACCCCAAAGATGACAAAGTAACCGAATTCGAGCATGACCCGAAGACCAGCCCACGAGTCCAAGCGCCATACCAGTCCTAAGTTGACATCCGAACGTCAGGTGTTCACATGAACAAAGCATTGCATTTGTAAGAGCTGCCTGTCTACCTTCTGGCTCCTGATCTTCAGACTTCCAGAGGCAGTTGGTTGCGAACGATTTATTAGGCATTGTTATTAGGAAGGATGGGGAATGGGATACAGTTTAGGTGAGTAGGAGATATCAATCGGAGGGACTCTTCGCCGTCTTCACGCACGTGACTCGCGCTCCCAATTGTTTCCCGCCTCTTACCTTCAAAAGTTCACTTAAACAAACTATTATATATTACAACATTTAGCCCAACTTAATGCCCTCTTCTACCAGGTAGAAAAGTTTCAGGATAATAAACTAATGCTATGCTTTAATGGAGCAACGTTCGCTTCGTTTATAGGTGTGGCGATTCCTCTAAATATTCTCCAATCAGCAATCGGCAGTCATTTAAGGTGCCTGCGCTAGGCTTGAGTCTGCATTATGGTGTTGTAGTTACGTTTATGCTTATTTATTTTGTGTGCATCATTATTAAAACTAATGAATAATTCCGGTATTGCGTAATTGGTTTGCTGTTATTGGAGTGGTTTACTATTTGACTGTTTTTAGTCTTTGATATGTTTGAAGTAAGTTTTGTCTGAACCATTCAACTGATGCCCTTTAAATAATGGAATAACTATATAGTATTGACTTTTCGTGGGTTAATTCCTATGGAACGCTTCATTTGTTCTTAGGCAGCTCCAGTCTTTCAGCCTAATGTTAGACCAAAATACCATCTTGGAAGGTGTACATAAGCAGTTCAAGCTGATTGAAAGTACTCGGAGAAAGTGGGACGTTACAGTGCTGAGGTCTGACAAGATTTTTACGGCTCTCACCTACAATCTCATGAGAGAGGCTGCGTCTGTTAAATCTAGCTGCCAAAGTGATGAGATTTGGTCTCTGAAGCTGGTAATGTCATCAACTATATTTTCGCCTCAAATTGCATTATTTTTTTTCTCTTTTTTGGCATTCTGTCTCACGTTCGTCGTAAGTTTTAGTATTGACCTTTGAGTGATTGAGAGTATGTCTACGAATTGTGTACCGCCTAAAACATCTTCATTTCTGAGCAAGTTTTTTTGACGATATGATTATGCCCGGTTATAGATACCGCAATGCAGCACTGCTTGCAAGGTTTACCTTGCTGGTGATCCAATCAGAGCAGCTCATCTTGCAGCAGCTCGACGGATTGAAGACGATTTTGACTCATTGCAGGATCTTTTATGGAACCTTCAAGAGTGTGTTGAGTCGGTAGAGAGGATTGTAAGCTTCTTCATTGCACATTGTTCCGCTTCTGCTTGCTTTTTTTCCACTTCGGAACATCATTTTTTTTGCTAATTTCCTATCCAAGGCACATCAAGCGGAGCTACTTTACTAGTGCTTTTTTAAGCAGCTGTTCTATCTTTGCCGTCGTTTACAAGAGAACTGCATTCTCCTTTCTGATATTTAAACTGGGCGTCATATTTATTGTTGAGGTGCTTGGAGTTTGTGCATGACTTGCCGACAGGTGCTTGCCTCAGTAATATGTTACCAGCTAGGTCATAACTTGCATCCAATTCACTCATGAGTAAGTGCTAATGCGTTTTCACTTTTGTTAATATAAGGTTCAGCGGCTGGCTTCATTGCACAAATTAAAAGTGCCTCTGACTGATGCGTCCATCGTTCTGACCAGCCCGGTGACCTCACCCAGCCGGCGAAAGGTAAAACGCGGTAGTGGTAGAAAGAGTGAAGACGGGAGAACCCTGTTGACCGCGGAATATGTTCCGTGGTCGATGGTGCTGGAGGAGGGAGAAGCACTGCTCCATCGACTTCACGAGGATTTGGCCTTCCGCAGAGGACTGGTTCGTGCTCTTGTTCCCACCATTGGCAGTGTCATAGCTGAAGGTTTTAGAGGGCCCGATCGAGGCTCACCGCAGTGCCTCTGCTTTCTCTGGCGTGAGGCTCGCCAAATCGTGAAGTGGGAACATGTTCTTGATTTGGTTGAGCATATTCATGAGGTCGCCGCTACCTAGCATGCATTTAAAATCTCCCTTCATTTCGTCCATTGAAGTACTGGTCACAATCTGTTGTGAGTGTATAGTAAAGTCCACATTGTTTGATACGGATACTTTTTTCTACATAACGCGGTACATGAATTGGCCAAACTCTTTTAATAGCAGTGAAATAAAGCTGCAACCTCCCGATGGCGAATGTGTCATGCATTCTAGAAGTTGTTTTACGCAAGTAGGTCGTTCTTTTTGTTCTCCTTATGCCCTATTATGGGTTAGATACTGACGATTTTGCGTCATTTACAAAACCTCTTACACCTTTATTATTCAGCTAACCGTTTCATCAGGTGTGACCTATTTCTGTAACGCTTTAGGTTTAGTTTACATTGCGTTTATCTGCACTTTTCTTACTGTTCGATGTACTGTTAGATAATTATGTCCTGCTTGAGGTGTATGTTGTGTGGAATTGTTTTACCTGTCACTCAGGCGTTTTGACTGGATGCAGCCAGTTAGCGATAATAATTGGGCGCTATTTTAGTTGAGATATAATTATTGGAATCTTTCGCTTTCGTGTCCGGCGAGTGTTTCATGTTATTGCTACTAAAATATTTTTAAGTGGTACAAGATTGCTATACTTGCTGCATCAGGACAAATTTGATCTACGATATTAAGGTCTTGTCAAGTTAAGTCCATTTGTTTAACCCTTTATTCTGATGGCAGGTTGCTTCTGAACACTCATTATGCCTCTTATTTCTGATTTAATCATAAGTAAGCATCCTTTGTGGTTGCGGATTTGATAACCGACGAATATAATTTGCGTGTGCTCTACTGTTTTCCGACTCTGTGACTCCAGAGGTAATTCCGATCCAATAAGTGTCAAGCTGTGCGTCAAACTGATGCTCACCTGATGACATCGGAAGGCATCGTGTCCTTCGCTTTGCAGGTGCTTGTCGTATTGTTTGCGAATTACAATTTTCTGTTCCGATGTTCGATAATCCACTGCTGGTGCTGCTCTTCGGGTTCTCATAGGAAAATATACCTTTCAAAAGTAATAATGTTTCTTCAAACAACTCTTCTGGGTGACGTCCCTGTATGCTTGTAAAGCCATGGGAAATAGAAGCATCTTGTGAGCCTTCTTCATTTCAGTAGATACTGCTTGGTTCGCTTTTTCTCGCGATTTACTGTTGCACGCGGGAAGCGAGGCGTTGGGTGATATAAAGCTGCATGGTTTGGTTTCAAGTAGTCCTTCCTTACGTCGTTTACGCGCATTCTGGTGGGAAGAAAGGAGACAAAAGTAGGCGGAATGACTGCGGAGGTGGTCAATGCACTGCCTGCGTAAGGCCTGATAAGCGAAAATCCACAGTCGACTTCAATCGACTTAACTCCTCGTGCACAGTTCTGAGCACCACCATCCCTGTCATACTAGCAACCTCCTAGTCTTTCGTGCCCTCTCGGCTGCTCGGACGAGTGAAAACGTGAAGCCACTTGCCTACTCACTAATTTACCTCACTTTATCATGTGGATCTCACTGTTTTGGGAGCGTTTCTAGGAATATCCCAATAGAATGAACAATCAAGCCTGAGTTTGGAGTACAGTCCTTATTGGTGACTCCTTTCAGTTAGTCGTACTATAACCCCTATTTTGCAGCGACAAGAATCCACAGGAGAGTGTGGAGAAGAACGTTTGTATGTTATTTTTGGAGAAAAAACAAACCACAAGCAAACTAGAATACATCTCTTTCCAACGGAAATCAATGACTGTGTAGCGTAGTTCTCACAGCAAAACCGGAGTCAAGCAAGGGTGTAGATTCCATCTACAGTGGCTTGGAAGAGTTGTAGTGTTCTCCAGTAGAAAACGCGTGATAGTGATACCTGAAATGCAGATACCAAAAGAACCAGTCGCAAATGTTTCAGGGATGACGACAAAGTTGTGGTCACTTGTAAGTCCTCGTATACTACCACTAGAAATCACTTAAGGTAGGAAGGGGAGGCGTAACTTCCCACCATCACAAGTGTAGGAACCATCATGCGAATGTGACTAAGGCTCACATACCCTTTATAAATATCAGGACAACTTGACAAAACATGTTTTGCATCAATTAAGTTAAGGGCGAATCGATGGCTTGATTACAACCAACTCTGCACAAGGTGTGATAAATTACCCTAAGTTCATATTTCTAATCTCGGATTATACATTTAATGTGAAGTTTGAATTATACAAACAGAAAAAATGTGCACTATCAGCTTTCATTTAAGAAACAATGAGAACAGTGGAAGACTTACGTTATTACTAGAGGAGATGGTGGGTAACAAGAAGTGGAGAATATTTCTCCTGATCGAATCACTGGACCTGCGATGTGAAGAACCTCAATGGGCCTTTTCAGAGCGGTGGAGAGAGCCTGAATCTAACAGAAACTGATGGTGGCACACGAAGTTGAAAAGTTGATAGGAGTTGCTCAAAACTAATTACTTACTTCCAATTGCCCACCCCAAGTGCCTGGTGCCTCAAGATTCTTACAGTAGAGGTCAACCTTTGCTGAAGAGAAAAAGAACTGAATTACGAAAAAAAAGTACTCTAAGACAAAGAGATCGACAAGTAAGCTCTTCTTGCTTCTTCCAAAGCATGTTTACTTCTAGACCGCTCAAACACTATGCACCAATGATCACCAAAAAGAACATTTCACGACTAAAGCAGGAATTGACAGCCTGGCGTAATGCTCGACAGCATGACTTCTAGATTGACATTCAGTGGAAAAGACAATAGAACATTAATTCAATAAGGATGAAACTCAAACCGTAAACTTCAAAGTATAAACGTCGGCTTCCGGTAGAGACTCTGTTACATCAAAGCTTAGTTTCTGAAATAACCTCCAACAAGTTTCAAGTGCCGATGAGAATCTATCCCGTGCTGCGCTCCTATCAACAAATCAGACTCATTTCTTGCTTCAGATTTCAGGGCGAGGAAATGAGAGATTTTCTAAGAATGTGACAAGTACCAAACTAAAGGAAACGTCAAAAATGCACGCCCAATTCATAAACTAAGCCTTTAACGCCAACTTTTGAGGGCAGTTAAAACTTAGGAACCTTTCCTCAACTCCGCATAGCCAACTTAATCACATTCGCCCCTCATTCAGCTAGTAAACAAAAGGTGTATTGAAAACTCCATTTTCAAACACATCCAGGTAAGAACTCTAAACTCATCCCTGCTAAGTGTATGCCTCGTATTGCTTAAAAGACATCGATTTGCAACGAAACAAGCAAATTATTGTTGTTGAAACCTCAACCGACCGGTAGCGGAATTGCATGCCAGATCTGAATCCGAGCAGATGAAAGGCAGGTAGTCCTCTTCGTTTTGTCGAATCACTGCAGAGGCAAGTAGTCGAAGACATCGCACGGTGGATTTCACATCTCCAGAGGCAGGTAGTGCTACGCTGAATTTTTTGCAAGCCTCCACTAAACAATCTGTTAGATCCAGGACCTCTAATTGGTGTGCGACGGAAGCAAATAGGCAGTCGCCATCGGAGGGAACCTTTAGTACAATGAGAAGACCAGTAAGAAGCTGATGGAGGTGACTCCCATCAACAACATATTCTGCAAAAAGTAGGTGGGTATGAGTAATATTCAGCGAAAATCCACATACCGCCAAGCAGACGACTTACTTTGTGTAGTGTGAGACCTCGCTCAAAGAGGGCGCGCTCAAGCTGGGAGTATTCGAGGGCAGATGTTGAAGAAACATTCTTGGCAAGAGACTCATCAACAGCCTTAGAAAGAGATTGTGCCTTCGCAGCAGCCTTTTTGCGTCGTTTGGCAGCTTTGCTTACCCTTGGAAGTGGAGCTTCGCCGCCTTCTTTGGAGAGAGACAAATCTGAGATAAGGTGTACTATGATAAAAGCAGCAGAAGCATACCTGGCGTATCAATGCTTAAAGCATCAAGAGAAAAGTTCAACTGCCTCAATTCTTCAGCTTGTCGTCCAGCAAGCTGCTTTTCCAAGGCTAATATTTCTTGCTGTACGGCGATGCGTCGGCTCCTATCGCCCTTGGGTACACTTTTCTTCAGACTCTGGATCTTAGCTATTGTGAAATCTGATTGCTGTGCTAGAAACTGGTACCTTGGAGCTCTTTCTTCTCCTTACGATGCCGAGAGATTACCTCTTCTTCCATTGCCCTAACTATTATTTAATAGATACAAGCATAGAGTTACGAAGTTATATGGAAGATAAATCCTAGTGTAAAACAGGAAAATAACGGAGTAAGCCGTGAAAACACCTAAAACAACAAAATCGCATAAGGAAGACACACGTCGAGGTTATTTACAGTGCAACCAAAAGCGCATTAGGAACACTGCAAGCAAGTGTATAGTGCCGGTAATAAGTTGAATCAGAGACTTTGGGACAAATGTTACGAGCGCAAACAATGTCAAACCCACCATCGAACACATAGTAATGTCGCAGTGCTCACAAACGTGCAACATCCTACAAACCATCTCATTGAAAGCGTTGTAAATAACACAAATTGAATACCAACGGCCAAAGATAAAAAATGATGCGTAGAAGCGACCTGATTATCATAAATACCTTAGCATTACTATATATGAGCCCCAAAATGAGATTTACTATCACCTGACAATAATATTACGCAAAAACCATCAGTAGTTGCAAGTAATTTCCTGTTTTCGATTCCTAAAACATGCTTTTAATACAAAGTAGGCAATAAATTCGTTATTTCAAAAAAGGGTTCCAGAAACTTACACGAAATTAATGAAAAATTAATCGCAACTAATTATTGAATGAGTTTATTGACCTTAAGTATGTGAATGTCACGTTGTTTATATTGATTTCTTTGCTACGCGCAATTTTAGGGTCGTATTGTGCAGTTGAAAATGAGTTTTCAAAATTTTCTTAGACTCGCGCAGGAAAACCAGGCTCAGAACGATAATAAGGTACTTTATTGATTTCCTCACAAAATAAGATTAAAAAAATTACTGAAGAAATTAGGAAGAACCGAGAGTCATTTATTAAAGAACGTAAGGCTGTTGAAGAAGCCAATAGATGCAGGAAGTCGATGCCCCCACTTATTTCGCAGAGTAGAAAGGATAGTGTTGGACATGTTCCGTCTAATACCCTTGGCGAAATATCTGCCAAGGTGAATGCACGTCCAACATTTGGGAATAAATGCAATGTGGAATATACCCCAACTCCTATACCAAAGAAGAGGCCATCTTCACTCATGGATGCTTTGCAAGAGTTGAGTGGAGAATCTGTTGTTCCAAGTCTCCTAAAGAAGCACAAAATTGGAGTGAAAATACCCAAAGTTGCCCGTCCCAACCCTCCTCTGCCGTTAGGTGTCCGAAAAGAATGTGAGATTCCGAGGAATAATCATAAGAGCATATCCAATAACGATTCTTCTCTTCCAACTGGAAGTAACCCTGGTGCTGCCGCATCAAGAAAATCTTTTTGTTCTAAAGTGCCTAGTCATTCCTCTATTTCAACTCCACGATCTACTTCCAAGGTAAAACCTTCCGTTCAAAAAGCGAAGGATAGTTGCATAACCAGAATTGCTCCCAAACGCACATCTCAAATTTCTTCCTCTTCAATTGTAAATACGAATCCCTCTATCCGTCCAAATCTCTCCACTGCAAATCATTCACTCGTTCTTCCTTCTACGCCAGTAAACGGCGCTTCGTTGCATTCCAAACGTACTGGTGTGTCTCCAGTACAAAACACATCAGCTAACCTACCTAAATCTGTTCAACTGAGTTCTGCCCCTTCTAAGTCCCGCCTATCTGAAGCAAAATTGGTCCGACCACCAGCTCAACTCGCCTTGCAATCTCCATCATCCGCTTTTGCGAGCAAGCCTCGCTCTTTAGGTATCGCTGCACAGATAGGCATATCGCGATCTAGAATCGAATCAAATCTTCCTTCCCAATCGTCTGTTAGGAAGACTTTGCCTCTTAATGCTGTGAATTCTGTCTCTAAGGCAATTTCTCCTTCTAATGGTAAACCATCCATCCATTCGGCAGGATTGCCTACTAATGGACAAAGGAAACTATTCGGCCAACAGCCTAGTCTTCAACGTCAGATTACGATGGAAAGGCCTCAGGTTGTCACGCCTACAGTGCGGGGCATTGCAGCACAATATGGCTCGCTGCCTGTAGTCGTTGGCGAACGATCTTCGGACGCCTATTTAGATGACGAGAGCGACGAGTATGCTAGCGATGACAGTTTCATCGATGACACAGACTGCACTTCTGCCAAGGACTATTTAAGGGCGGTGAAGGACATCCACAAATCACTTCACTTTGATCCCAATAAATACGCGAAGATTAGCAAGTACGATGATCTCGCCTCTATGGAGTCGTCTTATCGACAGATTGAGAAAGAGGAGAAATTGAGGTGTGTGACCGTTTTCCAAATAAGCTAATAATAGCTTTTGTCTATCACTGGTAATCAGGCTACAATGCCAATGTTCATCTTGCAGATACTAATTTTGCTATTGTGATGCAATGGTGGGCCGATTTGGCTTCTCATGTAACTACTTTTTTATTAGCAGCATTTTGTGGTGTTCCTCTTAACGATTAATTTTTCAATGATCTCAAAATATTCAACTCACAAATGCGAAATTCCTATTTTCTAAGTGAAAATGTTCAAGTCTCTAGGTAAATTCGGGGACACAATCGCTGTGGTGACGAATGTTAATTTTTTACCCTACCCACGAGTATTGATTTCATGTAATTTTCATTTTGTTGGGTCATCTGAGCTTTAAGTAAGTCTATGATACACAAACCACACACTGAATTTGGTATTTGAAAAGAAAGTTTAAAACTGTCCTCTAACTTGATGGTTTCCAAAATATTTGCGTTTTCAGTATGAGACTCGGCGCTCGAGAAGACCAAGAGGATATGGCTATGGAGGCAGAGCGCAGACGTCGACGGTTGGCCAAGGGATGACATTGAAGAGTAACTCCAAGCCTGTCTCTCGTCTTCCTAAGCCTCGTCTTTCAGGGGAGCTACCTCGTCTCTACTTTCCCCTTTGTGAATGAACAAAAATCGACACACTCATCGCTCTATTCTTTGAAATGGACCGGATTCATTTGTACATTTCTGCTGTGATTAGTAACTTTCCTCTTGTGGGGATATTAAAGGCATCGCTGGCAAACTATAGGACGTATTAGACCATCAGGTGTTAAAACACCACTGAGGTGTCCATTTTGGCCACTGATAGGGTTCATTTTCCCCAACACTGCAGTTGCGTGTTGTGGAGTTCGTGCAGAGGCATCACAACTTTATACTTTACGATTTCAAATGAGTTGATATAATTCAGGGGTCAGTCGTAGCCCTGCAGGGGGAATGTTTTCCACGTGGCAATGACAGAATAGTATGTGTGCCAGTATAATATGACATTACATATAGTTGCGAATCTGAGATATCCAGTTTTGTCGAGGGTATTTTACGGAAGATTGCTCATTGGGAAAGGCATTGGAGAGGATGCGATACAGTGTACGTACGTGCTGGCAAGACAAACATCCAACCTGTATGGGCAGGTAAATGCTCCAACTGTCAGCTAAGCCACGTGACCAACCGGTAGCAAGCACGCAAGTCCCCATCCTCGAGCACCCCAATCGCTTATAATGGCTACATTCGAGTTGTATGATTTTAAGATGTCGCATAAAAAAAACCAGAAGGTAGAGATGCACGCATTTAAAATAGTGTAAAACATATGCATACAGGAATTACTGAGATAGGCACAGAAAGGCAGTATGACATAAAAGCGATCCAGAAAAAATTGCAAGCACTACGGGAGTGGAAGGGAGACCCTGGTATTATCCTTCATTGTGATCATTAGAGCAACACGTTCAGAGGAAGAAGGAAGAGTGGGTGGTGGGAAATGCATGTAAAGGCTGAATCACATACAAGATTCAGATAACTTCGTTGCTACCGCTGTTGCTGCGGCTTCTGTTTGGCATATCGATTGCTACCCGAGGTGTTGGAAGTAGACTTTGGTGGAGATTGGGCAGAATCCCACGATGTTGACGTCGGAACTGCCACTAGGGGACTCTGCCTATTGACTTCAAGTTGCTGACGCTGGGAAAGTAATGAACCCGGCGGAGGTGGGGGCGGCGGTGGAGGTGGGATCGGAGGAATAAACTGTGACCCACCAGGACCAGTCAGTGGGATTTGCGGAAATGGAAGGAAAGGTGGTGGCGGGTACATTTGTGGACGTGATCCAACACTCTTTTCCGACTGTCGTGAGGTGGACCTCATTTCTGGTAATTTGGTCGATGCCAAGGCCACTACTGGGGGCGGTGGTGGGGGTGGAGGTGGAATACCCGAAAGAAGTTTATTTAGAGCAGCCCGTTCACCAGTGAACATCTTCTGCCTCAGCATACTATTCTCACTACGCAAATCTTTTACAACGTTCTCCAGAGCTCTTGCAGACAAATAGTTTTCATGCAGACGCTTGTCCATTTCACTGATATGGCGTCGATTTACTCGCTCCGACTCGGCTATCTCACGTCGAGCTGAAGCCAGTTGATCTCGAAGAGTTTTTATTTCCACTTCATAGGATTCCTGTTTGCTTCGCAAAAATTTCAGCTCCTCCATCGATTCTGACTCACTAAGTGCTTGTCGACCCAAGTCCCGCTGAAGCACTGCCTCCCGTTCTTTGAAATACTCCGAAAGAATATCCAACTTCTTCTTTGAGGCGTCACAATCCTCTGTAGCTACATGCAACCTTTGTAGGAGATCGGCGTTCTCCGACTTGAGCACCTCCATTGCCTCTTGCAGTTGAGTGCGCAACTCCGTCTCCTCTTTACGCGCAGCGAGTTCTGCACGTGCCTGCTTTTCAGAATCCTCCAACGCCACCCTGAGACGTCCTACTTCCAAGAATCTGCTCAGCGAGGCCTGAAGTTCGCCTACATCGGCTTCGCTCATTTGTTCTGAAACGCCTTCAATTTCCTCGATAATCTCGTCCAGTTCAAATTCATCCTCTACCTCCCAGCCATCAGTAGAGTTCCCAACCTCTTTTTTTTTCTTGGCTGCTGCAGCAGATTTTTTTTCGGCCCTTGCCTGCTCTCTCCTTTGCTTCTTCAATTCCTCACTCTTTAGCTCAATAAAGGCTTCTCGTAAACTCGAGAGCTCCCGATCCCGAGCGGCAAGATCCTCCTCAAATCGATGATTCGCCTCTTTCAGTTCGTTTACCATCCTTTCGGCGTTTTCCGCTCGTGACTGGTGACTACTAATTTCACAAATTAGGAGCCCCTTCTCCTTTGCAATTCTCTCCGAACACTGGTGAGTACATTCTTCCAATCGACCGTTAAGTTCAGCTATCTCCTCCCTCAACCGCGTGGCAGTGACAGCGGCCTCCGTTTTCACAGTAGACAACTGCTCCACCAACGCATCATGAGTGACTCTTAGTTCCTTGTTCTCCTGCAAACTATCCGCCAAGGAGGTCTTCATATCCCGCAGTTGGTTGTGGATGCGCGTCTCCAAGGCGGAATAATTGCGAGCCTGGTGCTCGTAGCGCTCGCTAACTTTCGTTGACCAAACGATAAGACGTGCATAAGCCTCCTCTTTGTCTGCTAGACTACCTGCCAAGAGATTAGCATTCTCTTCCACAGCTAGCCACTCAGATAGAGAGCGTCTCGTAGGATCATCAGGTTGAGAAGGAGAGAGGCCGAAGAATAAAAGCCGATTGAACAGTTTTAATACTAGCCAGGTAGTTAGAACAGAAAATATGAACAAAAGCCAAGCGATGAAAAAAACAAGAGGTAAGTGGAAAGTGAAAGTGAGGAAACGGTCGAGAAAGGACACGAGTGCAGAAGGAAGTTTAAGCAAGAGGATCTGGGAAATGTTGAAATAACGTCGGGCAAAATATAGAACCATACCAGCCATGATAGATTTTTCACCAATGTGAGGGAATGAGCTCACATTAGACATAAATGAGCCATTGGAGGCATATAGGAGACAGTAGAAAAAAGTGGACTCAGTCGCAATGTCCATCAGAGGACGCAGTGGTGAATTGTCGCTACTTTCTGAATCTACTACACTAGGTCCTGGGAAATGATATTCTGCAAAGGTGTACGAAGAACCTTCATCAGACTCCTTCGCGTCCCCGAGATCACTTTCATCCGACAAAGCCACTTTAATTACTGATTCTGGAGGGACCATTTCCTCAGTACTTTTTGACACAAATTCAGTTTTTTGGACTGGTCTTTCTTGATGGCTAGCCAACTCCTCAAAAGACACCTGGTCAGAATGACTAACTTCATTCTCCTTAAGTGGAACGGAAAGTTTCGATTTCTCACGGTAAAACTCTTGATCGGGAGCAGTCTTTAAACGTGGTTCTGATGTTTGAGTGTTTTGCAGTGAGGGATGCCCAATTTCGAAATCCTGGTTCCGAACAAATTGCGGATCAAGCGAAGCTTTCGCACCTACAACGTTTTTTCCTTTGGGTATAGATCCACGTGATTGGGAGTCGGAGATTTGCATCCCTACTCCTTCAGCGACTTGTGGCTTAGGCTCAGATTGCTCTAGACTTTGTTCAACCTCAGAAAGAGGCAATATTTTAGCTTCCAATTTCGATTCTATCAACTTCGCTTCGGGAGACGGGAGAGATTCGATATCTTCAACATTTAGAGATTTCCCCAAACCTGAATAGCTTTCCAAAGGACCCGTATTCGCATTCTCTTTTGCATGTAACGTGGACAAAGAAACACCTTCCCGCTGTTTAACTGACTGGGAAGTGCCCGGTGTTTCCTCCAAAAATCCAGATGCCTCTGAATCTTTTAGGATTGACTTTTCCTGAGATTCCTGTTGTTGTTGTTGTTGTTGCTGCTGCTGCAGAAGCCGACCATCATGAGCCATGTTCTCCGAAGATAGGTACGATTTCTCCAGCTGGCTTTTTCCTATATGGATAGATGCTGTTTCGTCTCCTGATTCAGGTTCGGATACAGCCGATTCCGAGGAATAAAGTGGAGAGCTCCCTGATTCTTTGACAGTTGAGAAGTGCTCCGAAGTGTGAGAACTCGCACCTTCACTTGGGTGTGGCATAGAAGTATTCCGTACGTGTTCTTGTCGATGCTGCTGTTGTTTTAGAGACCGATAATCAGAGGTCACGTTTTCAGAAAATGGAGGTAGTGCGTTCTGTTGTGATGAAAGTGTTTCCTCTTGGGAGAATGATGGTAAATCATTGTTAGTGGAGAGAGTCGAAAAGTCCCCTGATTTTCCATTACCTCCAGCCGGATGAATAGCAGAAGGCTCAAGACGAGGCAGCTTCACTCGAACCATAGACCGCGGCTCATGTTGCTTCGCGATGATGCGCAGAAAACTAGCATGAACGTGGTAGAAATGCTCACCAAGCTTGATGAGATAAGTTTCTTCTGATGCGGACTGGCCGTATATTTCGATGGCGGTGCCTTTGGAGAGAGAGCGCTCAGGAAGATCAGTGATAACTTCTCCAATAAGGTAAGGCGTGGAGCACTCAGGATCGAAACAGGTTAGCTCAATTGACTCCTGCGATGATGTAACCGCTGTCGTTGCGGTCAAACAGATTAAAAATAAGAGCAGTCGGAACTCCAACATCGTGACAGAACTATGAGGAAAGAAAACAAAGAACCTATTAGAAAAACATACACGAACTCGAATTAGGAGGAGCAAACGAATATGGTACTTATGAGTAAGCAGAGGAAATCTTTTATTTACTCGATTAATTACAATTGATCAAAGGCGGAATCGGTAAACAACACGTGAGGTAAAGCAGAAGCTCACGAATAGATTTGCTATACCAAAAACAAGGCATAGGACCAATAGTAGTTCCAAAATTGTAATCATATTTTATTAACAAAAGAGAGGTATATTTACGGTAAAAATGGTTCCCGAAAGACATTACTAAAATACGCTCTGGAGACCCCAAAAGTCAAGTTAAATTCTTTCATTCGAAATTCCGACAGTAAATGGAACGCATGTCCAAGAGAAACATCATAGGTAGTAATGATCCAGACCGAAAATTAACTGTTGGAATAACTGAAGCACATATGGCAATGACCAAAGAGCAGGAACCAAGATAATCGAAATTGAGCGGCGGAATGCGACACATTAATCACAGTTGTGGGTTCGATACGGAAACTATGGCACTATGATGTCGTATTCCTATTTATAAGTCTTCAATAGACTGCCGATAGTAGCTCAAAAAAATTAAAACTTGAAACAACCGGAGAGCAAGTGCGCCTAGCGAATTACAAAATGATTACAAGTTGTCCACATGCAAGAAATGCACCACAGAAGCAGTTACTACTCGCCCGATTGTCAAATACCAAAAGAATAAGCACCTGAGATGACGTCGCCGGCCCTTACACAGTCAACGAAATAGCACCCAATCAGATTAAAAGCTAGCATTTGTTGATCTGGATACTAAAAAACTGCATTTATGCTTAGTTTTCCTGCAGAAATTTTAATGATCCGTTTAAATAATATTTTTCTTTACATTAATTTGGCGAATCGCTGTCAAAACAAATATCTAAAAGGCATTCAATTCATTTCTTGTACTACTTCAGTGTAGACACAATATAAAGGGGAACATATATGCGGCTAACAGAAAGGATTTGTAGTACTGGCCAACCAATTATACGTTTCAGCATTTATTGTTCGTTCGACGTACCTTCGGAGCAGAAGTTTCTTAAATCTTGGGTTTGAGATTCAACTCGCTCTTTGGCGTGTAGTCTAGGAGTAAAGTATAGTCCCCCCATAACTCATCATTACTCTTCGTTTTCTATACTGTATATAGATTGACTTAAGCTAATAGCACATCTTTCAGTCAACTTTGATGCCGATAAGCGGAGAAAGGCGAGATCCCCTCACTCGTACCCAAATCATGGTGTAATATATACTAGTGTTTAAGTTGATCTTGTTAGGAGAGAAGCGGGAACCGAATTGGATTGCAAATTCAGTGCGTAAGAACCGTGAGGAAGCCCTCTCAGGGTTATATCGGCTAGTCGGCCCATCTGTAGTCCTACCCCCATTTTTCCTGTACCCAATGTCTATTAAATCGACTGCAACTAACCCTCTCTTGAAGATTTTGGTCCAAGGGCATGAGGGTAGGCAGACAGTTCCTGCACTAGGAAACGTGTAATTTAACTGAATGGTCTTTGTACTTCCTTTACATCACTAAAGGCTCAACCACTGAGCTTCCCCTTACATGCACTCCAAAGTCTTCTCCGATATACGTATACGTACCCCCAACACTGATCTTATGTGCATCTTTCTGAAAGTCCACGCTTCGCACCACAAATTCTGAAATTTCGTTTGTAGACTTTTGAACGCTGGACACATCGAGCAACACGGCGTAAGTGAACGACCCCGACCAGTTTGGGCGCAATTCTACTCTCGATAAAATTAGATTGTTTTTGCAAAATTCTTCAAGCTAATTATTATTGTGAACACAATGGTATTTACTTCCCAGAAGAGGTGTCGGAACCCGCCGGAACAATGTGGGAACCCTACAAGTGTACCTGAGTAGTATAGAAGTTGATCTGCCTTCCCCAGAAACCGAACTGCTATTAAAAAGTACTGAAGATATACTTATGCCATGTAAAGGGCGCACGATAAAGCACCAGTAGTATGTCATAAGTTCGTAATCACAGCCTTGAGGCAACAGTGGGACGGCTACATTTCGCGTCTTGGATAGTCGAGACAGACCTCCCGGTTCCATGCACTAAATGTAGAAGTAGTGGAGGAAGCAAAGGTCTTTCGTCGGAAAGCGGAGAATTTCGAAGTGGCCATCGCCGATGTCACATCATGATCCTTAGTGTTGTTGCCGTTCTGAAGCTTCATGATTCGATTACGAATGCCAAGGAGACCCCTCCTCGTCCACTGACCCTCCGACTGCTCTTGCGGCGCCTCCGAGAGTGTTTCCAAATCATGATCGCTGTAAGAGGCAGTACAGATGCTGCCAGCGCTATTTGTAACAGAATTTCTTGCCTTTTTGAGGGCACCTTTGATATCCGCTGTGGTGAGATCAAGTGAACGCATACAGGCAATCTAAAATAAAAAAAAAGTGCATATATGCATATAAAGATAGAATTAAGTGGATGTAGAACACTTGAGCCTAAGCAATATTACAGTTTACTTTTACTTTGAAGACAACTAAAACTAATGTGGAAGATAGAGCACCAAGCGTTTTGAGGAGGTTTGTGAGCCCAATTTGATGCTGTTAACTATTAACAAATGTGAGAGACGCAAACACCTATTTTTGTCACTGTTCTAGGCTAGTTTTGACAAATCGAAGAAAGAAGAAAATACTCCGAAGAATGATGAGGAGAAGTAACCTCATATGGGCATCTTTTGTTTACAATAGATCTCTAACTCAAAGATTAGCAGGAAGATGTGGTTTTAAGATTGATTGTCATAAAGCGACATTCAATTTCAACTCCCCTTGGTTTGTGTGATGATAAGCGACCAGGAGCGTTTCGGCCATCTCAATTAATCGCTGGGCCTAAACGTATACTAAAGCATTTCCCACACCCAAGCATTCCATTACACAAAAAAACATTTTTGAAAAAAATCGTCGAAAAACAGACACTTCGCAATTCAACGACCACATAGCCAAACACACTTGACAGAAAAGCTACTGAGATTACCAAATGGTCTGATCTAAATCACCGTGCTTTTCTGCTGGAAAAAAATCTGAAGTGAGCCAGACTTCACATTCGACCACGGAAAAAGTCGGAATTCAAAATGGCAAGGAAAATGGAACTCACTAAATCATCTGGCGACATGGACTCGGGCATGGGACCAGTGAGAAAGGAGGCAAGATGGTCAAAATCCCATAGAAGGAGGTATTTCTCATACATTCGTAGGATACCCAGAGCTGATAGTAGAAGAGCGGCCTCGCCGTCACGTAGAAAGAGGTCCCAAATACGTAAATCCACATCCAGGGGTAGACTTCGACTATCAGGAACAATAAGGAGCCAACGAAATAATAAGATACCCTAGGTACCCAAAAGAATAAAGTTAGAGAAAATATGTGAAATGATTATATTTATGCCTTATTCCATTTTTATAACTCACAATAGAAGGTTTGTGAAGACCCGGGATAGTAAATTAAACCTAATTCTGTCTCTTTTGATAGAACACTAAACTTCAGCCATACGAATAAAGACGTCTACGGATGCCTCAAACGTGAAAGCTTAACAACAGATGTATCGAAGTCTCATTCGCTCAAGACAGCCACCACATTCACGCTTCCCTCCAAATAATAACCAACTTTAACTTCCGTCTTGGTAGCATAGACGTCTGTGAAGCTGCACAATCTTCGCCAGAGGTTTCCAGAGCAGCGGAGTCACGCAACACGTACATTCACCAATATTTTCCACGTGGTTATGCTAGTAATTTTGTTAAGCTCCTAAGTCGACAAAGCGTCCATAGGCAGTGAGAATCTCTTTAAAAACGTAATCTCGCCTGCCCAAAAAAATTTAAAAAAACTATTACCAGTCTGAAGCAGCAGTTAAAGAAATGATAAATTTGGGTTCGAAAAAGCTTTGTATGACCTAGCGATGTTTTCACTTTGCCTTCAGAGACGTTTAGAGGTGGATCTGTCATATGTAGTGGGATTAATTACTTTTTAAAAACTTGATTAAGTAAAAAATAATTCACACTGGCCATTTAATGAGGGGTAAATAAAAGGTGCTTCTAGCACTCTGAAACAGTTGTTTTAGATTAGTCCCTTCGAGTCAACAGTAGTTCGGAATACAGTGTGAAAGTCGACTCCTCTGACATCAACGGAAATCTGTTCACAAAGGTGCCACTGGCGCTAGAGCAGATATGCCCCACCCTTTCAGCCCCTGGCAAGAGCAAGAGGCTGTTCACTGATGACTCAAAGCTGCTGCGGAAAAACGTCTCTTGACAAAGTGGTTACAATAACTTGAATATGTGGAGAGCTGTAGAAAGTTTCCTAAGTTTGGAAGACTCCCAAACCTCACTTAAACACACAGATCTTTAGCGGACGCAGATCTAGATTGAATAATGACTAGCATGAAAATACGAAATCAAATATTGCTATGAAACTGCCACTATTATTCCTGCGATGAGATTTGATTACCTCACCTAAAGATTGTGAAGAGCCAGTCAAAGAGATAGAGCCTGCAGTCCAATCGGCAGCTCTTGAGGTGGGCAAAAAGACGCGGCATTCGGTCCTCCAACAGCGCATCGAATGCTCCAAAGTATGCTGCGAACTTCAAAATGGAAATGAAACATCTTGAAAAAATATATAAAACAATATTGGTTGAAGCGAAGCATAAACTGGCAAACCGCAATAGAGCATTAACAAAAAAAACCTAACTAGAGTAGAAACTTTTGAGACGACGTAATTGTTAAATGAGGCCACTATGTCTGTGATGAAAATGGATGACGAAAACAATACTGACGCAAAGCAATGTGTAAGAAAAAGCAGCTAAGTACGAAAATTTTTAATGGTAAAAATAGTAAGACAGAACACAGAAAACACAAAAAATTACTGCTCCAATGGTTCATGGGGTAGTAAAAGAGAAATTACGCATAGATTACTGATCCGGTCAAAAAAGCTTGTACGAAAATTGCAATCAATTGAGATTACACTTACAAAAATAGGAAGTTGGCGTAGACAAACAATACTCAGTAGAGTACCAAAAGCAGATGACGTCCACAAAGCTGTCTACATTTTAAATATTCTGCACACAGAGCACCTGAATAATAACGAAATTGGTAATGCCACATCCCTAATCACTTTAACATCGGATCTAAAAGCCATGCCCACATCACTCTAACTAGTACAGGTACTAAAAGATGCAGAAGTTGAGTAGCCAAGTAACATCAGAAGAGTGGAGCTGGCACCATGATGTGCCGCATACACAAACCTCCGATTCGTCGAGGCTGTAGAAGGCGTAAAAGCTGGGTCGGTTCATGAGGGTGGCAAAAGCGACAAAAGCGGGGTAGATGTCGTCCATGACCAGGAGAAGGATACCCGCAATGAATGACATGCCTTGAAGGTATCCCAAAGTGGGCTGGTAGGCTACAAAAGCTGCTAGAAGGTCATGCAAATTGCGGTTGTGCAGCCCATCGGATTGAAAGACCCCAAGCATCGGGAAAGTTCGTGAGACATCCAGCCTAATGACCTGTAGTGAGGCCTCCTCATCTATGGTGGAGAAAAGTAAAAAGGAGTGAAAGGCGAATGGCGCTCAAAAAACCTAAATTGATCGACAAGCGAGAGGGGCGTAGCCAACAAGCGATCACAACGAAGCTATCAATAACTTTAAGATAAATTTACCATAAAGATAAGGCTTGGCGTTAAAATCATGCAAACATCAGAGATTGAGAAAAAGTGAACCTAGTCATTCAAAGAAAGTTGAACTCTACTTTTACAATCGTTTGTTGCTTAAAAAAACCGGCATTGCATGCGTAGCAATGGGAGCAAGTTCTTCCTGTAGTGCGTTTTGACAACCGCTTGAAGACTTGTAAGGAGGGCAAGCGATGATACTTTGACTCCTCCCTCACCCTCCCCCAAATTACCACTGTTCCATCTTCTAAGTAACATGAGCTCTCTACGATTTTGTAGATGATCAAACAGAGGTGCATGTCTAAGTCTTGCCGACACTCTATCCCAAATAAAGCAGTAAGGTAGTGAGATGGTTGAAATGGACAGAAAACCCCGTCGGCTGATCAGAAAAAAGCTCGTAATATGCAATGACTGTTGTAATATTCCAAGCGAATTCGCACTTAAGCTCAAGTAGCACTAACTAATTGACAATAGTACGACGAGTGAAGTAGTATATTCTCCATGGCTAGACCCGGCAAAGCTACCGCGAGAGCTATAAGTGAGGCAGGCGATAGAAAGGGAGAAGGCCGACCGATGGCTTAAGAGCAAGCGCCCTCTGATTAGATAATGGTTCGATCAAAAGCTGGCAACGACATAATGGCTTCCAAGACATCGCATTTTCGACCGATGAAAAACACACCGTTAAGGTAGTGAAACGAGGGATGAAAGACCATTCACAACTCTACAAAGCGAATGCGGTTGACAGACTGGAGCACTTGAAAGTAGAGCATGTGGCGGAAATGCGAAAAAAGATGGCGAAGAGACTGAGCAAAACTGATTGCTCAAAAAGCTGAAAGTCAAAAGAACTCTACCACTCATTAGGTTCACATCAATGAGGTTAATTGCACTGAATTGTGAAAAAACAGTAAACCAACACCTGATTTAACTTAATGACGATGAACTATAAATATACTATAGCATAGAAGGAAGCACTCTCAAGAAGCATGGAAACTGTGGTTGCCTAGCAATATTCGTCTGCATTGTTCATCATTGATTAAATTATTTGCAAAAGTTCTCACGGCAGAATTTACCTCGCTCACATTTGGTTGCTATTACTACTAAAGTCGTAAGAAACTTGAAATTTAAAAAAAAAGGTAGTCAGAAATAGGTCAAAAACTTTTAATGTAGAGAGTTATGGTCTAGAAGTCATCGGTTTAGACACACAGACACTAGGGTAGGGGTTCCAGTATTAAGAGCGCTGACTGCACGCCGTCTAACGCGCCAGGAATTCAAGACCTAAAACTCGTTATTCATGAAGACATACACAAAGGAACACTCGAGCGCTCAACTTTCATGCAAATAACACTGCCAAAAATGTAGGGTTAACAGCAAAAAAGTCGTTTCTTTGAGCTTATGTCAACATATAGCACATACTTTTTACAAAACTATGGATGAAACGTGGAAAAAAGGAAAAGTGACGTTCTGAAACTGAGATGACAAAATGAGCACTTTCATCGCACCTCGGATTCATCTCATTAAAGGCGTGTTTTGCATGAAAAAGTCTGAATGATTTCCACATACTCGAAGCGAACGTGAATTGATGCAACAACTAAGAGCAGTATAAACAAAGCAAAAATATGCACTGAATCATAATTATCATGCAAAAAACTCACCGTGCCATTAGGAGATGACACAAACTATTGAAACAAAGAGTAGGAATAGTCAAAATCAAAAAGTAAATTTACCAGAGGTGGCGACCGAGAAAACGGAAGGTTAGGAACATACTTGAAGAGAGATCACCCAAAATGGTGGGAGAAGGCGATGGTGTAAGGGGATCCGGAGGTGTAACTAAGATCCTTCTGGAAGTGATGGAAGTTTCTGCTTCAGATTCCGCACCGCTGATCTGACGCAGGAGACGCGATTCGGACAAGGGATATACGTCAGCCTGGCTCCCACCATTAGGCAAGGAATAAAGGCGCTCGGAACGTCCTGCTCCAGCTGAGGTAGTTGGCTGACCGGTAAATTCACTATCTTCCTGAGAAGTGCGATTCAAGGCGTCGGCGAGGCGACGCGCACTCTCCAGACGCCGTATAGTGTAACGACTGTGGGTGAGGCAACTTTCAAAGAGGTCCCTAGTAATGCCCAGCGGATTTCCAATTATCAGCTGCCACACCTAGGTACGCAAGTTTTGCGACTAAGATATCCTCCATCATCTTGTAGATTCTCAGTAGCAAATGGAGCAAATGCTCAGATATGACAAAGTAAAACGGTGTTTGGCGCGATTTAGGTTTGAAGAGTTGCATATGCACATTTGCACAAGAGGGTGTAGTTTTTTGTTACTTCCTGAGAGGTGATTACGACCTCACAGCAGCTCCGTACGTTTGGTGCAAGGTGGCATGTAACCTTTCGCATTGCAAAAAATAAAAAAACAAGTAAAAGTCGCTTAGAAATAGTTTGTGGAAGCGTCATTAATTTTACGCCTCAGTTTTTTCTAACTAGAACAAAAAAAGCATGAAAATGCAAAGTTTATAAAGTAAAGAGAGGATAGGATCAGTTGCAGACCAGATTTAGGCATTTTGAGATATTAGTGAATGGTTCCGTTATATTCCTAAATCGGAGGAGGATATGCTATAGCCAAAAAAGGCAGCATTATCTTTGCTTTTGGAAGACAGGGTTGTGCACAAAAACGCAATAAAGGTGAAGCTTTTATAAACAAATAACCGCCCTAGGTGCCATCAGGTATTGCATTAAAGACCCAAAGATTCGTACGAAGGCCTTGGACTATTGAGTTAATCTGGATCTCACAAATAGAACAATGCTAATAAAAAACGAGGTTGATGACTAAATAACTGTCTTTACTTTCTCAGAGTTATTGTTAAACGAAATTCCAAAATGAGAAAGTATTGCTTAAGGTTTCCTTGAAAGTGAATTATTCATTAACGAGGTACATCCTTCTGACGGTCAAAAGCTGAGGAAAAATAAACGTTTTGCTAAAAATGTATATTTTTTCAATACCTGACTTCGCACAGGGGAGGGTATGCCAAGCCACCAGTCATCAAGGGGCTGATTGGCCCGTTCCAAGGTGTCCCAGTGTGGAATTACCTCGTTACGCCAGTAGTTGACACGATCGCCAATTCTTGACTCATTTGTGTGACGTTTCTCTTGTTGGGCCAGAATTTGCGAGATCTTCTCCTGGTCTAAAGTGTGAATTTGGGACAGCAAATTAGTAAGCACATCGACAAAGAAAATTATTGCACTTGACAGTGGGTAAGGAAATGAGTAGAGGTTCTCTTGATTCAGTCATTTAAACAGATCGAGACGTCACGTCACCAATCCATATTTGCGCAGCCCCCACGAATGAGTGCCCGACCCCAAAGGACGAGGTAGAAGTGCCCGAAATGCCCTTTTAAAACGAGCACTTACGCCTTTTGGATATGATTTGCATGATTTTATTGCATTCGATTCGATGACGTTTAGCCTCTTGAGGATCTTTTCGAGGGAGGTCACTGAAATTATAGTAACAATAAGCAAGAAATCAGGACAAACCCGCCTGGATCCATACGGAATTGAGTAACAAACAAAGAAAATCCGGATGTCAAAAAATTAACAGACGAACTACTTGCACTAGGAAGATAAGAAGTAAATCAGACAGGAACGCTCTTCTTGGATTTACGGGCAATTCAAAGAATAGTCAGAAGAAAAGTCAATACTTCTGCAGAAAAGAATCCGTAAATTTTGCCAGTGTTATGAATTAGCAATAAAAAACCAAATAAATATGGCATTAACCATGACTCCACAGGAACAAACAAATTAACGTATGAAAGGAACAAGTCAACAATCAAAGGATAGACAACCTTGGTCTCTCATAGGCATGAAGAAAAGTTGTTGACTGGATTGTTCCATTAGCCGTGGTAAGAGGTATTGAACTGAAACAATCCAGCAAAGGCATTAAAGACGAATCGTACAGTAGTACAGGTACAATAAATGGCTTTCCAGCGTAATTTATACTTTTGCAAAGAAAACCGATGAAAAGGGCATGAGTCTAAACAGACCCAAGAAGTTAAAAAGTAGAGTGACGAAATCGAACAACACAAAATTCGAAATCTATATGAATAAGAAATATAAACAATGCATAAGATGAAGAGAGAAAAAGGAAGAAAAGGAAAAAACAAGAATGTTCAGGACTTACGCAACTTCCGCAGCGTCGACACATTGTCTGGAGTGCTGACGAGGGTAATTAGTCTCACGAGCGACGAAATCCGGAGCTGCTAGATAACGCAAGCGAGGGCTTGACAAGCTCAAAGAATTAGGATCGGATTCGGAAAACGGCTCACTCAAAACCCCTAAATCACCGTCTTCGCAGGAGCCAGGATCGCCTGACCCTATCATAACTGCCAGACCAATGATAGTTAAGATGGAATAGACCAATAAGGTTGGCAATAATTAAACTTAAGTCGTCGAATGCAAAATAGGAATATAGATATTCCAACGACATAAGATTTGTCCAAGTGACTAGAAAAGATTAGCAATTTTTCATTGGGTTTGGTCTGGCTAAATCAACTAATTAAGTTTAATTTAAAATAATGAGATTATTCAACTGAAAAAGTTAAAGCACCCAGCCTTTGCTCCGCATAAATCAGGCAATAAATTGTGGCGTAAGCAGTTTGTTAAATGTAGCGTCTAGCTAGGTACTGTGGAGCTATAATCCAATTCACTCTAGAGGGGCAAATTATTCCCGGCAAATCGGAGCAGATCTTATAAGCCAGCTAACTGTAACACCTTACTTATTGAGCAGCCTGTATGCGTTTCACCCGAGACTTCCAACTAGACGAAAGAAGGCCTTATATTGGTCTTAATACATGCATTCTAGATTGTGGAGAAAGGATTGAACCAGGGCTTAGCACAAGGTTTTGCCCATGTGTCATCGATCACTGAGCATAATGTACTCACATAACCAAAGTATTGTACCACTTTTTTCTTCTTTTAAGCTCCGTCCTCATCGCTCCCCTGGGTACGCCTCCCGCGCCAGCCACCTCTTCACATTCGGCGCTGCTACAATGTAACGCCCATGAGTCAACCCAGCAGGACATCAGATACCGTGAGAGTGGTGCGCTATACTTCACCTTCTCAATGGCCCCAACTGGATCAAAAGTTGCATTCGATCTCTAAGCATGAATTATAGAGAAGCTTTTCTGTTGACCATTAATCGTGTTGGAGGTCTGACGTTGTAGCGTCCCTAGAATTCCCACAGTACGGAAGAAGAAGGTGGATAAATGTATTCCAAAGAGGACAAAGCATGAGCATGACCTGAAGGCCAGCACACAATTACAATGGTCAGACCAGTCCTAAAGTAACCGCCGAACGTCAAGCATTCACATAAACAAAGCATTACAGACGTTAGTGCACTAATAAAACAGAGTCCGCGTAATATTTTAGATACCAAGTGGTCATATAACTAAAGAATTTCAGTAAGACTCTAGGTCACTTTGGTATTCACTTTGTTCACGGCTGCACAGGCTGGATCGCGGTCCAAGCCAAAGCCTGGCCTCTTCTCTTCTCCTCTGAATACACACATTCGGTCACACATAATTTCTGTCTTTACCTAACAGAAAATCTACTGTTGCTATTCGTAAAAGTGGCTTCCATGGACCAGAGTTGTTTGAGCGCAATAGAAGTAAAATAAGGGCGTATCTGCAATAATTGTAACGACCCGAGGCTCCCAATTTGATAAAAGAAGACATGAGAATTGGTTGGATGCTTGTACTGTTAAACAGATTGCTGATAAGATGCTATGACCCATTCCAAAGACCTGACCCACACCAGAAGCAAGAATGTCATCAAAGCGACTGCCAGCTATGCAAGAGTTCGGAGAGGCAATGTGGTACATTGTTCCTTTCTTTGTTAAGCCATGTTCTTGGCAATTCTCTTGATTCACTCCCTTCACTGACTATCTCTACGCGCTCGATGCTACAAAAAAACACTCGCGAGTCAGCTGTGCAAACCGTCAGCTGTAAATGAGCTAAGGGAATGTTTCTGGTTCACTAGGCGGCTTTGAATGGTTTTGGAGTTGTTTGGCCTAATAGCAGGTATCAGAGCAGAGGCTTATGTAAACATCAGTTGTGTCCACATCCAGACGCTGCGATACCGGTCTAGGATGGATTTCTTACAAGGAAACCGGGATCGAACCCACTCCTAGATGGGACAGAGCTCAGCGTGATATCATTGCCGGCATCTGTTGGAGGATACGATAATAGGAACATCGAAGCGAAACTTTTAAGGTATGAGGTGATGTTGTTTCGCTAAATGAAAGCTAGACAAAGGAGGACGGGAGGTAAGACAGACTCTAATATTAGACGTCTTTCTCAGCCCTTCTGTTTTAGAGGACTTACAGATTCTCTCAGAGAAGTATGCTAAATTGATTTTACACTGTAGATGTTCATCATAATCTGATAGATAAATTATTTGAATTATTATTATTATTAGATTTGGGTTGGAAATCCGCTGTTAATAACGTAACGTTCTAGACTTTATATGCTGTGAAGGAATGGATAAGAATTAGCTAAATGTCCGCATGGCAGAAGCAAGACGACTGTCAAAGTGACCTCCGATCACAGGTTGGCAAGCAAACAAAGTATTACAATAAACGTACTATAATTGATCGAATGTGGTACTTAAAAGATCATAGTGCTATTGTTGCGCAAGATACCTCAAGGGGGTAAGAAAAGCCAAACTCCCTTTCTCTTCGCCTGAATGCAAGCACATGGCTCCAGTAATAGCCAGCATAGCTAGTAGACAAATTATGACAATAAAATAGAACCATTCTTGAGGGCTTGGTAATGCTTTGTTTATGAGAATACTTGACGTTCGGCGGCCACTTTAGGAATTGTCTGGTCCTTGTACACGTGGGCTGGCCTTCGAGCCATGCGCATGTGAATTCACTCCATTCCCTTCGGAATACATGTACCCAGCCTCACTCACTGCCTTCCTCCACTCTATGGGAAGTCTCGAGACGTTACACTAGTGGCAACCGAAAGCGAACCTAACATTTTTACAGTGATTTCTACTCTAGCACGTTTCGTTTGTTGCATATACCTGCTATGTGGAAGAGACGCATTTATATCAATGGAGGAGACACTCTGAACCCTTCACAACGAAAGAATTCGGACTGACATCTGTATTTGGTTTCATCTTATTCCCGTGTTCCGCAGACGAGCTATTAGTAACTGAAGCGGCACCGTCGTGAACCATCTGGAAAAGTTTTGTGCGGGAATTTCTCCTACAAAATCCGTGTATAGGTGTCAGAAATGACACTACGATTCTCCTTATATACGAGAATGTGGCTTATTCCATTTCTTCTTTAACATATCTGTTTAAGACCAGAGTTCCACCATCTAGTCCTAAAAGCAATTGATAGTGAAAAGATGTATGCGGCTCCTAGTCTGGGTGCCAGACCGAACGTAACTTCAGATCCAGATGAAGCTGCCGAGGAGATTAAGTACGTTTCCTTAGTTTCGTGGTAGCTGTCAACTAACGCGGTTGGCTCGTGGGTGCTTTCTTGCAGTGCCGAATATATTGTGAAGGCTCGCGTAGGAGGTGTGCCAAGGGGAGCTCCTAGAACGTCGCTCAAAAGAAGAGAGGAGCAGTGTAATGCTTTGTTTATGCGACTACCTAACCTTCGACGGTCCTTCTAGGATTCTTCTGGTCCTTGTACATGTGGGATGGCCTTCGGACCATGCTCAGGGCCATTTGTTCTGTCCTCTTCGGAATACATGAATCCAGCCACATTCACTGCCTTATTCCACACTATGGAAAGTCTTGGGACGCTACGGGATTTGGCACCAACACAAGAGTGGATGGATGGAATGGATTAGTAATAACGAATGTTTTAGTTCGTTGGTCCGTCTTATTCATGCTCTAATCTTCCCTAAAGGCTTGTTAATACATTGTGTTTTCGATGCGCAGAGTCGATTTTAGCAAGGATGGCAGCGCATAAAATATAATGGTATAATTTTGCAGCCCTAACAAAACTAACTTCGAAGTCTTTGTCAATCCATGTGGATGTTTACATTTTGAATCGTAATATACATTCAAAAATTGATAGATTCCTCCCATCATTAAATCTATTATAAATATTTAATTTTATTAAAGTTGATAAGTTTTAGTTTACAGTCTGACTTCTTTATGCTCATTCACTAATTAAACTTTTGAAACCGTTAAATTTGTTAGTTCTGGTTTTGTAGGTCACGTCCGTGCGTTCCGGCAGACATTCGACTACCCTGGGCTGTCGATCGAAGTACTAGTGGCTCTTTCCAAAGTTTTCGATGGTTTCTCGTAATTCTGTTGTTACGTTTGGAAAAAATGCTTACCCAAAAGCGTTGGCAAGTGTTTCATTTGACGAATTGTTAGGTTGCACATATGCAAAAGGCGATTAACTCTCTGGAAGCCCCTCCAAAGCCTAAGCATGTCCGTGCAATAATTTTAGAAACGCATCAGCAAAAGACCTCAATTTTTTTATATTCAGCCATGCCTGAGTTGCAGGTTCTTACAAATCAAGTGGCTTGCTGGAAATACCTGATTGTGATGCACAAAATTTTGCGAAATGGCTATCGAGAGGTATGACACATTATCTGTAAACATTTCTTATAGGCGATTCGTTACGGGCCCAGAAAAATTGCCACATTTGAAGAAATCAAGCGCACATGGGTGCGTAGTCTTAATGGCAAATTATTTTTAGGCCGTTTTTCCGGGTCAATATAGTGCTATGATTGTCCAATTTTGTTGTGTGATTACAAAGAAATTCTTCTTCCACCGTAACGTATGCTTCTTTATTGAGTAATGATTCTCCATAGTTTTCAAGCATTCCAGGTGATTTTGAAGTTCCCGTACAAACAGTCATGGCCTCTATTGGCCCATCACCTGACAATTTGTATGTACCATCTGGCTAAATTTAAATGTTTCTCCATGTATTTGTTTTTCTTGCGTTATTGCACCATTATAACAGAATTTACAACTTTATTTTGGTGCAGAAATCTTTAAACATGTTTTTATTCTATTTTGTGTTTTATTGCAGTAGTGTCTGGATGAGCATTTTAGTGTAAAGTTATACTTGCTTTTCTATTTATAACCTACCTTTGGTCACTTCGTGACATGGATTTGAGAATTTCACACAGTAGTTTGATCTATCTTCCAGTATTTTTGCCTGAATAGGATGAGTTTCGCGTTGGCCTTGATGGATTATCTGGAAGCCATATTGAACTTTCAGGCGTTGGTTCTAACCAACGTAGATTCCAGTCCCTCCTCATCCGGCGCATCTTGTAATTGCCGACTTGCTGCGCTAATTCAATGCGTTCGAGACTGTGCAGCTCTCTATGATATGGCGTTGAAGACGACGATTAAGTTGCACAGTGTCATGCCTGCACAATCACTTGAAGGACTGCGCACGCGATTCAGTCGTCTCTATCTTATGCTTGAACGCTTCTTTTTACACGCCAATAGCTACGCCTACATTCGTGACCTTCTCAGGATTCCGCTATTGCCTAATGTGAGCCATCGTCGTCGTCTGTCAACCTCCTCTCATCATCTTCTACCTTTCCTTCATCTGTTCCCTTTCTTCCCACTATTCTTTTTTTTAAAAGTTTTTCAAAATCCTCTTCTATCAAGTACCATTCGTTTCATTCATTCCTTCCAGCCCTTTTATCAACGCAGCTTATTGTTTCGTTCCTTTTGTTTCACTATTTTAAATGCTTAATTCTCCTCTATATTCCTCCGTTTTCCCTCCATCCATCTTTTTGCCTATCGCCACTTTAAGCATTCTCTTGTTTCCTGATGGCTTTGCTCCTTTTACCAATGACGTATTTGGCTATTTTGACCGCATGCTTTTACGATTTTTCGTCCCCTTCTTTTAGTCTCCTCCAGATTTTTTGGATGCGGCAACTAAGGTTCAAAGTATCGAGGTTGTTGAAAAAACTGACGAAGAAGGCGTTGGCCAATTGGTGGATTTGAGCACCCCCGAGGTAGTCTATCGCAGCTAAACTTGCACTCATTCTCCCCTTTTACCCATCTTTCTAAGCACGAAGGTTGCTTTACATCACAAAATGTTATTACTTGGACACATTCAGTTATTTTTACTTTTTTAATGCCCATCTTTCAATTTTACTTATAAAGTAAGTTCAAAAATACTTATGCATGACTTTTGTCGCTTTGTCTGGCGTGCATTGTGCATGTTTTGTGCACGTGAACTATGCCTTGCGGCAGTGGTTACCTTCATGGCGGCGGCGAAAACAACCAAGTCTAGAATGCCAGCTTGAAAAGCTAATTTTATGTTGTATACTTTTTTACTCGAATGACATCTTCGACTTCACCACAAGTCGTTTCATTTGATACAACGAGGTGTTGGTTGAGTTTTCTGTTGGTAACGCCTTAGAGCGTCACCGTTGCCAATGAAGGCTGGAGAACAGACGAATCTGATGCAACCTATGGAGGTCCCGCAAATTCTCGTTCATTCTCTTCGACTGCGAGTCCTCAGTGAGTCATCTGAATTTTTAATTGCTCTTCACTGCAACCTGTGGCAAATCTTATACTTCCTTGGTTAAATTAACAGACTCCTTTATCCGGCCATCTTTGGGTATTTTCACTGTTTACTACACTGCTAAAAAGGGTGCTGTTACCTGTCCTTTCGATACGCTTGATATATTACAAGCCCATTAACATGACTCGTCGCTAGTGTTGCATTCAAGTTTCAACTTTTTCCACATCTGTTTATTTATTCATTGTTACAGAACCAGGGTGGTATTTTCCATCAACATTGACCCCCACGGTAACTGTTGCTAATACAATTTGCGGGTCTTGTGCTGTTATTTCTTTTGTTTATTGTGACCTTTCTTGTAGTGAAGACATGACCGTTCTTCAAATGGTACAAAATTTATTTTTGCATTTCTCAGGACATAGTGGGTGTCAACCACGTCGTGAGTTGGTCATGTTGACTCAAATTAAACTTGAAATTTCCTCTGGGGTTTTAGGCACGAGCAACTGTTGGAAATCGAGCTGCTCAAGTCGAAAATCCAACGCATGCAAACTGAGGTGACTGGATGCTGCGGCATTTTTCTGTTCCAACGTTATTGTTGGCAGCAAAATAACTGCTTTCGGGGTATTTCCTTTATTGTTTAGAAATCGGATGCACAAGAACACCTTTTAGATCGGATAAGAACGCTGGAGGAAGAAGTAAAGGCATTGGTTCAGGTCAAATCAAGGCAAGACGAGGTTTGATTCCACTTAAGTCTTGTCTTTTGTTTGCACAAGCTGACAGTCCAAAATAACACGAAATTTGAGCTTGTGATGTGGCTTACAAAGCCGTAGGCATACCGCTAATTTCGCCTTCAAATTAACTCTCTCTCTCCAATCCTTCCGTTTAGACTTTCACTAAAACCTTTAATTATTTCGTGGATTAATTTGTTGTTGTTTGTGCTGCAAAGATGTCGCTGGGCGTGTGTATCATACCGACGTCGTGGCACAACGTAGCAGGTTATTTTCGTCTAAGAGCACCGCTTTGCTGGTAAAGGACTTGTCCTCCATGTATCAACTCTAAGTACTTCTCCCTACTCGTTCATTTGACTTTGTTGGTGCCGATACACATTGTAAAACACAGTTGAACTTCAGACAGAGGAGGTTGATGTTCTTCATCTTTATTATTTCCGGTGTTTAGAAGGAGTTTTTAATAGACTAAGGCCTTTTGCAAATAACCTATGCTACAAAACAGCATAACTACATAGCAACATCTCTACGCTTTCTGGTGGTGGGTGACTTTCATTAGTGGCGAACTTACCTAAAAAGACTACAAATTTGCGTAAATCTGTTGATCGGACTGTTTAAGTGGTTTAAAGACGTATTCGTTTCCTCCCCTCTCCTCCTCCCCGGGTAGTGATTTGGCGGTTGTCGGACCACTTTGAATTGAATGACGTTGACATGGCACTGACTGCTCTTGCACATTGCAGCAACTGACACTGTTGATTGATCAAGTGAAAGGCCAGACGGCTGCGGTGGCGTCTTCGGAGGAAAAATTCATGCGTATTAGCGACGCTTATGGAAAATTGCGGGCAGAGCATGTTCGCACCCTCGAAGAGGTAGGTTCCTCGGTTGCTATGGCGCTCTCTGTGATTTCACCTTTTCAGCAAAGGTGCCAAACACCCACACAATGCTTCTGTATGCTAACTTTGTTTACTCCATGTCTATTGTTTGCTTACCCCTACGTGGCACCTTTGGCTAGTCCAATTCCCGTAACAGCTCTTTTTTGGCACACCTAAATGCCACGCTTAAAATGAGACGTTATTTTGATCTGAATTCATTCTCAACTCAATGTCAAACCTTCACTGAAAATAGTGCTGTCTTTGGTGGCGCGAGGAGAAGGTGTTCGGGCATCAGTTATTAAATTTTATCTGTAAATCCCACTAGCAAGGATGTGAAAATTGCAGTAAATATGAGGTATCTTATTTTAAAGTGGACTTTTGTCTTTTCCTCTACTTAGATGGAGGCATCATCTCAAAATGGAGTCGACGCGAAGGTGAGGAAGTCGGGGCAGTCCCTCAACCATTGTGTACTTCTTCTTTTAAAGAATCTCAAAATTAAATTTTACATAAAAAGTAGTACAAATTACTACTAAATAGTCACATCAATTTTCTTAGAGTCCCTCAAATACAATCGGTTATACATGCGGCTGTCAAATGTCTTGTCTTATCTAACCCGTTCCGCTGATTGAATTGCTTTTTTAACTCTCTAAGCATAATATTTGCGGTGCCTTAAAGGGAGACATGAAGAAGGGCTCACCTGAGTCACAAAGCATGTAGGTACGTGTTCAGTTGACAGCACCACTACACTACAAGAATTATTTTGTAGGTCAATTGTAAACAATTTCACTCAGCTCTGCGTAGCTGGGTGTTTACGCTGTCATCATAGTCATTGCATCTCCCCCTAATCTGTCTCTCCCCTTGAGTAGCAGCAGTTGGCGACGTTGGAGTCGGAACAGGAGGCGCGTCGCGCCTTGGAGGCCCAATTGGCCGAAAGTCGTTTGGCCCTTCAGACAGCGGAGGAGAGGGCATCCCACCTCAGCAGTCAGTTGGAGGACACTCGCCAGGTGGTTGAACGAGAAATGCGTGACTTCTTGCTCAAGGCTGCGTGTTTGAAAGCTAAACAAGATGCCAGTGCCATTAAATCACTGATGGAGGACTCGGAATTTGTTCAGTGTCGAAGCTGTGCAGGTAGATGACCAGCTGGGAAATAATGCTAAGTAAAGTTCATCAAACTTCATTTGCCACTTTGCCATTTGGTGACTTTAGTTTCATTCATTTCCATGTAAAATACGTCTGCCTAAGTGAATCCTTTGGTGGCATTTTTAGTGCAATCTTCTGGTAAATAGTCGTTTTTTATCCTGTAAAGTGCTTGCAATGATATGCATTTTATCAATTTTGTATCAACCTTTCATAGTCCTATTCATCTCTCCCCTTGTTCTTTTCTCCTTCAGATGTTGTTAACGCCTTTGCAAAATCAGCAACTGCTGAAGTGCTTCAATTGAAAGGAATAATTTCTGATGCAGATGCCAAGAGTAAGTTTTATTTCACACCATGCGGATTGGTGAAATGGAATTCTTTGCCATTGAATTCAAGTCTCTGCAGATCACTTAATCGCTTTGCTGGGAATGCAAATGACGCTAGTTTATCCCATTTTCACACCCTCCTCAGAAGATTCAATCTAACCTGCCTGATAAGACATCAGTTAGGTAGTTTTTTTTCAAATCCTCGAGTACTTGAGGCTTCTTTCTGTATTGGCCGGATACCAAGACGATTATACGACATGCGAGACGCAAAGTATTTCTCCACAAATGTACAAACTTGTGCCAGAGTGATGCCATTGCATGAGTCTAATGTCGTTTAATGTTTTTTTTTCTTCACACTACGCGCTTGCGTCATAATGCTTTCGTGGCAGATTGGCCGTTTCGTCTGTAGTTGCTGATTTTATGATTACTCACTAGTGTATGAGGTGAAACAACAGCGGTCACCATTAATGGGGGCATTTTGGAGGCTACTTTGCATCACTTGCATTGGCATAGCTGCCATTCTTGACAGCTGCTCAAGTTTTTATTACTATTATTATTTTTTTCTCTTTGAACCGTCGGAGTTGAACGAAATTTTAAAAAATGACAAATTGAATGAGCCTGTCATAGCGATGGTATTTCCACATCTTGGAAGCACAAGTTTTGCCGTGTCCTATGCTTTCTTACACTTTAAAATGAATCAACGAAACAAGTGCTTGGTCACATTGGCCCTTCTGATTTTACCATCGAAGTGGGTAGAGAGAAGGTGAAGGGGCAGCCAAACTGGAAATGTGGGATTAGCATCTGATCAGGTTCACTAAAAATATCATTTTATCCATTTCTTGCCGGATAGGTTCTACGTCACTACCTTTAGACGTGGCTCATTTCTCCTCCCACCTCAGTGCCACTCTTCTTCATGCCAAATCCATTGCCAATTCTGCCGCAGACATTGTAAGATCCGACGGTACGTTTTACTCCCCAACTAGTCCATTTTTCTCTTTCAGCTTGCTTGAAGATCCTCCTCTCCTTTCCAGAGTTGTCGGCCCTCTGCAAGCGTTGTCACAACGATAGCATTGAAATATACTCCCACCTCCTTTCCACTGATTTTGAGGGATGGCGCAAGTCAGCAGTACTGGGTCACGTGGAGAGTCTGGTGTCGGCTTTTTCACGAATACAAGTGCTGACGGAGGAGATGAGGCCGCGTATCAAGGATGTGAGCGAAGAAGATCTGGCCTCGATCTTGGAACAGGAGATGCAACGCACCGCGGAGCTTATAGCACGTGCACAGATTAGATTCAAGGTGCGCCACTCTTTTGCCTCACAAAGTGAACCGCTGTGTTTAATTTCATTGGGCGTTAAAACCTGAACCTAATTGGTCTCTAAGTCGTGTCTCTAAAGTGGATTGACAACGTGGATTGTCATTGTGCCAATTAAAGCCGGTGAGTAAGAGAATGACAAATATCCTTTGCCATTTTTCAATTACTCACCTCGCCGACAAGAAGTTTGAAGCTTTCTTCATGATTATCTGTACCAAATGACGGCGCATAATCTTTTCCAAATTTGTTTCTCACTTGTTAATGGCAATGAGATGGGTTTGTGCATCTGTATGCTGACGGTCTATAACAATTCTCTTGCGATCATTAAAGAGCTGAAATGCGACTTTGTAGTTCTCTGATAATTATGCACTCGTGCATTTCACCAACAGGAGCTTGTAGAACAATCGAAGACCTCGATGACGGGTATTCAGCTAGAAGTGCACAGCAAGATTCTTGATTCCTGCACAAAGCTCATGTCTGCGGTTTCCCTCCTCATTGCAAAGGCGTGTGAACTACAAAAGGAGATTGTCAACGAGGGAAGAGTGAGTTCAACCATTGACATTATCCCTCTACGGTTGATTTGGCAGTAAAAGCACAAAGTGGTGAATTGATACGCCTACCGTCAGCTTTACCATCAGTGCCACTTACAATTTTTCTAGGTAGGCTTCTTTTGATCGGCAAATTTAAAAATCTTGCAAGCTGTCACAATCTGCATTTGACTATTTGTTGCATTGAAAATTGCATACTTTGCATCTATTCACGGAGGTTAAGCTTGTAAATGACGTTGAAGTATAAACCGTCACTTCATTGTCACGTGCTAACTCCTAGTTCGTCTGATCTTTCATTGAGGTCGTAAAGTGGCTTGCCACTCAAAGTAATCAACTGATGAATTACAGGAGACTTATGAGTAATTGCTTATCGCAGTTTTGCAAAGTTTTGCTTCTATTTGCCCCAAAGAGTACAAGCGAAAGCAGCTACTCTCTGTTGATTAGACGACTGGAATTCGGCTTGGACTCTTAGCCCATGCCTAATTTTATACAATTCCAGATATTGTTTAAAACAGAACTTCTATCTTTAGCATAACTTGAATTGTAGGAAATTCTTTGTTATGGTTGATAGGACGTTTTCCCCATTTGAAGCAAAAGCACGATTTCATTTGTGCATTCATTCATTCACGCTTCCATGTACTGGGTTTCAATGTCAATGGTTGTAACGCATTTCAGCATTTAGCACTTGATTATACTTTCAGCTACAGTAGTGTTTCTTCGCTTCCGTTTTGTTGGCACCCATAGCTTTTGAATCAAACTGCGATGATCCAGTTAAAATGTGATTTCAGAGAGATTCTGAGCTCTCCAAGATGTTTCGATATCTAACGAGGCGATTGTATGCAGACATGATTTGTAAGGCCAAGGTACAGTTGGACTTGAGGATAGTGGCCATGTCGGATGACTAGGGACCTCTACGGAGCATCAATGACGGAATTCCTCAGCGGGCCTTTAATCTAACCCACTTCTGATCCAGCAATTAGCTGATCGCATAGTCCTACATCTTAAGTGCTGCTCTTGTTGTTTCATTTGGTTGCCCTCCTCTTGCAATCACGGAAGTACAAACTGCGGCGATACAACGTTACAGCATCACTAACTCGTGCTGATACCTCTAAGACTTTATCCTCTAGATTGGATTTGGGGACTAAGGCGTGCCCACCATTACATGTAGTTACCGCTGGCCATAGGAACTGGCCAAAAGCCGAGACACAGGGCAAGAGATAAGAATAATCTTAGTTTCGGTGACATACAAGTTTGTGTCGATTTTCGCCTTCAACTTGGTTTTACTTCCATGCTTGTCATCCGTGTCCATCTGGATTTTATCTGGTTAAAAGATTGACTCACTTCATTATTTCATACAAGGTTCAGTTTCATTTCACATCCCACTATAGGCATATCCCTATATTGAATATAGATTTAGATGAAAGGTTTCCTTTTGGTTTTATTCACTGTCTACTAAAATTTGCCAATAAATTTTTTCCTTCTTCAGGGAACTGCAACTGTAAAGGAATTTTACAAGCGTCATAATCGGTGGACTGAAGGGCTCTTTTCGGCTGCTAAGTCTGTCGGTGCTGGAGCCAATCTTCTGGTGTATGCTTATTTTTCCATTTCACTTCTATTTACAACTGACGTCCTCCAAGCCTATTGGTTCAAAGAAATGAAGTAAAATTTTATTGGTCCTTAATCAACCATTCAGAGAGCCAGATTGATATAAATTAATCAAGCAAAACTGGGATGAAAACTTTGCATTTAAGATTTACTATAGCGCCGGATTTTTGCTGAACGGTTTGTGCTTCCATTTTACATGAATATGGTCCAATATGTACTTGGTTTTATGTGAAAGTTTAGTCTGCTAGTTTGGAGGCCCGTTTACCGATCGCAGTAGCTACTATTGTTCCACTGTTACTATACTCTCAAATAGTTTCTTTGAAACATCATAGAGGTCTCCAGTCAGTCGATGAGCGAACCAGATGTTCAGTTCAGTTCCTTTCAGTGCTAATTTTGAATAAACTCCCATTACTCAACCACTGATTAACACGGTGAGTAGCCAGTCGAACATTTATTCTTCATCTAGTGAAACTGCGGACGCCATAGTAACGAATGAGGGCGGCCAATTGGAACGTTTAATAGTTGCGGCATTGGAGATCTCGGGTTCTACGACTCAGCTGTTGGTAGCTAGTCGAGTGAAAGCAAGTGAGGGTTCCCAATGCCTTAGCGGTCTCGAATCCGCAGCAAAGGCAGTTTCCAAAGTTACCGGAGAAGTTGTTGGAAGCGTTCAAAATGCCTCCGTCATCAGAGAACAGACACGCAAGTCCTACGGTTTTTCTCGGCTGTAGTTAATCCTATGCGAATGATAGGTTTATAAATTTGTTATCCTTTCAATACTCGACCATACTTCCTAAAATGATTTTGCATTTACGAATTACGCAAATTGGCAGAGAAGCGAATTGGATCACAAATGTGAACTATGCTACTGCCACTTAAAAGTAGAAAGCGACTGCTGGTAACCGCACTACGTGAATTTGTTGATCAATAAGTAATCAATAAGTAATCTATGAAAGAGTAAACTGTGGTCAGATGGATTGCTCACGTCAGCCCGAACAAAATGTAAATGTAATGTCAAAATTAACACCTTGTATCCCTTCATTTCTACAGAACACATGGATTTTGGAAAGCTCTCCTACACACAAGCACATAAAGCCGAGGTCGACACGCATGTCCATATTCTGGAACTGGAAGCTCAACTGGCCGCCGAAAGACAACGTCTCTCAGAGATCAGACGTTTCAATTACTCAAATTCAGCCGAATTTGAGCAAATATAATCCACCTGTACAGAACCAACAAGATCATCACAGCCGGATAGCATCAGATTGCAGAGAAGCCCTAAAAGAAACCCCAGAAGATGGGTCTCTTCATTTCAATTTCTACTAAATAGAACCATTTTTACCTAAAGATGATATCAAACCAAGGAAAAGTCCCAAGCAACCGCGATCCCCCTGTAACACGACCACATCCCATTTCCACTTCTAAAATGCGTTAGCTTATCATAAAATTAAATAAACTTCTAACTGCACAGACTTTTCTCCACTAAAGCAGTGGGTAAAAATGGCGTATATAGACAATGGCGAAGTCAAAAAGCCAGAGGGAACGCGGAGTAAAAAAAGCCGGACAGGGAGGGAGTTAATCACGTCGTTCACGTTTTCGATACGTCGTGTCCCTATTGGAAGTGGTCGAAGAATCGCTGGGTCTCTTGTCGGCCTTCTTGGCCTCCAACAGAAAAGTGCTGACGTTAAAGGGATCCTCTCCGCCCCTCTCAAACTGCACAGGACCTTCAAGGTGACGACTCCTATCGGCTCCAGCAAACCCACGGTCTGGTACAAATTGTCTCTGTTTGCCAACACCCTCCATATCGTTGCCATACGTGTCAGTGTCAGTCTGACGAGGCCGATAGATGTGAGTACCGAAATTTGATTCCTGACGCCAGGGCTTGTCATAGATATTGTAGAGATCATCCTCCCCTAAAAGAGCACCCACATTAACCCACAAACAAGGAATTACCTCCAGCGAAACCGGAATCCATACCGCGCGACTGATTGAACAGACGCTGGTCGAACATAGATTCAGAAGAGGCATTTAGTCGCGGATTTGGCATTCCCAGAGCAATCTGTTCACTGATATCACGGTCTTTGTCACGTTGGGTTCGTACCTTGCCCTCTGCACCTGCCCGACTAAGATTGCGATCATGAGCACGATCACGTGCGCGCTCACGGCGGATCTGATCCCTACTCGCGACCTCAGATTCCTCATCTGGGTTCGATCCGCGTCGCAAACCAGCACGGGCGGCACGCGCCTCCATAGCAATTTTTTGAAGCTGCTCCTCTTTGCGTTCACGAACTTTGGAGGCCACTTTCCGCTCAATTTGCGCACGCAGCTCCACAGCTTCCCTAGCTTTGCGATCTGCGGTGTAAAGAGCTTCCGCCAATTTGGCAAAATTTTCGTTGATGTGAGTGGTTTGGAGACCACGACCGTCAGCAGCGACACGTTTATCAAGAGGAATCGTGTATCCCCTAGGGTTCTTCCAATTGGAAATGCATGGTGGTATCTTCCACTCTGCTTGTTCTTTCGCGGTCACTTTTCGTGACGGTGAATGCATAAGCGGTGGAGGTGGTGATGGCGGTCCTCGAGGAATTTTTTGATTGATTCTAAGGACGCTTATCACAGGGAAAAAAGAGAAAAATTTACTTGAATCTAGGGGGTTCCATAGGGTCACGCTGTGCCTCCACCATACGCACAAGGCGTTGTTGAGCCCCACTATTGAAGGCTGGACCCTGTTGAGCTGGCGTATAACTAATATACTCAGCAGGACCCGTTCTTTCAGCCTTTCGGACTGGCAGGGAAGCCGCAACCTTTTGCTCAACAAGAGCTTCAAGAGCCTTTCGCGTCTTTTCAGTCGTCTAGACGAATATAAAATAAGGAAACGCTAACTTCTTCAACAGCTTCCTTCGAAGGTTTCTGCAGCTCCTCATCATCCTCATCAATAGGCTTTGGGAGAAGATCAGTAAACTTGGAATAGATAATTCGGTCTTTGGAATGCCCTCCGCGGACCAGTTCATCATATCGAACCTTGCCATCTTTATCGGTTTTCATCACAAGAGCATTAGATGAATTCTTCTGACGCCCCATCCCGAGTGGATATTGGGGCATATGTATCTCTGGAAAAGCTCCACCATCCCCAAAATCGTCTTCATTGCGTGGGAACCAATGTTTGCGATGACCGTAAGGGGGTATGCTTGACTTGTGCACAACAACATGTGATGAACTTGCAAGCAATTCGGTTTGAGCATCTATGATACGCTGAGAAGGCGCAGGCAATTGACTGAAAAGAAGATGACCTCTAGAAATCCAAAGTTACCTCAGAAGAGACATTAACACCAAGGCTTCAAAATTGACGGTCAAAGTTCAACGAATGAAACAAACAGTCGTGATTTCAATTCAGATGTAAGACGAAACCATGAGATGGTATTCAGCTGAAGTATCATCACCACAAACTATAAAAAAGCAACATTTTTAACAAAACTACTTTTATGGAACTATAAGTTTTGACAATTTATATACAATTAATTGCTCCACCATTACACATGCTAATTTATTTGCAGCCCGCCTATCACTCAATTAGGACAAAAGAAGGCAAGTTATATTCAGTTCATTGCAAAGGCTCTCCATCATATAATGGAGCCCATAACTCTTGGCTGAATGTTTTTGTCCATTCTGATAGAGGAGGTGAGTGCCTTTGTAAAGGTTCGAAAATATCCTAACAGTAGAATCAGAACAGATAATGTAGCGTCTTAAAACTTTCGAAGATAACAGAACAAATGTGATTAAGCATGGTCCAAAACCAGCCCACATTTACAACGGCTAAACAAATTTTTAAATGACAGCTGAACCTCAAACAGTCACATAGACAAGGCAATACAGCCAAAAACACGTCTGCAATTACACAGCCACGGGCCCAGGACACTCACTTGACTGAACTTTCTTGCATCATTACCAAAAAAGGATACTCAATACATTTGACGATGCATATGTTGGCACTCTACTTTTGACCGCCTAATTTGTCAGCCTCATCATTGTTAATCTTGTTACTAGCTTAATTCATGAGGATGCGAATTCCTTAGTCTTTACGTTAGCCTCTCTTAAAAGGTGCTCATTCATAAAAAATGACTTCTGCCACTCAATTGGAGATCTGGTATCTTTGCATGAGCCATTTGAACAGGCACCAAATAAATAAAATGTTAGTGTAACGTTTGAATGAAACAAAAGGCATCAAGTAAGGCTAAATACTTTTATAGAAAAGACGAAAAGATATCTTGTTTTATCTTAGTTTTAATGTAGTCCCACGCAGCAACAAGGTGACCTGTAACTCAATAGCTCGTTATACGGATAAGGTACTACATTTCTGCTTTCTAATGTTGAGCAACTCTTCCTCCCTACACCCGAACCAGACACCACAACATATTCAGGGCTTTTAAAGTGCATTCAAGCGTTAGCCACGCTAATGGACTGCTCCCTTATATTTACGAGTACGTTCTTAACCCTATTAGCAACTTTTAATAGATCTGTGCAAGCACATTCGCTGGCAGTAAATTATGTCCAGCGCTGAAAATATTAAGTCAAAACAAGCTTTACTCCTATGGAAGTGGTTAATCGTTGGCGGCCTGCCGACATGCGTGTGTGAATGTTTGAGGGCACTCGTGAATAAAATTTAAATGGTATTCCTGCCACTTTTGATTTGGTTTCAATAAATTCAATGTAAAACACAAAATTTGGTAGACGCCATATGTAGACATCGCAATTAACTGCTATCCTGAAAAGTTATATGCTTTTTTACTGCCAGAAGTATATGTTCCATTTCCCACAGCAGAATTCGCATCTCTAAGTGCAAGGAGTCACGGGAGGTGAACCAACGGAGGAAGCCGAAGACTCCGCTTAAAAAAGAGCGAGGCGATGCAAAACTCTGTTCATGGGGTCACATGACGTTTGGCATTCACTTAAGGATTTTTCTGGCCCTTATATTCGTGGGCCGAACTTCGGGCCATGCCCAGGCAAATTTGTCCTGTTGTCTTCAGAATACATGTATCCAGCTGTATTTGCTGACTTCTTATGCCTGCCAGGGGGCCTAGAGACGCTACAGTGGTGGCAGCGGAAAGCGAATCCGATATTTTTAAAACTAATTTTAGGCATAAAGTGCTTTTGAGGACCATCTGCTTCAGTCGAGTTGGGGTCGCTTTATGAGGCTTGCTCTTCGTTGGTTGTTTGTAAGAAGCGACACAGTGTCTGGGAAAATCCCTTATCTAGCAGACACCGCTGTCATGCTGGCATTCTACATTTGCGTTGCTAAATTTTGCCAATTAATTGACTGATTGCCGGAAAAGAATAGTATGAACAAGCCGACGAGCAATGGCTCGATTGGATGATGCAATGCTTCGGTACCTACAAATCGCACAGAATCTGGAGATGTATGTTGCTTGTTCTTAGAAACAATGCTCTGGGTTCGAGTAGCTATGAGTCCGACAATCTGTTGGACTTCAAAATCGGGGTCCCTTGGCCGAAAAGTCAAATCCTCACTTTTCACGACAAGAGGTTAATAATCCAACCAGCAGACATGACTGCAAAGAAATTTTACTTTTTAGTAGAGAAGTCCATGATTAATGAGGGCATTTTGGCGTTGTGCGCCGTCAATCATGAGCTATAAACGCATAGAAGGAGGTCTGACTCTATCGAAGTGAAATAGATGAAGATACAGGTGAAAAGGAGACGTGAATTGAAGGAAGCGCATTTGCCTTGGCGATGGAGAATCTCTGATACCTTCATAATGAAAGAATTTAGACTGACGTCTACATTTGTTTTCACTTATTCCCGTGTTCCCGTGAAGCGACGCGGCCGTGGACAATTAGGAAAAGTTTCATGTCGGAATTTCCTATGCAAAATCCGTGTTTAGATGTTGGAAATGACACTACGGTTCTCATTACATACGGGACAGAGACTTATCCCGTATACCCTGTAACATATACGTTTTAGACCAGAGTTCCACCATCTATTCCTGGAAGCAATTGATGGTCAACAGGTGTATGCGGCCCTGAAAATGGTTGTCAGACCGAACGTTACTCCAGATCCAGTTGAAGCTGCCGCGGAGACCAGGTACGTTTCCTCAGTCTTATGTTCTTTATCAACTGGTATGGTTAGCTCGTGAGTGTGCTTTCATGTAGCAACGAATATGCTGTGATGGCTGGGGCTGGAGGTGTACCAAAGGGCAGTGCCGGGGAGGCCGCTCAAAAGAAGAGAGGAGCAGTGTAATACTTCGTTTATGTGACCGCATGACGTATAACATTCACTTTAGGATTTGTCTGGTCCTTATAGTCGTGGGCTGAACTTTGAGTCATGCCCAGGCAAATTTGTCCTGCCCTCTTCAGAATGCATGTATCCAGCTGCACTTGCCGACTTCTTATACCTGCCAGGAGGTCTTCGGACGATACAAATGCACCAAGAGAAACCGCATGCAGAAGTAAATTTAGCGTCTGAAGACCTTCTGGCAGGTATAAGAAGTCAGCAAATGCAGCTGGATACATGCATTCTGAAGATGGCAGAACAAATGGGGCTGGACATGACCCGAAGACCAGCCCACGTGAACAAAAACCAGACAACTCCTAAGGTGAATGCCAAACGTCATGTGGTCACGTAAGAGAAACATTGCAGTAATCGAAAGCAACAATGGTAGCCAAAACGAATTATCTGAAAAAAATTCGGAGATCATAGTGCTAGCCTTGAGTAAATATCCGTTACAGACTTACTTCTTTCTTTTTCTTCCGTAATTAGAAACAAATTTTATGTTGTTGTCTTAAATTTTTAAGGGTAAGTGCTAATTTACGCAAGCTTAGCAATTTACAAACAAATAGCTTGCATTAAGCTGCTTTATCTGGCTTCCCCTTAGATGTTAGTGAAACTCTTTACATAAGAGTATTTAAGATCTCCTTTTTGTAAAGCAAAATTAATTGGCATGCGTCCATAAAGAATATATATCAATTAATGCTTTTAACCCTTTGGCCGAATAGACTTTTAACCGCGGAATTTATAAATCTATCAGCCTATTAACTTCGAGCCAATGAGGGCTTACCTTCGTTTGAACGTATTATGGTGATATCGTCCAATCATATAGAAAAAATACAGGCTTGCTTTTCGTGGCCAGTGACTATTCTGTGGAGCCTAGCTATTTTTCTCATCGTTCCTTTTATTTATTTGTCCGTGGTCTCACTTTTTGACATTTTTAATTCTGGTATTTTGGCTTTGCTATTTCTTAAATACGTAGGTGGCATGTTTCTGAACACACTGACACCAAAATTTTACGTTGCTCTGACGGGTACCAGTTCTTTTCTCTCAGGGCTAATACTGGTTTGTCTTGCCACTTTAATTTAACCCTGCCAGATCTTTGAGTGGTGGTATTTCAAGAAATATGGAACTTCATTTATTGAACAAATTTCTCTTACGCATATATACCCTTTATTGGGTGGTAGTGATGAGGAAAATGATTGTGATAGCGTTGACTCTGGTGGTGTTCATAATGGGATCCAAGGTGGTTTTGGGCTTTGTTAACTAACCCTTTTCTAGCAGACTGCAAAGTGTCTCGAAATCCCTATAGTCTTTTCCGTGGGGCTGAGTATCAGAGAGCAGCGAAGGAGTTTGGCCAAGATCCACTAACCTACTATGATATGAATCTGTCTGCTCAAGATCATCAAACATTCTTTATTTGTGAAGCAGATGCTGGAAAACCTGAATATGAATGTAAGCTTCATTTGATTTTCTCGAGTGAATCTTAGTGATGCAAATGGCGTGGCGGGAAAGAAATCCTGAAGAACGAGTTAAAAAGGCAAGGGAAGCTTTGGCCAAAAATCCTGACTGTGTCACTGCTATGATACTTCTTGCTGAAGAAGAGTTCTCATCCGTAGTTGAAGTGAGTTTTCTAATGAAAGTGATTTTATGATACCCTCACGCAACAGTGTTCTCGTCTAAGAGAGGTAGTGCCATTGTTATACATTTGAGGTAATTAACATGAACGCATTGATGACTTTTAATCTGGCAACTAGTAATTTTGTATTTCGGTTTCCTGTCGGAACCTATTCCCCTGACCAAAGCAGATCATGTTACAGGTGGAGAAGACATTTAAACAGGCGTACAAAATAACCGAGTCATCCTTGCGAAAATCCCAACAGTCTCACTCCCACAATCCGACACAAGATGCGATCTACTTGCGCGATATTCATGCCTTCATTTTTATCCGAAGGCGGCTTGCAATGTGCGCTCGAAAGCTTGGAAAACTGAAAGAAGCTATAAAAATTATGCGTGAGGTGTGTTTTGCTAATTTTCCTTATCGCTGTGCCCAGTTTTGCCTTTACGGCTACTTTTCCTGCATCAAGACCATAATATTGTGTTTTAGTTCATTGTTTTTATTGGAAACTACTATAAGAAGTGGAAGCTATCGTAAAGCATCGTTTTTGTAACCCTAGGTAGGATAAAATCTACTGATTTCAGATCTCTTTTGCGTTTTTGTTTTCTGTTTACATAGAGGTTACTTCTGGTTTCCTTGCTGTTATGACTTTCATGTTTTCCAAGGCGATACAGGGTCTGTTTGGTCTGCATTATATTCTGCAATTTTTTCTAAATTTGTTTTGACTCAGCACGTGTTTGCTAAATGACACACAAATAACAGTTAAATATGGGTAAATAATGGAAACGCAAGGTGCTTCCTTCCGTCGGTCTGCTTTGTTACCATTGATAAAGTGGACCTGTATAGTCGGTAACCTTTGATATCGACGCTTCTATGTTTGGTGTTTTTTAACATTCCTTTGTCGTCGTGTGTAGCTCATACGGGAGTATCCCAATTTGAATCTCTTCAACATCCATGAGAATCTCATTGAGTGCTACTTGGAAGCGCAGCAGTACGCTGATGCACAAGCATTTCTCACCAAATATGACGGTAAGCAGAAACTTGACTTTTAAGTGCCCACTTTCCTGGTAGTTGAGGTGAATTCTGTGTTCCCTTTTTTGTTTCTAACCTTTCAGACATCCATTATCCCAAGTCTGCAACCATCTGTTATACAGCAGCTCTTCTTAAGGCTCGACAAGTGGCCGAAAAGTGTGCTTTAGTCAAGAGTTAATGCGATTTGGGCCTGTTTTTTTGCTCTAACGCTTATTGTTGAATCTTATTTTGGGTTCAGGTTCTCTCCGGACATTGCATCCAAACGCGGTTTAAGCAATGCCGAACTCAGTGCTGTTGAGGCAATCCATCGCGCTGTTGAGTTCAACCCACACGTTCCACGGGTGAGTTTAATAATACTTTTATCTTGCTTTTACTTTTCTTTGACACCTGGTGCTGCTTATCTGATGAAATTATTCTTAATGTTTCGTTTGAGTGCTCTCCTGTATGTGGCCAACTGTCTAAAATGTTGGATAAGGAGCAGGTCTCGTGGGATTGTGTCGGCTGAGATAGCTCGTATGATACCGTAATTGTTAGCCGTACATGGTTTTGATTGGTTGTTTTAAAATGATTCCTCAGAAAGGGTATCACTGAAGTCATGAATGCATGCTTTAAATGCGATATTTCCTTTCTGGATCTGTTTAAGCCGAAATCTTGCTGTCATGGGTGACGCATTTCAAAGTGGCTATTGCAACATATATTTGTGATTATGAAGATTATTTCTGAGGTATTAAGTGGACCAGGGTGAACAATTTCGAGTTTGTAAATTCGGAAGTTATAAAATTCGTGGTTACTAACTCCATCACGCGATGCTATCAAAATGTACGACTTGGGCTGTACACGTTCTTGACTCTGCCTGTCGAAAGTTTACTTTTAAAGCACGGCCAAAATTTTTACTCTTTGATTTTGATGGTAATGCTAAACTGAAAATTGAATATGTAGAGTGCTGAACTATCCACCAATGCTTATCCAGGTGCCAAATTTGGACTGTTCAAAGACTCAAGTTTGTCCCCTTGAGGCTTATTGAGAAGCAATGTGAGAACCTTTTCGTTTCTCCGGATGAGTTCATTAGGTTAACTCGAAGCGTCTTCTTTTTTAGCGAGTTTTATGTTCAAAGTTGGTTGTCTTTGCATTCAACAGTGGGTTTCAGGTGCGCGTGTCGTCTGACTTCACTCCGAGCTAGGACTCTTTCTCGAACATTTCAACTCTGTAATATTTGAACCAGACAAAACTGCCACTAGCCAATCGCACACTGAAGTGTTCTGACTCCTAGACTGAAAGTTGTTTGAAGGCTTGAAAGCACTATCAGCTCTTAGTCTTGATTTGAAGTGGTGTATCTCCTAGTTCAGTTGTCTTGCAGTCCATTTTCTTACTTCTTAATCGGCCCTCCAGTACTTGTTGGAAATGAAACCGCTGATCTTGCCGACGGAGCACATTCTGAAGCGCGGCGACTCGGAGGCCATTGCCTACAGTTTCTTCCACCTGGCTCATTGGAAGGCCGTAGAGGGTGCATTAAATCTTCTACACTGCACCTGGGAGGGCACGTTTCGTCTCATACCCTATCCTCTAGAAAAGGGCAATCTCTTTTATCCCTATCCTCACTCAACAGAATCCACTGACCGTGAGCTTTTACCCAGTGAGTCTCTTTCCACCTTACAACTTTTTTTCGCCTTCTCACATTTGTTAAGATTTGCGACATAATTGGAGATGCTACAGAGCGTATTGATGCATGAGCATTGTGGTATTCATGGCTAGGAAGTGATTAGGTGTTTTCATTTATGCTGTTGAAAAGTGCTCAATGGACGAGTCCAAGGCAATGGTTATCAAAGTAGGGACGTTTGTTTGTTGAAGGTTACTCTGCAGATGACGGATTACCCAGTGTTAAGTCACTTCGCTGTAGAATTGCTCTTATTGTTGTTATTGATGAAGATTATGGCCACTGTACATTCTTAATTAGTAATGATGTAGCCTCTATAAATTAAGGCCAAGCATTGACCGTCATGGACACATCGGACTCCAAATATTTTCGGCTTTTGTGGAGTCTGTAGGCGGTATAATTGGTCGTTGCTGGTCTTCGCCTATCGCGATCGGCTACCTAGAAGAAACATCGCAACGCTTAAGTTGGAGTTATAATGAGTTTGAGTTTATATTTGTTTTTCATTTGAGGAATCCACATCATATAAGCTCAAGTTATGTCGTTGGTAGAAAGGCTGCGATTTACTGTGAGACGAAGATGGGGTCGATGCTTTGCCATCCGCCAAAAATCATTCTACATACGAATGCACTGTCGGATATGCGAGAATTAATTTAAGCTGATGTATTACTTTCAATACCATCACTTCCCTTAATGACTAATAGGTCATTATTAATGTGACTGCAAAGTCTAAACCTGATACCGATTCTTTAGTGGGGTGTGGACCTTTCTCTTGCTCTGGCTAACGCTTCGTGTCATTGTTTCTCCCTGCTCCGGGGGACATTGCTTCGAGTTTAGTACTTTTTTGTACCTAATTCGTCTTGATACGCGAACACATCATTTTTGCCAACAGTAAACGAGCAGACATGTAATGCTGTACCACGGCCTAGCACCACTAACGTATGTAATCGCTTTGCATGTTGTGTTAACTTGTGGTAGGGCTAGTTTCATCTCAACCGTCACGTTACAAAATGTAAAAATCAACTCAACAAATAAAAAACAAACCCTCATGTTTTTATTTTTTAACAGTTACATGGTATATAAAGGGGTAGTTATGGTTGTCAATCGGGTGGTATGCATAACCGTCCTCATCAGATGACCACTTATTTCTCTTGGTTTTCACTTCTTATTAAGAGTGGCAAAAGGACTTTTGAGTTTTTTTTTGGTACCAATTTCTTTAGTGAACCTCCTCAAACTCTGAATTACTTTCCTAGTCTAAATCACTTTCCAAAACGAGGTTTCAGTATTCAACGGCCCAGCATGATACTCCTGCGTGGTTTCAACATGTTTCGTGCAAGAATTTACAAGGTATCCAAAGCAGACTGTGGTCTTTTTATGAAAGAAGTTTTCAGAACACTTTTATTCCTTGATGATTAGCGTCTTAGTCTAGCATTTTTCTTCACTGAGGGTTTAATTTATGATGTATTCCCTTTTGCAAAACTGTCTTCCTCTGATCACCGTTTCCATTTTACTTTTATTTGTTGCTTGGCTCTCTCATTTCGCATGTATTTGTCTAATGCCAAGAGAAAGTGATAGTCATCAATGAGAGACACAGAATCCAGAAGATTTGGAATGTGAGGTCGTGCAGCAGCTTCCTCTCGCGGGTAGTTTGCGGCACTTTCATTGTCTCGTAAGAGGATGGCTTTCTCCCCATTTGCAATTGTTTCTGAGGGCGAATTTTAAACGACTGCGAATTGAGTCATATCTCATTTGCTGCTGTGCATCGCGCACAAAGCACGGCCTTTTGAGAGCGAAGCGTTCCGTAGAGGCATCTCGGAGTGGAAGCGATGGTGGCAGAGGTTAGTATGTGGGTCCCTTTAAAATAACCCATGTTGAACTCGTTTGCTTACCCCTGAGAATCAGAATGCATTTTCATTGCAAACTGGCACGGGAGACTCCTGCAGAAGGCATAGTTTTTATGGTCTTGTCACTGCTAGATCAATTAATACGCTCCGAATGTTGCTCTATCGTCTATAATTACATGTCCATTTGATGCATTTGCTTGGTGTCTTCCTCGACTTTTCTAGCTCGATGTGAACGAATTGTTCAATCGCCGTTCGCGCCAAACATAAATGAAGGATTCTGGTATTTTAGTGCGTCTTAGTGACACTCACATCTTAAGGATTTGACTTCCTAAATGCAGTGCATAGGTCATCGTTTGAGATCAATTTCCTATTGTGGGTCATTTTCGAGAGCTTTTTTCTGCTATTTCACCTCCTTCAAGTGTCACCAGTTTTTATAGAAAATTTGCAACTTTTCAAACGAACTAAACTAAAATCATAAGGTTGCAATCTCTTTATCCCCATCAATGTTAAGCAACGTTTATGGGGTTTTGGAGGAGCTAAAAAGTGTACAGAAGTAAAGGACTAATATTAGTAGGCTTACGCAACCAAATGCGCTTTACAATTCTCGTATTTGAACGAGGTTTTTTTTGGTTAGGACAATATTGTCCTATAATTCACTAAATTTGAAATGCAAGGATTACAATCAGTGACATTTACATTGTCTTTACGATGGCTTGAGGATTCACGTGGTTGTATATTTGCTCACGAAAGGGGCTTCTACACTACGGTTCCATTCATTCTTGCGAGCTTGTTCAGCCTTCCATGTTTGGTGTGTCTCACTCTGGCATGGTCTCTTAGCTCTAAAGTTTCATGCGAAGAAGGAAGTGTTTGCATTTAATTGCTTTCTCTAGTACCTGGTCTGCTGCTTGGCCTAGCAAACTACTCTTACGATGAGTGCAGTATATTATTCGTGTGAAGTTGATGTATTTCTTGTGCAAACCTCGATTCTAGCTTAATAAATTCAAGTAGAGAACTGGCCGTACGTTCTGTTCTGGTCATTGGTGTAATTTTTCACCTATTCACATAACTTTGTTTTTCCCCAATCCTACTCTTATTCAAAGTGGCATGTTTATTTTCAGGGTTGAGGTAGTTGTGCGCCACATGGCTCCTTTCCATGATTGAGGTAGCCACCCATGATTAAATTCACAGTCCAACTGTGCGTCTATTATCTGGCCACACCTCTTGTCACTCAAACATTTCGGTCAGCAATTGTTACTGTTTCACAATTGCACTGTTCCTCGGGTCTCGCATGTCTTAAAAGATGTTCTTGAATGTGGCGAATATTAATTTAACGCTAGCTTCTTCCCCGTGCAGGTTTTCACACCGTCTCGGTGTATCCTAAAAAGGACGTCCCCTTCTTCATCATCTTTACGGCCGTGCTGTGCTCACTCACCGCGCTACTGGCCTTCCTCACCCATGTATATCCGGATCAAATGGGTTCTTTCTCTAGTCAGGTTGGTGCTGGCTAATCTGCCGCCTTTCATGCCTTATGAAGTTATTAGCATCTTGATTTACCTCCTCACCTTCCGTCTGCATTCACCACTTTCTTCTTTGAAGTTAGGATTGAAGGAGTGTTTGGGAGGTGAGGCTTAGGTAACAGACTTCACAAATACCTCTGTGAGACATCTACGGCGTTTTTCCAAATCGGTTTATCGGCGCAGTAGTTTGGCTAACCCACGCATTGTAAAGTCAAGTAAATTTTCGTAATCTATTCCCTTCTGCTGCCTTGGGGGGATGAAAACCTATTTTTACGTTCGTATTTTGAGCACTTTATTCGTCACTACTCCCCTTTCCATTTCGACGGTTCCCGCTGCTGATGCAGTACTGACTAGAACCTAAACGCATAATTGGAATCTCTTCGTTGCCAAGTTTTAAATCGACCCCTCCTAATCTTAACTGTTTTTCCCACCTCATTACACCCCCGAGCGGGTGGTCTCGCGAATGTTACTAATTTGTAGAGTTCTAGAACTGGATTAACGTAGAAATTGAAGGTGACTTAAAGTGCACAAGTCTGGATAAGTACCCCAGTGCATATGAGTGAGATGTCAACCTTGTAGTCGGACTGCAAGGGTTAAGAACTTTGCCTACTTGAATCTCAGTTTTTTCCCCATCAACTCTAGGACGGGGGGTTAGTGAAGCCTATACAATTCCTGCTTTTTGTGTCTCCTGTCAAATAAACTGTATCTAAGATGTGTTTATTTGAGAGCATGTTGGCAAAACCTGAACGAAATTGCATGACGAACGTTTTGCCTTTAAAATATGAAAAGCGCTGACTTTCATTGCCGATCTTGAGTTTGAGGTGAATTTTGGTTGCCTTTTTGATGTGAATTCAACAGCACTTGATGAAGAGAATCAGGATTGTTGATGCTTTCAACTGGTGCCCGGATTGGACTTAACAGTGGAGTAGGACTACTCGTATAGAAGTAGGTTTCGAATCGGCCAATCATCCACATGATTAAACTACGACTTTTGGAATGCATCTGAGGGCATTATGGGGTATGCATGCTGCAAAACGTGAGGTAAATGTATTTCTTCTGTATTGTAGGCACTACAGTGGTTTATCTGTCCATTCTCCTATCTCTCAGAGAGGTTAATCGGTGTGTTGGGTACGTTCGCACCACTTGTTGTGCGGCGGACCTAGCAACTGCTTTGAACCCACGACGGGCGCGAAGGCGAGAGGAGTGAAACTGGGAAAGGAACAGAACACCAACTTTCCTGCGTTTTCTCTTGCGTGCTGTTTCTTTCTCCCATCTCTCCTACTCTATTTGATACACCCGGTTATGCTTACGCGAGCGCCATTCTATCCTACGAATGCTTTATTAATGATTATAAAGGCATTATTAAGCGTTGAATAACTTTCAACCGTTTTCCTGATACGAGTAGCCGATTCGAAAAATGAGGTAGGAGGAGGGTAGGATGGTCTCTGGATGTGACATTTTTGCGGTCCTCCTTACGGTGTTCGTTGGACTTCATTTTTAGCCTGCTTGGAGCATACGGTCCAAGCTAAGTAAATTTGACAACATGGAACAAAGCAGCGGTGCGAAAGGTGGTGCGAAGCTTCTTGAAAGGACGAAATTCAAGGCAAAAATAGATCCTCAAGCAAGGAGATTGTCAGGAATGTTTACAGTGCAAATATGATAGTGCTTTGCTGTGTACGTTTGATGAAGCCAGTTCATGAGATACGATACTGTGAGGTGTGACGTAGTCGGTTTGATTATTTTTGCTAGAAGGTATATTCCACTAGGATTGCGTCTTTTTTACCTTTAATGATGTTTTGGGATGCTATGGCAGAATTGTATGTGACGTTTGAATAAGAACCGAGACGAAAAACAAACAAAGCATGTGATACATCGAATTGTGGCGTCGAGAGACTTCTTTGGAGACGAGGGTGGGCTGTTTGTTGGGTGACGATGACTTTCGTGTCCATAATGCTTCAGAGGTGTGGGCGGGCTTTTGGGCCATGCTGACGGCTTCACCTCTACTTTGTGCCTGTTGGTATACATTCAGCAAGGCGTTATTGCAATGCTTCATTCAAACGACTCGTTGCTTAAGCGACGGCCACATTTTCGGTAATCTCGCTTATGCTGGGGAGACTGGGCTTTGGGCCAGCTTAAAGCGCCACGTCTTCTCACACCAACTAAATATTCTCGAAGCATAACACTGGTAACATGGGGAAGTAAACTCGACTTTGGGGTGAATGAAAAGCATATACTAGGCGCGGGTGAATCTCCAACTGTTAACGATGTCTGTGCTTTGGGTTCACATCATCTCCCCTCTCGGATAGCAAGCTACTGACTGAAGCAACACCGCTTCGAACCACCTGCAAAAGTTTCATAACATTGTACCCGCCACGAAATCCACGTATTGTTATCAGCAATGACATTAAGATAAAACTCGACACAGGACAACATTCAACTCGTTTCCCTGTTTCGCATTGCTTTATGGTAAGCGTTTCAAAGTTTAGTCCTGAACCCAAAAGAGATGGTTACTAAAAGTCTGCGATTCCCAATTTATGCTTTCAGGTTGAAAGATGTAGTTGAAGCTGCAGAAAGATATAAGCACATTCCCTTAGTCTCATGGAAGCTGATGACTGGCACACCTCGCGCGTAGGTGTTTTCTTGCAGCATAAAGTACGTTGCGATGACTGATGTAACACCTTGTTTATGTGACCATCTGATGTTTGGCGGCTACTTTAGTATTCGTCAGGCCCTTGTACGCGTGGTCTGGCCTTCGAGCTAAGCCGAAGTCCTAGTACATTTATTCTGTTCAACTTAGGGCCTTATTCTACCTAGTGGGAAGGTTCAGAGCTCTGCAGCTGATGTTGACGTTTTATTGGGAGGAATAGCTGAGGATGACGTTTAAAAAAAACAGAAAGCCAATAAAATACTTCGCCCCTTCGAATGCCTATGTAAATGGCGATAGCCGCACTCCAAATAGAAACTGATAGGCCGTCATGTGCTGCTAAGTTAAACTAAGGCTTTGGACAAGGCTCAAAGTGCTAGGCCATCAACCGAAGACAATACAGCCGGGAATCCACCTAAATCACGCATCACCTCGGTAAAGCATTTAAGATTTAACCGTTTGTTGCCCACCCGGATTAAGTTACTTTCACTTGCGCAACTTAAAGGACTTTTACCTGAAGGCTGAAGAATACCAATCGTACTAGTGGCCAGGGTTCGCAAAAAGGGTCAAATTGAAAACCAATACACAAAAAATCGAAGTCTAAGCATTCTTCCAAAGCAAAAATTGATAGAACATGGGGTAAAGAAAACCCACGTCTTAATATGAGGCGTGTTGTGCGCTTCATAAAGATTAATTAGGAATTAAATTAATAAAATCGCATTTAATTAACATAAAGGGCTGTTGTCATAGATCCTAATGGCATTTTTTAAAATTAAGCTTCAATTCGTTTGCCGAATGGCCCATCCCTTCACCAGGGCTGTTGTACCCATCTCAAGGTCATACACGTGGTCATTGGTCCGCACCTTCGCCTCCCAGTTATGAGTCTGGGGTTTTCAAGATTATGTCCTCTATTTGAAAATGTTATCAGAGATCCGTTATTGTTATCATATTTCGTTCAATATCTAAGAACAATTAATTCGGAAAATACTTTCCGGTTCTGGTTGGAACTCTCTGGATGCATGAATCGAACCAATGTCAATGAAGATTCCTCTGGGTTCAAATCGAAGGAGTCTGTTTCATCAGATGAAATGATTGCTGAGTTGCGCGAGAAGATATCACATTTACCAGTCAACAATGTTACGACGATCTACTTTCGTTACATATCTTGTGAAGCCAAACTCCCAGTCGAATTGCCGCAAAAACTTCTTTCGGCAACTTTGTGTATGCGATTTTATCCCTTATTCATTAAATAGCGAGAATTTTGGAGAATCCGTTTGAAATTCTTGCTTTCGAACCATGTCTCAAATATACAGAATCCAAACTTTGTTGCAGGTATATCTGTGTCTTTGGCTTGCAATGTTATAATTTAGTTTGTTCCCAGACTTTTTGAAGAGTGATCTCTTTTCCGAATTTCGCATTGAAGTGATTGCGAATGATCAGCTTACATTAGATGACGTCTTATTTGAGGAACCTCTACTTGTTTGTTTCATCGAGGTGGTCAGAAGTTCTCACGTAATTTGTGTAGTTTTTAGCTGGCGACCCGACTTCTGCCCTACTAACTTTTCTTATGGCTGTAAATGCTTACAAAAAGGAATTTACTGAGTTGATGCTTAAGGAGGATCAAGCAGAATCGGTGGACGAACGTCATCAACAGCTTCTCCATGACGCTACGACTATTTGTGCAAAGTAAATCATAAAATTATCGTGTAGTTTCAGATATCTTTCCCCTGCTTCTGATGATTTCATGGGTCTCACTTCGGAGCAGTACCGAGGCGTTCTTGACGCCGCTTGCGCTGAGAAGGAACCTCGAGAAAACTGTTTCGATGACCTTTACAAACTAATTCACAAAACAGTCGAGAAAGTGCGTTAGATTGACTTTAATCTACTGTTACTATCTTGCAGTTATTTATTATCTATTTGTTTCTTCCTGTTTACCAGAATATCCTTCCATCCTTTTTCGTCTCAGTGCCCTTTTCACGCTATCGGGACAAGATTGTTAGCAAACCGGGTTAGTGAAATCGTCGTTTCACACTACCATCACCACCACCGGTCGTATTTTGCTATCGTCGACGTCATTTCGCACCATTCTGCACTCCACTTTTTGCCAGTGTTCCTTTTCTCCCTCACATCATGGCTGTAATTACGCAACACTTCTTTTGGCTTTTTGGTATTTTTGGCAGAATTTTTTTGACCTGGCTTTTGCGTATTATTTGTTCACGTGTTTTTTTATGTAGAAATAAACTTTTCATACACCGTATGATAAATTAGTACTGGAACCCATATTGTCGATCTCAAACTCGCGTACTGCTTGTAAGTTTTGAGGAACAATCGGAATTGGGGTCTTTTTCAATTTACATTTTTTTAACGGTCGGTTGGGTTTTGTTCTTTTGTGAATATTTTGCAGTGTTTCTGGTGTATATGTGTTTATGATATCTAACTGCGTGTCTTGTAGTTTCCATAGCTTTCTTCATCCATGGTTTGGGAGCATCCAAGTTTGAGTATTGCTTGGAAATTTGGGCTTCAGGATCATTCCGAGGAACTTCGTCAAAGTTCGCCTAAAAGGTACATACAAGTGTAGCATGCTTAAGTTATCTAAACAAATGGAGTTATCGTCAACGAAGTTGGGGCGTAATGCACACTTAGTGTCTAACAAGGATTCGAACTTGGGGTAGGAGTCCTTGCGTCAGATTTGTCGCTTCTAGTTGAATCGATGCAATGACCGTTCTGCAATGGAATTCAATTTGCACCTTTTGTGGTTAATGAGATTTCGGCAGTTGTACTTCCCAGAAGTCAATCACAACATATTTCAAGGCGAATTGGTTTTGTCCCTCTTAAGCTACGTGACGCGAAAATCGGAGTTGTGTGAAATCGTGTGTTGGCTGTCCAGCCGGAAATTAGAGTTGACCACGCTAGTACGCTAACCCCATAAATCTGATAACGTTCAATAGGGCTATGCATATAACTTGGCTGCTTCTAAGGCAATTGCAGCTCGCTTAATGTTATGGGGCGAATGTGCGGATAGCTTGATTAACAATTGTCGATTAATGGCATTACGAGAGCTTAGTTTTAAATGTCCTGTGTCCACGAATTGCTTACCATGAGAAGGTCAAGTTCAAAAAAAGAATGAACAGAAGGGAATGACTTACAATGACTTGGCAATGATAATCTGATCGAAACTCTGTTGCTTAACCACGATAAGTGGTGATTCTTTGGCACGGAAAATGCACTATGAAATCAAACGATGATTTTCATCCTATAATGGATAGTATTATCTCGTGAAGAGCGACGTCTTAGCAGGAAATGAAGTTGAATGTCTTTCCTATTTTGACGAAGGTGGTGGTTTTGATATGTTTGAATGGACTGAGTGGAAACGATCCGGACTTTGGTTGTAATTAAAAAGTCCGAGTTTTCTGAGCTTCCCTTTGCACTTTGACTATATTCAATGCGTTGGTACCTTGTAGTAAAACTTCTTCATTTATAATGTAAAACAGTGAAGAAACAAAAAAGGGCTCCTTTCTGTACCGGCGCTTTTACAATTAGAGCGTGTCGATTTCCACTAGATTGGTTTGTGAGCTCTCTTAGCTTACAGTTAGTTGATTGGGTGTTGAAAGCTTTGCGTTACCAATCAGATTCATGAATCGGACAACTTTTTAACTGCGATCATGATTCGCTGTGCTATCTTTCTATCAGCCAATCAAATAACTGTACACCAAAACGACAAACTCTTTGTCTTTTAAGCCAATCATAAACCAACTGAATCGAACTCGTCCCTTTTATTTTATCTAGTGGTGCCCTTGCAAGTAGTAGGTGATGCAAATTTTGCATGATTTTACTTTTATTTAATGATGCGTCTGCCCAATTCCGAAGGTGAAATCAATGGCTGCAACGAATGGTCAAATTTCAACATGCACATTTTTGAGAGCTTACAGCATTCGTGCAAAAGCTCGTGTGTGGTGTTGAATGCATCAAGACCCTAGACAGCGACAACATCAATTCAACTTATTTGGAGCAATGACAAGGACATTTGACAAAACCATTGTCAAGACGTTAATGATTTCGGCAATTTTAAAATTTTAGGACTAAGGAAACGCTACATACGCAAGAATCTATCTGGTAGACGTCAACCACCACGACAATTGGCACCAATTCAGCTGAATGTGTTAGCTCTGTCTGATGCCTCTTTGGCCAATCGGTTGCCCAGAGTTTATTTGGAAGAGACAAACTCATTAGATGGGTAAAATCCAGTCAAAGTACAATCTAAACTATCTTCATACCATTTTACACATTTTATTTCGTTGTAGAAGTGAACATGGTAAATTTAAAGTTTGGAAAAAGTTTTACTTACTTTTCAAGAAGGGTGAGTTTGTCAACAAGACTATGAATTAAATTTAAAATGGAGACGAACTATATACTTGATTCTACCAATCCCTTTTTGCCTTTTAGATCAGAATCAAAATTAGAATGCGACATGAGACAAAGTCCCATGCATTAAGTCGTTATGCGCGCGTATTTTGTTCTGCTTTGTGTTTTGAAGGTATCGGTCAACAATGATGTGTTGAGTACGCCTGATTTGTTTTCTGTAACGAAAAGCAAAAGAGAAACGATAAGGGCAAACACGACAATTTGTGTTACACAAAGCATCGGAGCAAAATGTCAAGGTTATGGCAGACGATTGCTAGTTTATTAAGTGCATTTTTGGTTTTGGGCCGTGTAACTAAAATGCACTAAGCCCATTCCTCGTTGCTTCAGAAATTTGGCTGTTTAATGCTAAATATATGCGTATGGAAAATGATTGGGGTCTAGCAAACTTTCATCGTTAACTTTCATGGGCTGAGAAATGCCTCTTGTGATAAAATACTACTTACATGTAATAAGTAGTATCCGATCGTCACTTGGCGAACTGTTGTATGGCAGTGACTGGAGCTTGTTGACATCTTTCGCAAATGGCATTGCATCGTTGGCGATCATATTGCAGCCTTAAAAACAAATTCTATATATAGTCAAGCATGTTTCTTTCCGCGCATCTACAAGTGGTCTCACCCATTAAACAATGTTTCTCTTCTCCTGTTCCACTTTACGAGTTATTGGCAGAGAACTAATACAAAGGCTGAATCTCTTACACTACATTGAGTCAGAAAATCACTAGTGATGTTAGTATATCAGGCTTGCTCCGCTTTTCTCTAAAACACTTTCATTAATAGCAGTTCGAATGTGAGCTCTCGGTATCGAACTGTTTTGCGCCTCATAGTGCGTCCGATACTGTATAAATGAGAACTCAGAGAATAAGGGAGAGGTGTTCAAATAGAGTCACATTTTCTGGATCAAATTTCATATTCATGGTGATGCTGTCAGAAATACTTGCAATATGGTAATTTGCGCGTTCTCAGTAGCATAGGAAGGCTTTAGGACTTCTGAAGCCATACTTGATCTTTGTATCAAGTCATTCAAATCCCTTTCATAGCCGTGAAATAAAATAAACTTCATCTCTCCTAGTAGTCGGGATAGCGCCACGAGTGTTTAAGTAAGTGCTGTTGCTTGCATTGCAACTATCACTAAACATGTACTAGGGACTTTTAACTTTTCTAGACAGCTTAGCACTCAGCTAGTGTATTTTAAATTTAATTTGATGCTCAGCCTAAAATGCATGAATTAGAGGAGTCAAACTATCTAACTCTGCGCTAGCTTTAAAGGGGTTTATAAAAAGGTCGATAAGGATGGAAGCCACTAGATTGGTACTACAGGGAACCCACCGAACGGTGATGCTAAACACAAAGGTCCAGGAAACGGATCTCCAGATGCTACAAAAATATGGTTAAGGTGAGGCGAAGTTACAATTACACCTTCCTATTCTACAGCCACACCTAGGAAGAGGGTTTGAATGGTTTGGGCCTTTTGCATTTCTGGAAAATGGGAAGGGGATGGTAACACAATGGAATGGAGAGAGCTGTGTAACATTTCGATTGCTTAAATGGGAGATTTAGACATAATGTCTTGGGCAGATTGGCTATCCATCAGGCCATAGCAGAAGCCACAGTCTCTTCTCTTTTGATCAGCGTACGGACATGATCAAAGCATTGCGCTTTCCATTTGGGACTTGAGGTGTGCTTTTGTCTCTGGTCTAGACGTTCAGTTTACGGAAATGTGAGTAATATGATTTTCTTGTAAAATTGAATAGCAAAATCATCCCAAGCCTATTAAACAATGAGATGAATTAGATTGCATTACATACCTCATTCATTAAAGGAAGTAAAAGTTTTTTATGCACCACTTCGTTTGCTTAAATGCATGTAGGGATTGCGGCCACATTGGTCGCCATTGGACTCCTGTCATGTGAGGTAGACAAAGGCATGACCCACTTCTTTGCCTAAATTCAAATACGCTGTCAAGTCTAAAACGGATACGTAAATTCGAGATCATTGAAGTCAAACAGATCATTAATATTACTGGTAAATCATTGGCAAAGTCAGAATCGAACAGCTTTGGCTGTTGTCAAATATAAAGAAGAGAGTAGACATTAAATAGCATAGTGGATGCTGTTGTGCCTCATGGTGTGAAGCTTGATGACTGTCAGAGCGACTGCTGGCCTTACAGAAAGTAGAAGAAGTAGTTCTACATCGACCTTCTGAACCAGTCAGCTGCACAACTCGTCAGCTTCTATGAGATTGAGGGAGTGTACCTGGTCTCTCAGTACCTTCCAATGATGTAAGATTACGAGACTTCTTTCTCATTTAAAAAAATGAAGTAGTAAGTGGGAGTAAATAACGGTATTCAAGTGGAAGGGGAAGAGGCTGGACTTTTGCCTAGATAACAGACCATCTTGCGCAGCCAAGAGCAAGAGGAATGCCAAAATGACCGTCAGGGTAGTAAAGATAGTAAAACCAGAGGCATGAAAGAAGGAATCGGGTAGAGGAATTTTCGTTGACAATCAGTTCTGTTCATGAGTAGACACTGCAAAGCTAGACTAAGGAAGATGCGTAACAGGGAATTCGGATCGAGCGCAGTCTAGCGTGGAATGGGACGAGACATTGTCATTGCAGATGACTTTAATTTAAAACTTTTCCAGATGGTTCTAAACTGCACTGCCGCTGGAGTCAATCTCAACCTTCCCCTTTAAAAAATTAGAGAGTTTTCTAGCTTAAGGCAAACACGTCTATGTTGTAGACCTTGAGAATCATGAGTGAATTCATCTTAATGTCGAATTCGTTTTGTGCTGCCAATTGTGCAAGGTTTCAAGACCTCATATTCTTATTATAGGGCGTTCGGCATGGCTCGATTGCCAGTACACTCAGAGAAATGACCGCTGTTCAAACCAGTAGGCATTATTTTGCGTTATGAAAACAACTTGTGTCTGGGGGTTGCATTAAGATAATATGTTCACCTAGGAATACTTGCTTTCAGATGTGGAAAGTCTCTGTATCAAGCGGAAATGATAAAAAAACAGTAAGAGCCCAATTCATGAAATTCATTGTAGCCAAAAGTGCTATACGAGTCCTTGAGTTTGGATAAAGGAAATAAGGGAAATCTAAAACAGCATATTTGGGATGCAGCGATAATGCTGAAATATGTTATTTTAAAAAAACATACTGCAGGGATATGTCTTAGCTGTATGCCGCATGTTTCTTAATTCTTATGCTGACTGGCGCAGTGTGTGATTTGTGCCTTGCTTGTGACTTTAGTGTTATCATGGAGTCTTTCGTTATACCAGGTATAATTTGCTTCTTATTAATTTGCGTAAAGGAACATTCCTTGCATTTAAGGACGAGAACACAATTGAAGGTGATTTTACGCATGTTCATTGTGGGAGGATTATCGCCACAGTTGCGGGACGCGTTACTAAGTCTTCAGAGGCGAATTCTCGAGTAATCCTGAATTACCTTAGTGCTAAAAAATCCAGTCAAAAATTTCTGTTCTGCCGATACGGAAGTCCTGTCCAACTCCTGACGTTGGTTCAATAATAATTGCAAAGGTGTGTCGATCAAAGCATCTAATCTTACAGTGGTAATCGGTATGCTCATCCAATCAAATACTGAATTTCCTTGGTGCTTATCTAGGATCTTCTCGAACAGACCATTTTTTATTAAAATTGCGATTTACAATGATATCGACAACACCACTAGTGTTGGCTTGTTCCTTCTTTAGGTTGCTAGTATTACGCGTCGTTTAGCCCGCTGTGACATCGTCGCGATAGGTGACCGACCGCTTGCTGGCAGATTCCGTGGCATTATTCGTCGCGAAGATATTCGTGCGGCTCAGCGAGATCGTGCCGAACCTACGCTTTCCTTCCGTCCCGGTGATCTGGTTCGTGCGCGTGTCATAAACATCGTTGGCTCAAGTTCCGGCGCATACGTCTCAACATGCCTTCCAGACGCAGAGGCATGTTGTCCTGAGGTCGGTGCTGTGGTTGCAGCTGCACGTGCTGTCGCTGGCGCCGTTCAGCCCTCACCAGCGCACGGAGTCACTGGGTCGAGCGCTGCAACAACAACTTATCTCCTCTCCACTGCGGAGGAAGAGCTTGGTGTGGTTTTGGGCCTCGGGCGCCCGCCGCTCAGTGGAACTGCCAGCGTTCTTGGTGCCACATCTGGGTGTCCACTTTTGCCTACTAGCTGGACGGAAATGATTTGCCCTCGTACACTCGTTAGGTTCCCACGTAAGGTGGCGAGAGTTCCTGATGAACTGTTAAAAGTTCTTTTGTGTAATTCGGAGGAGTTTGACTCTTCCAAGTGAATACATGTCCATTCCACTATTTTCTATTATTTGGTTCTTGAGTTTGTGTCTACCGTATAGTTTGTCCAGCGTATATGTTTTAGTCAATTGGTCATTCTCGGAGATTATGAAACTACCAGTGTATGGCTCCTCTGTTCCGAGCACACTAACTGCGGATCCACAATTTTTTTGGCTTTAGCCAAGTTTTGCTTGTTTTTTCTGTGTCAGTAATGCCTCTGTGCCAGTTTGATGTCCCTCTGCGATACTTGGAGCCAGCTAAAGTGCCTTTTCGCTTCAAAATTCGATTAACTGATTAATCACTTATACATAATTCGTAATCATGTCTACCAAACTTCATTCCATTTAGAATTCATGACTTCATTAGTTTTGGCTAAGAGATATGATAGCCTTTCCTCCTTCAATCTGGTACCGTAATTCAATTTGCAAACTTTTGATCTAGCAGACAGTTTGTTAAACCGCAGTCACGTTATCGAAGTCCCAAGAGTCAATGAATTTCCGAAAGTTACTGATCACTTAGTTGTACATCGGAAATCATTAATTCAAAACAAGTTTTTGTGTAATACCTTAGTCTCGTTGGCTCTTGCTCAATCTCCTTAAGCATTAATGAAAGTAACGGATTTCGCAGAGGAGTCATCACGTATGATCGCAACAACTCCGTTTTTCTTACCACTCGTAAGTCGGGACCGTTCATTTGTGCCTTCAAGTTGGTCAATTGCCCTCTCAATTTTAGCCAGGTCTTGGGCAGCGATTTCATCCATTCCAATTACATAACCCGCCTCTAAAAGCTGTAAGCAGCGGCTAAAGAATTCTACATCCCGCGACAGAGATTTCCCTCCCAATGTCTGCCTCATAATACCACTGATAACGGCATTAAAGATGGCAGCGGTGTCACTGACACCGGATGCAGGAATTCTGTTTCCTGGGAATGGGTCATGCTCCAGAAGGCTTAGAAAAACCACGTGGTTGAGACGTACAAGCTCGCTACTCAATATGGCCCCGAAATCTTGACATTGTTTCTTGCTGACAGGTAGTCGCTGCAGAAGTCGAATATTGTTTCTGAAGTGATTCAGTATGAGAACCATCATGGTAATGGAGTAGCCGATAACCACAATGCATACAACGAAAGTACATATCTGGTTTATTTCTGTACCTCTACCCCCTTTGGAGGCAAAGTCGTGGAAAGTGAAATTCATACTGCATACAACTTATGCAGCCTTTGAAAGATCGATCGGTGATCCAAGCGTGCCAGTCATGTTGGTCTTTAATCAACAGTGGAGCTCCATGGAAGGTGGCCGGCGCCCGATACTCGTGTCACTTATTATAGGTCGTGTTATCGCCTCATTGAATTCGGTAGGCGAGTGCGTATACTAGATGATTTAGTGGACATTTATAGATGAGAGGCGGGAACCGATTGGGAACGCGAATTAAGTGCGCGAAGGTGGAGAGTCTCTCTTCAATTGGTATCTCATATTCCGCTCATCTGCATCCCATTCCCCATTCTTCCCATAACAAATGCCTAATAAATCATCTGCAACCAACTCTCGAATTCTGAGGTTCAAGGGCCAAATAGTTTAGGGGTTTCTAACAGTCACGTAATTCAGCCATGCGAATTTCTCCGCTAGGTGTTATTCTGACCTACAAGGCAGGAAAGCTCTTTCTCCCTTCGGAATGTATGTCTTATTGTCTACGGAATATGATTCCAGCAGTATGGCCAACATGTCGTGACGACTACGCGCAGTTGTAATGCAATGTAGCGGCTTGATACATATTACAAATATCAGAAGGCATCGAATTGAGCAGAAAACATTGATTCGAATGGAAGAATGGGTCAAGGTTCATGACACAACTTGTGGGTCAATCCTCGCGTATAAGGACACAAGGGAAAACAAAGGAAACACTATATGTCAGGTATTCGCAAATACAAAGTGCTGTGTTAAAAGTAATTCAAGTATTTTAGAATAGGGATTTTGAGTGCTGCGATATTTTCTGTAATATTTTGTGGGTTTGTATAGAATACTCATTTTAGAAATATTTGCAAGTATTGTAAAGCACGTTAAAAAAGATGCTTATGTGCTAAAAGAGTATGTTTTTACCTAACAAAGTTGTATATAGGTCCTTGAAAGTATTTGTTTTATCCGGCTGCAGTGTAAGCGGTCTGGTCGGGAGTTGTTGGGGGGCTTAAGTGTTGTTCAGAAATTGATGGAGTTATGGCCTCTATTATTACTCCAGGTTTGAAAGACGGTAGCAAACCAGATTTGATTTCTATCATAAATGGCTTTGAAGGCGATGTGTATGATGCTGTTTTTCTTGCCAAGGAGAATTACATTTTGAGCAGTTCGGATGACAGGTTGGTTTAGTACGTTTCTCATGTCCTCGAAAAATTTAGAGCATTACGTCTATGGGTAATGCGTGATAGTGGAAGGTATTGGCCTTCTGTTGAGAAAGCTCTACCAAGTATATTCCTGCTTATTCGTTGTTATTTTACTACTTAGGCCCCGCTGTTATAATATTGTTTGACAAACACACGAATCGGGTTTGCACAGGATTGGCAAATGGGACTATATCTGATTTTACGCTGAGTGCGGATTATAATAGCATCAATCACACTCGGGACATTTTGGCCCATGTTGATCGAATTACTGGGCTATTATGGATTCGCGAGCTGAAGGTCATCTTTTCAACCTCAAAAGACCAAACTACTAGTTGGTTCAGTGATGAAAATGGTCAGCAATTGGGATCTTTTAATGTTGAAGCTGCTGGAACCTGCCTTCAGTAGGATCTCACTTCGAATGATTTCTTTGATGTGCTCTTTCCTTGTACTACGTTGTGTTGCAGCTCTGTATTCACTTCGATTTTCTTTCCAGGTTCGATGTGGCTACAAACTGCTTGTTCATAGGAGATGCTAATGGACGCATCACTCTCCTTAGCTTTGCCAAGTCGCGTGACCTCTCTTCGTACGAGTTCATCCGTCAGCTCCACGGTCACACTAAATGTGTGACTTCCATGTGCTGGGATGGTGTGACTTCGCGTCTGATTTCTTCATCTGCTGACAACTCTGTTATCCTGTGGGACATTGGGGGTGGCAAAGGAACAGCTTTCGAGCTCCAGGTAAATCACCCTCTGTCTTGCTTTGGTCTCCTTCCTTCGTCATAGCATTCATCAAACACCACTCATTTGTGTAGCATCAGTACATACTTCAGCGCTTCTCAATCACTTGATAGGATTTAGCTTTTCATTATTTCTGTCTCGGCATTTTGGGCATGCTTTTTCATATTCTCTCAGGTAAGCTTTATTTTTATTGACATTGACTTTTTTGGACTCCACTAATAAATAGCGGAATGTATTTTACCAGATTATTTGACTTCTTGCGTAAAGTGTCATTATTTACTGCGAATTCGCCTTTAAGCTCTCAAATATGTTTAACTTATTTTGCGATACCTGAGTCTTGGATTTGTTGTCTTCACAAATTTGAATTAAAAACTTTGAAATCTTGCCAATTTGCACGCTCCTTCTAAGTATAAATGGACGCAGTCTACACCGTCGCTGTAGGTCCTGCTTAGTTTTGCATTATGTGGTGATCTGAATAAGGACGGGTGAAATGTTATTTTTAGCATTATTAAGGTGTCCAGCTAACTTCGATCGATCGATGGCATCCAACAGCACCGTTCTTTGCTTTAGAAATCCGACCTTTGATGATTCAAGAACTAGTAGTTGGTAAACTTGTGAAGAACTTTGTGCTCCTTTCCTGCTTAAAGCACAAGGTTTGACCCTTATTCATCATATTAGAATAAGTCTCCTAGTGCTTTTCTTTGGTAAGCACAAAATATGCGTTAGTAGCGCAATATTGAGCATCCCAGACGAGTTGTTGTTTTATTGCCTTGGTTCAATTAAATGGAAAAGAAGATTCACTAGATTTGAAGTGGGTATCAGCGGTGATTAATATTGTTGCCTCTAGCTCTTTGTTACAAACAGAGACCAGGACTGATGAGTCATAACGTTGTTCAGCTCTTGCTTTTACTACAAAGAAAGCGCATTCTTCAGTTGAAGTTTAAAATACAAATCTACATAGATTGTTTCGAATAACCACCTCTGCACACCAATTCTATCATGCCTGTGTTACAAACCTATAGGAGCTGACACATCGGCCAGTTTTAAATACATCATCACAGGCATAATTCTCTTCACTCTTGGGCATTGTGGTGGGTAGAAATAATGGGCAATGAGATTTATTTATCAAAAATAGGAGCTGCGAATCATTAATTCCGTCACCTCTATTCTTTGTACTTTGTTAACTGAAAATACAGAACTTAATCAGTCACAGGCGACTGTGGGTGGGAACGTAGGGGTAAATCTAAGACGGAATTCGGCGTTTCTGGTCATATTTCAAGTACCAAACGTTGAGCATTTCTACTGTCAATAAAAGAGATCACATTTGAACAGGTCCTGTGACAGTTTAAGACTGTGTACCAAATCGCATGGGAAACGAATTAATTCGCCTTTGTTTCTCTGTTATAGGGTCATAGAAGCACCGTCACCTCAACTAAGTGGTGGCACAAACCGGTTCTCGGGAATGCTGTGACTAACAGCGGTGATAATGCAAATAGTTCCCGTTCAGTTGCATCCAACGTCGCCACCTACGTCATCTCCACGGGTCTAGATGGTCTTGTTTTCTTCTGGCTTATTGACGGTGAAAGCGCTCATGGTCGCCGCGTTAGACGTCAGGAGACGCCCAACTGGACTGAGTCTGATCTCTGCCAGCTTTGCTCAGCCCCATTTTTCTGGAACATTAAGAAGATGTGGACCGACATGTCAGTTGGTGTTCGACAGGTAAGCTCCTTTTATGAATATGGGTACATGGTTGGTCGTTAACTGTTCATTTACCTAAGTCTGGCTCCTACTTTGAAAATTCTCTCTTCACTCTCCCTAATTGAAGTCGCAATTCACGTGTTTTATCGTTCGGCTGAACCTGCTCAAAAATCGTTCAAGATCATTCGTAAGAGTCTTGGATATGAGGCGAGATGTCTTCACTTCTGTCCTACTCATCTTCCTCGCTTTCATTTTACCACAACTGATTATCCTTTTACTGATAATCGGCTCTATGGCAGATAATCTCAGTGGAAGTTGGTTCTTAAAACTAGCTTTCAATAAAGCAGTCTTCTCCTTCAATGATCAACCCTGTTCCTTTGGTCTGTTTTGGATAGCGTACCATTTTATTTCATTATTGAAAAGGCTTATTCTGTCGTTCCTAGTTGGACTTTAGCATCCCACTCCTACAAATGTTTACCTTGACTTTCCAGCATAAACCCCTACAATTAATAAGATTTTTAAGGAATTATAGGCAGTTTGACCGTTTTTTAACTGCCATAGCTGCAGAACGAGCTTTGTAGCACATTTGTGAATGGATCAAGCCTGTTCCTCTCGTCCAACCATCATTTGAATCCTATTGTTAGGAGTAACTGAAATCCTAAACCAAATATGTCAGCATACAGTCCTAAAACCAGCATTATTCAAACCAATGCTCACTCACTTTGATGTGGTGCATAACAGAAACGGCAGCGCTTGGAAAGTATACGCCGCCCGACCCCGGTTGAAAATTACCAACCCGCGTCAATTGTGATTACGAGTAACACATCCAGTCATCACAACCAGCCAATGTGTTCAAGTCATTTACCGATAGTTTAACAAAATTCCACAAAACGCATACACAGGTTAATCACCTCTTCACACATTTGAGAAAACCTCTGTCGCTAACTAGTTAATAAATCATATATACCCAATTCGCGGTTCCGATTCCCATGAACCGTCTTACTGCCCTTCAGAACTAAAAGGATTTACATTTCAGTGGCTGGACATCACATAATGGCATTGTTCTATCTGGTTCTTCACCCTCAGCATCATTGTCGCCGATGTGGAAAAGCCGTGTGCGAAAAGTGCTCTTTGAACCGCTCTGTCTACCCGGTGATGGGCTTTGAACGCGAAGTCCGCATGTGCAATGAGTGCTTTAAGGCTATTTCTGCAGAAGAGTAAGTCTGTCTTTTCTTTATCCGACTGCCCAGGTTTAAAAGTCTAGTCTATACTTCCGTCCTCCAATAGTCTTACCAGTTTGGCGCATTACTTTGATGCCCGCCATCCCATCGTACGCCAGCACCTTCTGGGCGATTTGAACTTCATGCTCACCATTGGGAAGAATAAGGAAGTTAAGGTAGATTTGTTCGTGTCTCCTGCACATCCTTCATGCTCGTAGTTCACACTTCCGGCAATTTTACTTCTTTAGGTCTGGGATCTGAAGTCATTCCTGTGATTTTACACCGATCAGGTACTTTATCTTCATCGCTTTCATTCTCAGTCATAAAATGATTGAACAAATTAATCTGTGCATTGCTTATCTGATCCAACCGTTCTCCCCCAAAAAAATATGATTCACACCTAACGTGACGCTTCTGTAAATACTCGATTCGAGTTTGTCCGTTTTTTAGTAACAAATGCCTTCATTGACAATAAAATTCACGAATTTTGTGAATATGTATCTGTATGCTTTCAGATAGTGCAGAAAACTGTCGAAAAAGGAGACCTGAGATGAAAAAAACTTGCATCACTTGTCCCATTCCGGCCAAGTAAGGCAATAATTCAAGCGTCTGTTGGCGTATTCAAGGTCCAATTTATCCTCGAATAGTCTCAAGAATGTTGGCATGCCCTTTCCAACAATCTGATCACTTGACAAAGCGTCTAGGTGTGAAAGCTGTTTGCGAATGTAGTGAACGACAGAGTCAAGATCTTGGGCCGATGTATGGGGCGAGGCAAAGAATAAATTGCGCCAGACAGCAGCTGCCAGTGCTGTGTCTAAGTGCATTAAAAATGCCTCATCATAAGCAAAAACGGAACCAAAAAACTGCATATTAAATACTTCGATATGGTCGTGTTGATTGCGAAGTATGCCGAAAGGACGCATTCTGTTTTTTAAGTCAGTCCAGATGAACTGCAAAAAGGAGTACAGCCATAAATAGTGAGTAATCCACAAACCTGAATGAACGGTTTTTTCAGAATTTGACCCTCTTGTCCTTCTCTGCGAAGGCGGATTAGACACATCCAAATATGAAGTGTTGTAAGCGAAAACCAAGTCTGGAAAGTGTCTGGCAAGTTCAGATTTTCAATAAATTCATTAACGTCTGGATATTCCGCGCACACTGCAAACATATTAGCGCCGGAAAGCTTCAAACGCCAGGTGGGGTACCTTAGATGATGCCCCATTAGGTGTTTCATAGCACCTAAGAGAGTTTTCTTATCTCGCGAAGAACTTTGAAGTGTTGAGGTGGGAATCGCTCTGCGAGGAAGATAGAAGCCGTCTGGTCTAAAGTGTCGCAACCGGTGGGACTTCACCAATGCAGATTTCATGAGGTAGCCTTAACAAGCAGTGGCTTTATAGGTTAATAGTGAGAGACTTCGTTTCGCTTCGATTTCCACAAAGGCGGACTACAATAAACCGAACAATTTCGAAGTTTGCATCAAAAGGATTTAAATACTATAAATCGTTCAGCCAATGCTAAGTGCCTTCAATGTATGCGAGTTAAATGAAAGAAGCCAATTTTGGCAGTCTGGAAGGCGTTAGCTTTTTAGCGCTAAATTAAGAGGCACTTTAATTAGATCGCGGATATGCATAATCTGAATTGCTGAAGATCATTATTATATTATCTGCAGCCTAGCCAAGTAGTTTCAAAACACAGGTGTATTCCAACAATATTTAGAGCTTAATTTTCAAATCAAACTTAACCAAATAGTATCTATAATTTTGCATTCTTTACAAAAAAACATTGGGTGAATTTATTTTTATGTTATTCTTTCGACCTTGGCGTACGAAAATGCCGCAGAAGGACTTTCAAATTCTTTCATCATTCAGTGGTTTCTCTCGATTATTTTATTTCGAATGAAAAGAATGCTTTAGCAAAGCTATAGACCGCTTTAAAGTTTGTGACCAGTTAATGTTTAGTATTTTTTCTTCTCTTCCGATACGTTGAGGTGTGTAACGCATTTTCAGCCTGTTATGTAAGACTGTAAGGTAAATTTCAATGTTGAATACATTGATTTGGCATATTTTTTTACTCTACATTGATTTTTAATACCTATTCAGTAGCTTTTTGTTCGATTGATTACTTTTCCTAATAATTCTTCTTGTGCATTCATATATTTTTTCAGAATGAGTAGCAGTGTTTCCAAAGCAACTTTTGTGGTGTTAATCATTATTACCGTTCTTGCCGTTTTTCTGTCATCGTTCGAATCATTTGTTGTCAACGATGTCGAACCTGTTAAAATTGGAAGTGCGCCTCCCTTGGCTAAACGCGTTGTTTTCATTACTGTCGATGGCTTAGGAGCACGAATTTTGAGAGACACTAGGAACAAATATGTCACATTTTTAACGTGAGTAGTTGTTACTTTGCTAACGTTTTTTAAAAGGTGTAATTACTTTTTGAAACCAAATCTTACGAATTCGCAAGCAATGTCTTTGTGTTTTTATAGCCAAATCGCCAAATCTGAGGGCCAAATGGGTCTAGTAAAAGCAGACATCCCCACAGAAACACGTCCTCGTCATGTTGCATTGCTTGCTGGATTCAATGAAGATATCTATAATATCAGAAATGGTAAAACATTCAATCCTTTATGTCTTACTACTAACGTATATTAGTTGTTCTGATTCCGTCTTAGTGTGCTTTTTATGTTACTTTTTTAGCTTGGAGGACCAATATTCGACACTTTGATACTATTTTGCACAATACTCAGTTTAGTTGGGCCTATGGGCATTCCGTTGCTTTAAGTCCCCTTAAGTTGCCTCCAGGCGATCCAAGAAATCTACGATTGAAGCTGGAGGATTACAACGCTGTCCCTTATGACCCGATTCTAGTGGATAAATTTGTTTTCAATAAGTTTCAGGTCCTTTTCCTGCAAATCTCGACACATTCATCATTTTGAATTTCCATCCTTAAGTTTACGGTCTGCAATTGATCTCATCAATTTGCTTTTTATTATTGAACTTTTCTGTTACCTTTCAATTTTACGGAAGTGAGATTGTTTGGTTTCTTTCAAAGCAGTTTGCTAAAGCCATCTTAAGTTTAATATTGAATGCGCTTGCCAAATTGTATAGGCTCACCAAATTATTATGCTATTGCCTTCAATACTAGCTAAACGGATTTTGCATTCATTTGTTGGCAAAACTTATAACTTTTTGATTTCAAGTTATAATCGACAACAGTCATTAAGCCTTTGTGATCATATTTTTCGTTGGAGTATGTGATCGCCTCAACTCCTTTTCAGCGTGCCTCAAGCACGTTAAGACGACTATACCAGCCTGCTTATTTATGTCTCAAGAAGAGGACTTTTTGTCTAAGTGTCCTCACACATTTACCTATAGAACTTTCATAATTTTTATTCATTTTTGATTGATTGTGCTAAGACCTACGATTCGCTGCTAGATCTCAAAGCACTGTTTTTATTTAGGCATTCATTACTTTCGACCTTGCAAAATTTGTGGAACTGGATGAGAAAAATGATGATGGTCGATGTGGAAAGCTTCTTTTTCTTCACCTTAGCTCTGTAGACGACGTAGCGCATCGTGTTGGCTCAAAGGATAATTTTTTCTATCAAACTCTGAACAATGCGGACAATTTGGTCAAGGAGATACATCGCCAGTTGCGTCTTCATCTTAATCAAGAGGCTCTCTCGGCGACGACTTTCATTGTCACCGCGGACCATGGAATCAAACCTGAAGGTGTGACATCAACATCATTAATCTTCATGCTGGTTATGTAGCATCATGTCATGCGAGCATGAGCGGTTGTGTTTACATATAGCTATGTGTTGTCAAAGTTGCAAGTTTACGTGCAAATCGGCTGGCTGGACATTTTAGTTCTCCAAAATGTCCAAAAGACCATGTAATCATTAATTCTCTTCATAATCAGCTGCTTGAGACTTTTCCCACTTAAATGTTTGCTCTTAAAGTAGTCAACAACTGGAATCATTTAAATTGCAGGCGGGCATGGAGGAAGTACGGATGACGAAATATATGTGCCTTATTTTATTTGGGGAGCAGGAATTTCTAGAAAACCTCAATCCCATCTCGCAAATGCCTCGACTGCCCTCGCTCAGAATAGTATGGCAGTTCTTCTAGCATCATTGCTCAGTACAGTTTTGCCCTCCAACTCCCAGGTAATGCTAAATTTGATACCAGTCTGAAATCATCAACACAGGGCACTGTGCCTCTCGGTCTTTTAAACACATCTAAGGAAGTGAAGGCGAGTCTGGTTCGGGATAACATTTGTCATCTGATGAAACTGCGTGAGGTAGGACTTTATAGACAGCAGATTTTTTCGTAAAAAGGCTCTAATTCGTAGGTCAAATAGGCACTCCATTCTGCCTCTCTTCTATGCTCATAAAAGAAAACTTCCAAACGATTTTGATGATCTCTTGGTGAAGGAAATGGCACTACAGAATTCACTTAAAATTGTTCTCTGGGCTGCGTGGTTTATGGATTTGTAAGAGCAGTTCTGCTTTTCCTGTTGATTGCTTCCTCTTGACGCGATGATCACTTTTGCCTACTAGTGAAACATTTAGCATCTCAAGTGACAACTGTAAGGCTCGCATCATTCGGTTAACTTTATCGGCACTGGATTTAAAAGTTCTTATCTTTTTTAACAAAGGTCTGCCAATTTGAAGATATCCCAGAAAAAAAGTGCTAGTAAAGTCATTTTATATTAACTTACACTTCTTATTTGGTTGCATTGCAATTTTCTGGTTAGTAAATTCTACCTGAACTATGCTACCATTCATATAATCTTCTACATTTTTGGCTTTTCTTTAATGTTATGACAAGAATTGGCGTCGAGAATGGGTGTCCAAAAGGAAGCTGAATGATTAGTTGAAAAGGGAATACAATTAATTCTGATGCATCGTTGTACTGTTTGAAGAAGCCCAAACATCTGGAAGGAGTCTTAAGTGGATAGGGGAGACCGCATTGAGGACAGTGCTAAGACAGTGTCCCACCTTTTACATGTCATTTCTTAAATCTCTAATGCCTGCTTGAAAGATAGCAGATAGATTATGCAACTGTACTTCGAATAAGGGAATCGGTAGCTCAAAAAGCCATCCGGAACTCAAAGTCCTAAAATGCTGCTGCTAGGCTTATATATCAGGCAGAAATGAACTCCATTTGTCATACCAACATTTTGAAATTGCGTCAACAAATCACCGTTGTTGTTTGGCGAATTACTGCCGCTCTGCGGTCCTCAGACCTACCCACTGATGGTATCTTCTTTGCCGAGCACTCCTCTGTTGAAAGCACTAGCGGCTCAGATGTCAACACCCACTTTAAAGCATCTCATATTTAACGCTTTAGCATTTTCTGGACGATTTCAATGGTTTTGCTATCACTCTCTTTGGCTATCAGTCTGATGGACTCGCAGCCTTGTGGATCTCCCTCGAAACTTCGTTTCTACATTCGTCTAGGCGTATTTGGACTGGCGTCCACAGAGTTGTGTAGAGGTATGGAGTCATGCAATAACTTAACAACATCACAAATTAACCGCCGATCCACTTGTTTAAAAAAGGTTACGCCTTTTTTTGTATATCCTAGTTGTTTGCTGGATTTTGGGTAAGTAAATTTTCTTATTGCTGACAGTCATATGAAATTTGTCAATTTCACCAATTTTCCTTGCTATGGTGGAGTTTGTCGCAGCGAAGCAGCTAAGTAAAGCCGCTGCTAGTCCGCTCCTCTCAGGCCTAGGGGAAGAACCTCATTTGCGAATCCACCAAGTGACTGTTGACAGCAGCTGTCACCATTGGTTAGATTTTTCATGGAATTCTATAAATATGAACAATTTTATGCCGATTTTGTTCCAAGTGTTATTGTGAAAGAAAATTTTACTTTCGATTTAAGAATTGAGTCCAAAGTCGTCAAATCAGGCACAATTGGTCTGACAAGATTGGTTAAGCCGAGAACACTCAGGAACAATCGTAATCTTCAATTTAGCCTCATTTGTCCATCCTTCGGCTTTGTGGTCTTCTATTAACTTTGACTGGGCTGAAAATGACAGCAGAGAGAGTTACGAGACTGCAACGATCGAGCCACTTACCTTCCTTTATTTGCAGACTATAACAAAGAGCCAAACTATCGAGAAATGAACATCCTTAGCTTCGCTTGTGTTGTGGCCGAATTTTTCCTTGGCGGTTACGCTGGTGTCGGAAGAAAGCTCGTGACTAAGTTGTTGGAATCCAAGAGACCCCAAAGAAGGCATATTTTCCGAATTCTGATGGCAATTCTTCAAACCTACTTAATAGTGTAGTCTTGCTTCAAAAGTCAGCTAACTCTCACTTCTAGGTGAAGGGGTTTGACGAGCCACGCTGTTTTGCTGCCGCTGGGGCACTTCTTACGGTGGACCTCTTTTTCGACGAGGTGGATCGTCGAAAAGGCAAATATGTAAGTAGAACTGCTCTTGCTGCTCCACGTTCTATTAAGGCAGGCCTTAAAGTGCCAGTTCACCTTATTGCGAGCACTTAGCTTTATGGAAGCAGCCGTGATTTTTGCCTTCTATTAGACTCCTTTTTATTCGGTGTACGAGAAGACAGCTTGCGATGACTTTTTTCCCATATGGTGTCATGGTAAGTGCTCGGGATTTATAAAAGTGATGCTTAACCAAAGATGTGATATCCTCTTATCATTTGTTACAAAAGTTTAAAAGGATAAAGCTTTACTGCTTCTCATTTTGCAGATGGCCATTCTACTGCTCATCTTAGCTCTATTTTTGGGGTTGTGGATGTGCATCTTGCACGATCAGTCGGGCATAGACGAGGCAAATTTGACGTAGTCTTCTTCTTCTAACTATTCTCCGTTCTAGAGGTTTTCAAGTCATGTTCGTGCTTTTGCTTGCCCTCTTTTGGTTTCTATTCACCCGCCAGATTGGAGCGGTAAAGGTAGATTCTATTTCATGCAGTGCTTTCCTTCACACTATGGAAGTGTTGCAGTTTTTGCCATATCATCCAGGCAAGTCAGATTTCTCCCTGGGATCGAATGCTCTTGGAGTCACGTGCCATGCTACTGAATGTATCCTTTTAGTTGTCAGTTTTTCAGTATTTTGCCTATTTCACGTCATAACTTTTCATATGATTGCAAAAAAGTGAATGTCTTTTCAGCGAACTTTAGAATTTACTCTAAATACTGAACGCATGTTTGTGCTATCCAAAAGGTTTGGCGCGCGTTTAAGAAACTTAAACAAATTACGCAAGTCTTGTTTATTCTCGCGTATTAAAATGATTACGTGAAAACATGGCGCAATTGTGTGTCGGCGTGTTTTTTTGTGACCGTGACTGAACAATGACAGGCAGCACTCCAGCAACGATCCCTTGGGTCGTTATCTTGCTTCCTGAGACAAGGTAAAAATATTCTTTCAGGAATAGGAAAAGCTGGTACGAGGCAATGCTTGTCCTTCTAATAGATTTGCTCCGTGTGGTTTTCTCATGATTGGAAAGTTGGTCTTTTGTGGTCTTGCATAAAAGTTCTTTCGTTCAATGTCACTTGTGATTCCCGTTATGACTTCCAAAACATACCACTCTAAGGCATTTTATAATTTCTGAACTACCAATGCTTGGTGTCAAGAAAGTAGTGCGAATAACTGAGCATTTCTCACTACTTGTAGAACTTCTACCGAGTGCGAACAGTGTTGATTTAGCAGAGGCTGATAAAATTTTGTTTGTCATTGCTGTTGACGGTTTGGAGGTTGTCAGTCATATGCATTTGGTCGCGGATGGCTGTAATCAATCGCTTCCTGAAATCGTGAATCCACGTTTCCATTTTGGCTAAGACATTTCATTCTAGTAAATAGAGCACCAGAGAAGGATACTGGCGATTAAAGGTCTGATATGCCAAGACAACATCTGTTTCTTGGCTGATATGAAACATCACTTCGGTGTGTGCCTGTAATTGCATTGTACACCCACCCCTAAACACGCGATTAAACAATTACAAAATTGTGCAAAACTCCGGCAGAAATTCTTAGTGCAACATTTTGGGAAGGATACAAATGCTAAAGAATATCACGATAAATGCGCCTACACACGGACACACTACTACCGAGTCAAAGTTAACATGTACTGGTGTGAATAGTGCCTACAGACTAGATGTGTGAGACGTTTTCTCTGTCTACGGCATTGCTATGGTCGACATCTTTCCTTACTTCATTGTTCTAGCTATTCTCGCTCAATGTTTATATGTTTGGATTGAAGATATATTCGACGAAAGTAGTGTGAGTTTGGCTTGACGTCTAAATACTGTTTTGACCAGTAAGAAGTACCATTTTTGGATTGGCGCAGCTTGTAATTTAGACATGAGGTTTACAGTTATTAGGAGCTTAGCCAACTTCCTCATCAGCAACATGGCCGGATTTTTACCTCTTGTAAGTGCTTGTACATTGAGCAAGCTTATATCGCAATTTTGTATCACCTCACCTCAGGTAGCGGGGACTAAGCATTGTTACTTTATAAATACTTTTGAGATGTCACTTTTGAATACGCATTTTTATCTCCCTCATAGGTTGTCCATGTTGGACATTGTGTCTGAATGGAACCACAATCTCAGAAGAACAATATTGGTTTGTCACGTTGCTATTTCCTTGGCAAGACTCTGTTGCCACTCTTGTCAACTGTTTTACTAATTTTTTAAGCATTTTTGCATAAACGATCAAAAAATGCCTTTGCATCAAACTGTTATTGCGACGAACACCTCTTCAAATTAGTGTGTATGTTAGGTCACGCAGGCTGACCACTAGCTTTATGGTTTGTAAGGAAGTCCGTTGCTGCAATTTCGTTCTATAACTATCAAAAGCAAAGGCATATTATGCAAGATTTGATTTGTGATTTGATTGTGATTTTTTTAAGTGAATAGTTGTTTTGGGCTTTACTAACTTGGAGGTAGCATTGACTCACCTTATCGACTGTTTAACCTTTCTTATTAAAATTCTCTGCATCTTTCCGTCTGCCAATCTGCTAATGCATAAAACAGTGCCGCCTACTTTGCCTCATTGCTTTTACTGGTATCAAAGTAACCTGTGTTTGAATGCAGGTGAATTTCCCACCTCTCGGCCTTCTTATCTTCTACATTTATGCCACTTTGGAAAGAGGGCACAAGCAAGGAATGTCTGCCCTACGCGCCCAAGCGCTAGCCTGGATTCTTCTCACGCCATTCACCTTTGTGCAAGGAACCGCAAATATCGGCTACACCGACAGTTGGAGTCAAATTACTAAGCATCTTGCCTACTTTATCTACTTATCAGTAGGACCTTTGATTTGCGCCCTTGTGTTGTGCTGTATCATTCGAGTATGTCGATTATTTGATCTTAATTTCTAACCTCTCTGCCTTAGTTCCTCGTTATTTGCATGATTTACGGCTGCTGAGGTAAATGATTACCACATTCGAGTTGACATGAATTTTACTTACGCTACCGTAAATCGTGTCCCCATTGTGTAATTGGTGAATTTCCTAGAAAAGTGTTCTCATGCTTCACTATTCCCATGTTTCACTCTTAAGTGCACTTGGGGGCAATCAAACCCAAAAAGTGGTTAGTTTGCATGAGTGTAAATAAATTGCTTTCAGCCGCTTTTTCTTCGTCTTCTTATTCCCCTTTTTGAACACTATAAAGTTATTGTTCTGTTTATGCATTTCGCCGACATGCAGTTTAATTTTGCATAACCTCAGCTCTACATGGTGGCTTGCTGAAAGGGAAACCAGTTATCATAAGATCTAAATTGGCTTTGGTTTCTTTGCGCCAAATGTCTAGAGTGTAAAGCCTTGGTGCTAACAGCAGTATCTACACTTTCATTGTATCAAGTTAAAGGACAAAACAAGCGTTTCTATTTTGGCATAAAGTGCTTCCTACTAACTTAAAGTTTGACATTTCTGGGTATGATTACTTATGCACCAAGGGACAATAGCCCCAAAAGCGGTTGAACTGTTCCAATGGTATCGTTTTGTGACACCGAGAAGGGATTTCAAGTGACGGGGGGTACATATCACACCCTCTCGTGGGTGAGAACTTGGATCTAGTCAAATGCAGGCGCAATGATAGCCTTTGGAATCAATTATGAAGGACTTTCTAGAATGTAAGCTTCACGGCACCTTTAAGTGTCTACTAAAGAGATATAAAGGAAGTACTGCAAAAATAAGCGTCCTCAAAAGCTGCAGGGAAGATCGTATCTGTCAAAATCATGGCAAAAAAATTATTTCTTTGTCCAGATGGCATTTTTGGACATCATTAAGAGGAAATTTTCAGCTGATCTGATCAACCAAATAACTTCTTTTAACTGGCCCAAGTGGTCAATTTAGAGTAATCTGTAGGCGTCCTCTACGACGTTTTCTCTGCCATTTCCCTGTGGCACGCTTCTCTTTCGTTATCAACAGCTGAGTGAGGTTTGCATAGAGGGTGCTGTCGGGCACTGTGGCCTAAGAAGCTGTGATTTCCCATTATTTTGCAAATGTTGGAGCAAATGGCAGCAAACCACTCCAGATCTACCCATTACGCACTTGACCATATTTGGTCATGCTCATTTGCATACCAACCATGGCCTTTCCAAAAGTAATTCGTAGGATAAATAGTGTCATTTTCATTAAAAATTTTTATTTTGCTAGAAAGTTGTTAACTGGCACAAATTTTCATGCCAGCCGGGGACGCTGAGTAACCCGCTTAGATGGGGAGTGCGGTTCTCCCGCCACGTTTCACACAATGGTCGAGTTGGAGTCACTTGACAGGCAGCAGTTCGACTTGGCTCACCTATTGTCAGTCTACATATCTTCGACGGCCCACGGAAGGCACATTGTCTCGATGTCTCCAGAAATGAGGAGATGTAAAATAGCACGCAAGACGTTAGATGTGGCCCTACTGTTGCCGTACGGTTAGACTATAGGATTATTCTCGCGTACTTGCATAAGCTTTGCCATTCAAACTTGCAAGGCTACCTTGCAGCCTTTAATCGGGTATTGTCGAATCTACCGCAATTTTCATGACATTGTTCTAGCAGTGGAAAAACTATTTCCATTAGGTAATTACAACGCTTATCGAACCTACGGCAAGGAGGGCTACCGTTGACTCCATAGCCATTGCTGGTTGTATTCACTGCTTTGGTCTGATTGAATCAAAGAAAGGTGGCATCCACACATCTATTCTAAAGTTTTGATTTTATGTATGGGAGTCAACTTAGGCAAGCACATTGTTTCAGCAGTTAGAAGTCTATAAACATCTTTTTTCGCGCATAAGCTGTACCTAACTGGCATAAAGCCTTAATGCGTTGCCTCGGGAACAATCACAATTGACTAACCACCCACGCAATAATGCACGCGGTTCCGATAAAAGTCGTGTTGATTACCCATTCCGTGCCTCACCTCGGCCCCTCTGCTTGCTGAAAATCTAACCATTTGCACATCCGGTTACATGGAGCATTTTCAGCAAAGACTCCCACGAAGTTTGGAATTCTAAGAAGTGTGAGAAAGTTAGAAATGCGTGCCTCAGATGACTTGCCTATTAACTTCTAGCAATTTGTTAGTCTATCCTTCCGCCTTTCTAATTAAAGTCCGCCAATTTTTATGATCTCTATAGGCCGCAAACAAATTCCAGTGTCAGGTGGTCACACCACTCATGGAATTTAGCCTTTAAGACGAGTTGTGACCGTTTTCGGGGCTGAAAACGCAAGCATGAAGCTCAGATACGCCACTAACAGAGCTCGAGCCGCCTTTAGCATGTTTCATCACGCCAAGTACAAGTAGCTTTGTACAAGAGAATTCTCACCATTAGACGCTACCTCCAACTACGTGCATCACTGCCGTCGTCTGTCGTGTAGATTTGTTGTCTGTCAAAACTGCGAAAGTGGCGCTAGGTAGCAGAGCACGCATACAAAATCTGACGTGTGCAGAACCACCATGACAGCACGTTTCCCCATGCTCTCGAAAATGGAGGCTTGATTGGATCATCCTCATCACTACTACGGAGGAATTTGTAGTAGTTAATCAGCATAAAATTTGCGTCATTTCGGATGCACCATGAGAATGCTACTCGCCTCCACGATCTTTCTGGTAGTAACAAAGTTGCAAGTAAGTGTTAGGGCCAACCATGACACCTATAATTTACATCATTGTCATACCAAGACACTGGAGCCCTTGCAAATGCATTCTTAATCATACTGGGTGATCTATTTAGAAGTGATGTCGAGTGTCTTAACGACCGAAAACATAAGAGCCTTCGACTCAATATCATCGGCGCCAGATGACATGCTGCACAGGAACACGCCTGCATGCACGACATAGCGGTGGAAGAGGCGAACCAGTGCGCTATTTGAGCTGAGCACTCTGCTATTCGTGTTTTCACCTGCACATGTAACCACACACGCACATACACATACACACACAAGCAGAAGGTACTCACTCATTCACTAGCCTCCTCACAAGTGCTACTCTCCAGGTCATGAATATACGTATCGTCACTTGTGTGCTCCTTAGCATCGCTATTCTCTTCACTATAATCGGTGTGGCCACAAATCAGTGGATTGGAGGCAATCTTCTACGCAACAGTGGCAACTATGCCGTGACCGCCAAAGCTGTCGGCTACCTTCTGATTGTGGGTGCGGTACTACTTTGCATCGCTCTCATCATTGGCATCGTACAAATTCAAAGAACAGTTGAGTCCTTTTGCCTGTGTGTCGTCTACTTCATCATGCTTTATCTTGGAGTGGCAGCCTTACTCGTTGCAGTGATCGTCTACACCGAGGTCCTTTCTAGGCAGTGGTCTTACTTCGTTGCCGTGGTTGGCTGCGTGTTCGCGCTTCAAGTGGCAATTCTGGTGCCCACGTTCACTCGTTGCACAGTGAAGCAAACCACAACACGGCGCGTTATACGTGTTACACGCTGAGGACTCTGAGAAAACACCTACGAGAACGAAAAGTTCTCTACTGCTCTCGTCTCAAACACGTCGTTTCCATTCTCTCCTTCTCACTAACCAATACCAATGTGTCTGTGTGTGTCCATCTCTCGTGCTAATGTTAACATAGGATTTGCTTGTCTTTGCTTAGAATAAATAAATAGACATTACCCTCATGCCGAGATTTTGAGGTTAGCTATACTTTGTTGAGTAAGACACTTAAGCTTCTAATAACATGTCCGAAATCAATACCATTAGTGTGCAATTTTATCCTCTTAACTTTCTATTTCTGCTGTTAGAGAAGGTGTAGATTTCCAAGAAGTGAGGCAACAAATTTTGACTAAAACTGCAGTCAGGCAACCCTTAAAGTTGTTTAAGTTTGTTTATTATCATTATTTGTCAACCTGTCGTGCCATTTATCATGCTGCCAATCATCCACTTTCTTGTATAGGAAGTGGGATTGAATTCTCTTTTCACTGGGGCATACCTGCAAGTCTAGTGGTGAGAGGTGATAGTACACTGAATTATCACTAATTAAGATGGGGTGGTTAAGCGTAAGAAAACGTGCTCAAAGTTCAAACCACTCCGTCTTAGACTGGATTCGTGGTACATTTATAGAGCCCCAGCCCCACGTTTATTCCTCCACACAGTTTTGCCTTCCTTCATAGACGTTTAGCGTATTCCAAATGCTTACGTGGCCATCAACCCCAGATATAAAATACAGACAGCTTTAAAATAGAAATATTCAACCAGTTGACGTTTGATACCGTACCACTCGTTCATAGCTAGCTAGAGTAAGTGCCTCTCCTCAAGCTCAAACATCCATGACAGGCCTTCACCCTCACGTCATTGAATCCTCCTATCTCGGCCAAAGAAACTAGGATGCTGTTTCCTTGAGGATGCATTCGCTTCTCACTGCCTCCAATGCGTCGTCTTAGGCCCTCCTTACGTTGATATAACAAAGTCAATCAAAGGCGTTTCCCACTACCAAGCCCCACCCGAGTTGAAAAGCTACCAGTTCGTAGAATGTGAGTGACGAATGAGGGCAAACAGTCCTCCATTACAGCTTTCACTGACGGCTAGCGGTTTGCCGCGTGTCCCAACGAAACCCTTCACCAAACCAGTGCCTAAAAATTCCTGATACTCTTATCTTGCTTAAATTCTTGGCTACTTTATGTGCATTAAAGTAGTTAAAGAAGTTGTACGCATGAGATGTAGATGGTTGGCACTTCAATTTACATTTCCCGTGGTGGCTCATTTTAGCCAAATCAACAATCACACTTGAATGCAAAACTGTGAACCCTTGCACAAATAGGGCTGGCTTATCATATATTAAATAACGAATGCAGTAGATCACTACCAATTAGAATGATAACCAAATAATCCATAAAACTCATTCTAAAAGCATCTGTAATTAAAATGCAATAAGATACATCTTAAAGTAGACCAAAAAGATGTTGGAATTCTGAACACGTGTAATGAACATTAAGAAACCTCTGGGAAAGACAAAACCTTCTTGCATGTCAAATCCGTTGGCGCAACATCCTTGAAAAGGGCCTTAGAAACGGCAGACTTCCATTCCAAGTGCGAAAATAATTCGGTAGGAGAAAGCTTGATTTTTCCATCAATTATCCAATTTGAAAGTTTGTCGAGCATTGCGTGTACCTTCTCTGCTCTGTCCGGCTGATTTTCTCGCCCCGAAAGCCAGAATCCGCAAATACGGATATCTTTAAAAATGAGAGCACTGATAGGAATTGGGATAGGTTGTCGTGTCATTCCACCGTAATTAATGAGAAGCCCATGTTCATCGAGGTTCTTGATTATGGACAAAGCTGGTCGACCACCCAAACAATCAAGACCAACTTTGATTTTACCCAAATCACAAAGATCTTTCCGGTGTTTCAACTCCTCTTCCGTAACAACTACTGTGCCTCCAAAGTCCAAAAGGGCCCGACGGGTGGATTCCGTCTTTTCTAGTGTGTCACGAGCTCTAAATATATTTACTTGAGGATTAATAATATCCGAGCACACAGCCTACTTGTATTAACACCCATCTGCTTGCAGATTTGCATAACGTAAATGCCAACGGAGCTCGTAGCCCCATTTTGGATAAGGCAATCACCGGGTTTCAGTTCCGCAAAATTACTAAGCATCAGGTAAGCTGTAGCCGGATTGATACAAAGCACGGCTGCTTGTCTAATATCGAGCTTGGGATTTAGTCGAAATAAATCTGATTCGTTGTAGATAGCAACATTACGCCAGGTCCCCAGATTCGGTCTCGCTGGTACGACGAGATCACCTGGTTTCAGCTTTGAAATCCCAGTTCCACATTCCAAAACCTAACATGAATAAATGCGAAATGAGGGTTTACATATCCAGCACCTTCATTTCCCGGAACCGCTGGTAGTGGTGGCTTTAGTGGATATTTGCCTTGGATTGAATTTATATCAGAGGGATTGATCGGCGAAAGGCGATAATTAACAAGAACTTCCCGATTTTTTAGCGATCCGATATCCACGACCCGCTCGTAAAGAACATCAAGGGGCTCACCATGCTCATTAAATGCAATTTGCCAGCTTGAAATAGTTCTAAGGAAAAGACGTTGTCTCAAAGTAGAGAAGACTTTTCCCAATATCTGCATACTTACTGCTTAAGCCTTAAACCTTATGACGCTACAAGAGAAAGAACACAACTTTGCATCAACCGCCCTCCATTAGAAGAAATGAAAACATCGTTTTTTAAATAGTTTAAAGCAAACAAAGGGGTGCTACGCCGTAACCGACTATGGAATTATCTCCTGAAGCTTGATGTTAATGTGAAGTTAAAAGGTGCCCACTTATATCCTGCCAGAAATTGAAATCAATAGCCATTGTAGTACCGACAATCCCCATCCGGGCAATTGCGAATCCCAACACCGCGCCCCCTCACCACCTCCAACTCACCCTTACCACCCTACCGAACCCTCCCCGCCACAAACACCACAGACACGCCAGCCATCACAACCTAACGCGCCAAGCCGCCCGAAGTACAAGACTGAATGTACAAGAATCGCGTATGTAGAAAAAAAAACACCTATTAAAGCCTTAATCCCAGTCGCTTCTTCTCCTTTTCCTTCTTTCGGTAGGTCTCCAACTGCCGATTTCTCCAGTCACTCTTCTTAAGCTTGATCGGTCGATTACCCACGTATTTACCTGGACATAAGAGCAGAAGTCACTGAATCCATATAGTTTCCTCCGAAAAATATTCATGTATTTCCTATCCTTACCGTTCATTTCCCGCATGGCGCGTGTGAAATCATTGGGGTCAGAGAAGCTCACAAAGCCATATCCTCGAGACTTCCCAGTTCTCTTGTCCACAATCACCTTGGCCTTGCGGAACGAAGGATAGCGTGAGAAGGCCCGAATCAGAGTATCGTCAGAAACCTCATTTCCTAGGTCGCCGCAGAATATCCTAAAATCATCTGATAAAGGTAGTGTAGATAGGCTGAGAATTTGAGGGAAAAGGAGGAATCTACTATATTACTAATTGTAATACTTTGTTTATGTGACCACCTGGTGTCTGGCGGATACTTTGATATTCGGCTGGCTCTTGTATGCATGAACTAGCCTTCCAGCCAAGGCTAGACTTATGCTCTTTTCTCTTCCCAGAGCATATGCATTCAGTTCCACTTAACGCTTAATTCCACTCAGTGGGAAGTCTTGCGACGCTACATTCATGACCAACTCACTGGGATCCCAGTCGGACAGTGTAGGGTCCTCCCAAACCATTCCAGCGGCGACGCGTTTGTAGACTTTCTTCTGAAAAGAGTAAGGTTCCTCGGTCAAGCTGGATTTCGAACGCATAGGCGGGACCACCGATGTGTCCAGTAGTGGCAAGCGAGAGACGCCTCGTTGAGACTGTGCGGTAGTTGAGGTGGAAGAGAGCTGTGTGGGAAGAAGGCTTTGTGGTACTACAACCGTTTTGCTGGGCACGCTAGGCACTACCTTGGTGTTTGGTGTGGTTGTGGTCAGCTTGGTATCTGTAATACGAGGTAGTAAATTCAAGATGAAGTGGACTCTAACATCATGGTTTTTTGAGTTCGCACAAAAGGTTTGTGGCGAAACTATAAGATAAATAACTATGCTCGATCAAAATTATTTACAGAATGCACTTTAAGATGTCTCGCAATGGCGCTTCGATGGAACGGAGACATTTAAAAGCCATCATAACACAAAATAAACACAGGTCAACTCAAGTTTGTACCAGGTGTGGTTAATTAGTGGGAAAATTAATTCTAAGACGGGCAGAGACGAAGTAGGCACGTATACAAATTAAAACCTCCAGAATCACAGGTTAAACAACGACTGATGTTCATTAACTTCAGATGTGAGCAAAGCACTAGGTCTCATATTCAAACACTAGGAACGCAAAGCATGAATGCCAAAAAAAGTGGGCGACGAACTATGCCCAATTATACTAAAGACAATTCGCATTAGCTACCCATTAATGTAAGAATAAACGACTTAATTAACAATGAAGAGCATATGTAAAACATTATTCGCTAAAACAAAACTTAATTGCAGACTATACAAGAGCCATTGCAAAAATGAGCAAAATAATCAGAAATGTCCATGAGCTGATGAAGTACGAACACTGGAAGTACTCGAAAGAGTTTAATCGAATCGACTGAAGGGATCAAACAAATAGGTCATCAGAACTTTTAGTAATATCATTTCCAGCACGCAAACGATCTCAAAAGATTTATCAATTACATTCTCAAGTTAAGCATGGATCACTGGTGAATAATGATACCGTCGCAAACATCAAAGCAAAATCCGTACTAAAACTGCTGTACATCACATCATAGAACCCGAACTAATGTCTCCAATGGCTTTTGCAATATCCTTTTGTAGCCATTGAACCAGACCACGTCAACTACCACCGACTCAGAACTAATGTTGGACAATCAAGAGATCAAAGTCAATTTCCATTACTGCATAATTTGAAACCAATGCACACAACTCTACCTGAAGCTGTGGAAGAAGTAGTTAAAGTGGAAGCTGAAGAAGGAACAACTTGATGGTTGTACGTGACACCAGCGGCGGCAGCTAAAAGGGCTCGTGTTACGTCGTCATCAACATCAAAGGCATCAACAGCAGAAGCCAATTTAGCAGCCGCCTCAGCCTCCCTATTAGCTCTTACAGCGGCTGCTAGCTGCGAAGGGGCGGCCATTTGTGGGGGAGCAGAAATAACAGCCGGTTGTGCTTGAATTACCGATTGTGTAGAAGCAGGAGGTGGGGGCATAAAGGCTGGTGGAATCGAGTAGTTTGGAGGCATATAGATGCCAGGAGCAGTAGGTGTTGCCATGTCTAAAAAGAAGTAGGTGTTAGGTGCCGTAAAGAAGGAATTATAATGCGCACTTACACTGAGTTGTTGGCATTAACCCCGGAGAGGCAAATTGAGAGCCAGAAACGTAGGGCATGGAATAAGAAGGGATGGGTTGACCATAGTGTAGAGATGCCGCGGAAAGAGAGGCTTGAGGAGTTTGTGAAGCAATCTCTGCCTCGAATCTCGAAAAAAGAAACCAAAGTTATTAAATATCAAAATCAAAATGTGAAGTAAGCACTTACAGTGAACAAACCAATAAAAGTGCTTGTTAAATAAATGTGATATGAGACTACGATTAAAACTGCAAAATAACTTAATATACCTAGTCATTTCTTCTTCCATTTTGCGTAACTTTGAATCTGACGCCTCTACCATCTTCTAATGAATATGTACAATGATCCCAACTAAGTAAAAGACACGACAATTCCTTATGAGCGGCGGTGAGTTGAGCCGACAAAACAAGAACAGCATAAATAGGCATAGAGTGACGCTTGCAAGATTAAGTTTAGATTACATCGCACTTTAAAGTAAAATAAAAAATATAATTTTGCATAAATTACTGTGTGATCAATTTGAATTTGTATAAAACCGCTCGCTGCTTTTCCTTTGCAGTTTTATCACCATCACAATTATTTTTTTACAGTTGCTAGATCAGCTTTTGCTAGCCACTTGTATATGGCAGAGGAAAGTATTTAAATTTTGTTTTTAAGCGCATTCTAACTTGACCTTGACTTGTTTTGCTACTCGAAAATGAAGTTGTCATCGAGTGAGCTTGCGTCGATTTTTGCGCACCTAAATGAACTGTCCTGATAGTAAGCTTGATCGCACGATCGAATAACTTTGAAACAAATTTTTTTAGCAGTATGTGTATTAATAGAGGGACAACATTCTGATTGTAACTACGTGCTGCAAGTACTTTGCCGCATATGATCGTAAATGGAAAATTAAACTAGCATGCGGGTGACTAGTATGTAGGGGTAGCAGAATTACTGCTTTGGTTCAAATTTGTAGTTTTATTTTGCCTCCTTGAAATTTTGCTTGAGTGGTTTAGTTGTTAATTTATCTTCGTATGAAGGAGAATCTTGGTCTCGTGCTTATCAATCCAAGTACAACGATAAGCGTGTAAAGGTGTTTACTAAGAAGGAATGGACTCAGCTCCATGATCGCATACACGCAAGCGAAATTTGTGCAGCCAAATTAAAGAGAGAGACTGAGTCTCGCGAAAATATGAAGAACAAATCCTTTGAGATTCACAAAAACTGGACAAACACTATCTTGGTATGATTTGCGTTTAATTTTGCTACGGACTATTTGTGTGTTCGCCTCAAAATGCATGCTGGATATTTTAAGGGTGCACGAAAGAAAAAGCTGCATGAGCGGGAAGAGCGTTTGACGAAGGAGGAAGAAGAAAGAGTAGCCGTTGATCTTGAGTGGGCTAAAGAGCAGGCAAAAGACCGCCTTAGAAGGCTCTGTATTGCTCGTTCAACCCAGCTCTATGATACGTCGCGCCTGAAGAAATTTCACGTAATGACTTGGGTCATAGTTTATAACATTGCTCACCACTTTAACAAGTGTGACGTGTTTAAGGCACGAACATTTAGCCCCATTTAAAGTCCTTATTGTGTTATGTTTGTCTGAATTTTTTTATACATTCTCATTTTCAATTCCTCTGTTCAAATTCATTTTTAATAGGATCATCGTGATCGGCTCACTTAAAAGTGCCTTACCGTAACGCATTTTTAGGTTATAAATGGATATAATCTGCCTAATCTCCGTTTTTAAAGGTTTTAAAAAGGGACTGTTGGAGTCAATGCCAGGAGTTAATTGAAGTAGGAACTTTGAAGAGCTTATTAAAAAATCATTTAAATTCTAAGGTAGTAAAATGATAGATGAAACTAATTTAAAATAAATTAATGCCGATCTGATGGGAAATACATTTTCGTCGCACAATTTCACCCTTATTTTATGCTTAGGCAGCTTTAAGACTGGGCAATGCTTTAAGGGAGAACGATCTTCAGCTCAAATTGAAGGAGCAGAAACGTAAGGCTGAGTCCAAAGAGCGAGAAATTGAATATCAGGCTATGCTTGATAGGATTAAAGAAGGTTAGCATATGCATTCTTAGTCGACGCAATTTCGATTCCTGCAAACACATTAAGTGATAACTACCGTGATAGAATTACTGAAAATTGAGTGTTCGATTATTGAAAAGGATAAAAGCAGTAAGCAATTTAGCTTATCTGCTTGAGCATTCCGTAAAATCTATCAAGGCAAACATAAAAGCCATGTCGAAGCTAGCACAGCTCATTGTTGCATTCAGGATTGGAGACCATTCGATTTTCGTTTTAGCTGAAGAGAAAGAGAAAAAAACGATGGAAGAAAATAGGGCTGCCGAGCGATTGATTCACGAGTTTCAACGTTCACAGTAAGTGATCCTACAACAGAAGACAACTGATTCCAAACTTTTACCACTTAAACAGAATCTTGTAAGAGATGTTTGGTTAACTACACAGAATTGAAGAACGTCGTCAACGTGAGGAAGGAGAGAAGTTGGTATTGAAAGAGGAGGGCGAAAGGCTTCGAAGCCTAGCAAAGGAAGCAGAAAGGATGAAATTGCAGATGCAAGAGGAACGGCTCAAGCAGCAGAAACTGACCACTAGAGACTTGCTTGAGGAAATAGAAGACCGAAAAAAGTTAAGGCTGGTGGAACGTATCAGAGATGAGGTAAACTGATCTTTGATGCTTACTAATAAATAACCAAAGTGTAGTACTGAAATTCTCTCCATAATATGATATTAGTACCTACATAAAATTTTTATAAAAGAAGAAAATGGCGGAAACTGTTTTGTCGTTGGTAATCGGCTTTCATTTGTGTGCGAATAACTTTGAGTGGATTGTTTGACTATCAGGAAGAAGACGAAAAAAACCTCATCTACGCAGTTGCCAAACGCCAAATGTGTCTTACCCAAATGAATAGGGAAGGAGTCGCAGCGGCGTGAGTGTTCCATTCAGTGTCACCTTCACTCTCACAATTTGCCCTTTTTTGGACGCTTACTCTATTCTTTACAGGGAAAAAGCTTCGCGCCAAAAGGAATTGGCGCAGAACCTTTCCACCTTAATTAGTCAACGTCAGGTTGCTCGCGACGTACCTATGGAAATATCCGCGAAGCAGGAGGAAGAGAGGTGGCATCAGCGCATTGAGGCCGAGGCGAGAAAGCGGGAGGAGGCCAAAGAGTGCATGAGGAAACAAAGAGAGGATGCTTTGAAGGCGAGAGAGGAACGAATGGCCCATCAGATGGAGGAAGGAAGAGCGGAGTTACAGCACAACATCAGTCTTGATGAAGCGGCGCAGCGAGAGGATGAGGAACGTCGTGCAAAACGTCTCCAGGAGGGCAAAGCACTTGCACACCTCTATCTTGAAGAAATGGTTCGTAGAATGCGTGTGAACGCGCAGTAATTAGGACCTAGGCAATAATTCTGGTCCCCAAATTGTCAGCTTCAATTTGAGCACGCGGAAATAAAAGAGCATTAATTTGGCTTGCTGCTTTTACTGCCCTGCTTTTAAAGACTTTAGTCGAATTAATTTATCACACCTAGCAAAGGCACGAGGAGGCACGCAGAAAAGAACGTGAGGCGGACAACTGGTTGGAGAAATTCAATGCACAGAGCAACATGAAAGAGGACCTTTTCCAGAATTACGCGAACCGGGTAAAACAAACGATAACACCGACATTTTAAAGGTTTTACATACAAACTAAGTGTATGAAAAAACAAGTGTTGTCCTTATTTGCTTAAGCCTTACGGCTTCTCTCTGCAATGTCACATTTACACAGTGATATTTTATCAACTGGCATTGGTGAATTTCGCTTTAGGTCATCAAAACGTGTGAGGAAACCGGAATACCCACGTTTGCGCTGAAAAAGGCCGCACATCCAAGCACAGCGACGGATGAATTAGCACTGACAGTGGCTAACGACTTTGGCGTAGACGGAGATGAGACGAACGAAAAGTGCGCTCTGCTTCCAGACCTACCACCACATCAGGAAAATCTACATCTATAAGAGTTAAGACCTCTAAAGGTGTGTCGACTGCTAAAAGACGATTTCTCATAGCATAAAACAATACAACCGCGTTCTTCGCCTTCTGTTCTTTTTTTTCACAACAGCATGCGATGTCTATGCTAGCACATGAGCAACAAATTAGAAGTGCTTGAGCGACAACTATGAGGCAATGTCAATAGCATTCCAGCAGAGGATGCACAATGGAAAGGGAGCAAGTCAAACATTGCAAAACTGAGGTCATCTATGGGGTGGACTTTGGCAGATGAGTCAGTCGCTTCAATCCGCTACACTCAGCCTCATGGAAGCGTTTGGAGGGTAATGGGGCGGCTATCTGAGTGCCTGGCGTTAGCCGTCGAATGGTAGATCAAGAAATTCGAATGAATGGAAAGGAAAAGCTAAGAGTGGCAGCTTTTAGAATCAGTAGAGAGGTGTTATTGATGTCTTGGAGCTCTGACGTTGGTTCGACCAAAATGGGGACATTTTGACACCTCACCGCGCAGATCGCTAGGCTTGTGGCTTTGTACTCGTGTGCCGAAAACACCTCCTTGACAGAGTTGCATGGCTATAGCCAGGCCCTAAAATGTAAGTGGCCGAACAGACAACACTGAGAAAAACGAGCATCTCTTTACCGACAGGAAAAACAAAAGGTGCATGCACAGTGTCTACTAATCCACTTTTCTTTCAGATATCAATAAAGGGCTGCTTGCCAACCTTGGAATTAAGCAGTGTTGCCCCAATTACGTTCCTTAACCTCACCTCACTATTAGCGCTTCAAGACTTCTTTCAACGGTTCCAAGGTAAAACAATTTACCAAGTACCAATAGTTAGATAGAAAGGAAAAAGGCTATGCTTTTAAGATGCTTTGAAAACCAGCTTACCAGGCAGAAGCAATATGACCACACGTTAGACTAATTTGTAAAATATCCAAAAGACAAGACCTAATCACACGTCTGAAGAAAGAAATGTGTTAAACGTTTTGTGTTTTTATGGCGACGCACGTAGAATGGTGAAGTTATGAAAGTGGTGAGGACCAAAAAAAGGGTAGTGATCCTGGAGTAGGACGTGGGAACAAGCCTTTCCATGCTACAATCACAAAATGGAGCACAAGTGGAGTTGTAACATTTGAAAGCTGAAAAGGCAACAAAAGAAGTATTGTCCGTAAAGAAGTTCGTAGACTGACTGGGAGGCAATTCGTGGAACGGTAAGTACTGAAACGTAATGCCAACTAGGCACAACGGGTGCGACAAAGCGAAGGTGTCCAAAAGGCGCAGGTATGAATGTGTGTTGTACTTCTAGTCCTTGACAAACGCAATTTTTAAAGACGAGGGAGGCAACGACAAATAGCGAACGGCGGTACCACTTCCCTACTACCACTCTTCCTGGGGTCAAAGTATACCATTCTCGTTTCTGCAGCTTTTGTGTCCTTGATCGACTCTCCAGTGCGTTAATGAGTTTGGTCTTAGAGGATGTATGCAATCACCAAGATATTGTAAGCGAGGGACCATGGCAATAGGTCACTCATTGCGTCCCATCTTCAAGACATAAGGCAGATGGCATTCCATTCAGTTTACTGGATTCTACTTTGCCCAAGAAGTCACATGAGATGTCAGTACATTTTAGTCGCATTCATTCACTTCCCTTGACTTTCAGCTACGTAGTTGGTACTGTGAATCGTATGGTTTAAAGTAAGTGGAGTTGAGTTGGCATATGTCTTTGTATTTGGGTGAAAATATGAAAGAATTGTGGACAAAGAAAGGTGGCGGTGATGTGTTAATGGCGCCAGAAGGCCGACTGGAAGTTTGCAATGAAGGCGATATAACAGTAGAAGACAAAAGTGGCTGGAACGAGTGAGCCAGTGACGCAGAAAGGTAGTGAAAAAAAGTGAGACATGGATCAGTGTCCAGTTGTAGATATACATCAGCAGAACGCAACCGACCTCACAAACAATATCGGCTTGGCGGTGCGTAGAGCACGAAGTGAAGGAATGGATTTGTTGGCCTTCGTTTGCCAACGGATTGGCATTTCTGCACTTCAAAACCGAACAGACAGCACAGACCGACTCAGTGCTCAAGTGGTGCTGTCAAAATCAATTTTCCAAACGGCGTGTGTAGTCATCAGCCGCTAGGAGAAATTATTCAAACGTGGCAGGTTCTGGTCCGATAAAGTCTTTTTTTGCGTTTAGCTCGAGTTGCCAAATTATTTTGATTGAACAACTGCATTTGGTATGAACTGCTATCAACAATGCGTCAAAGTCTTCCAACACGGCAGGGTGGAACTCATCACAAACAAGCAGTTATAAACTTTACCAACACCGAAGTTAATGCAAAGCGACTGAATGGAAGTCAATTTGACGATAGAGCACTGCCCGTACAAGATGGTAAATGTTGGAGGGAAGCCTCAGTTTGCGGTAAGGCATTGTAGTAAGGCAGAACACTTCGCTGCGGAGGTGATCTCAGCCTTGGTGCTGCCAAAGATGAGGAAAGTAATCAAACAGTATTTGGGAGAAGAAGTACCGACGTACTTCACCAACTGCCGACACCAAGTTACGGTCGACGCAGAAAAAATTGCAGGTATAAATAGGCTGCACATCCTTAACAAATTAGCAACAACCACTGAGGCCTACGGCCTGGAAAAGGAAATCAAGAAGTAACGCAGTTACCTCACCTTTGATTTTGATGGAAACACCTTCGATATGTCCGTTTTGTACATTGAAAATGGCGCATTTGAGGTGAAGTCAACTGACGGTAGTATGCACTTGGGTAGTGAATACTTCCATTCTCGACTTGTGGATCACTTTGTGAAGATATTTAGGCTGAGGCATTGGGGAAGAATTTGGCCCCTAACAAGAGAGCTATCATTTGCCTCAGAAAGGACTGCTGAAAGGCAATGAAGACGCTGATTCCGGCTATGGATTCATCGCTTGGCGGCATCGATTTCAGCAAGAAACTTACCGTGACTCGTTTTGAGCGGTTGTGCGGCTGAAGACGATGAGGTGACGGCTCTCATAAATCGTGAACACCAACTCCGACGCGGAATAAGAAGATTTTCATTGCGGATTATGACAACAGACCTGCAGTAATGACCCAGGAATATGAGAGCGCGTGTGAAAAGGCGAGTGATAACCACCTGTTTGGAGGGGCAAACTGAGCGGAGTCGCAGAGGTGCAGCAAAGGATAAGTTATCAGACTTGCACAATAGCATCACCATCAACAAGTGTCGCCTCTCGACAGGGGAGGTTCGGCAAATGACTGAAGATGTGCAGAACTTCAAGCAGGAGGAAGAGAAGTGGGGGAGTAAATGTCAGCAAAGAATAAGCTAGATGAAATGCTAATTGATGCGAATCAACAATGCTTGCTTACAGTGTGAGAGACACTGGGCAGGTGTTTGGACATTGAAAATCAGAGCACAAAGGAGGAATATGAGCAAAAATTTAAAAGTTTTGAGACACTTTGTAAGTTAGTTGTGCCTCCAAATAAGTCTTTTTTGTAAGTGCATGTTCACAGTAATCGAATGAAACAGATTTGAGCGATAAATCTTCGCCCTGTTGCTTCAATCCGTAAAAGAAGGGATTAATTAAGATAAGATAGTGTTTCGTCGACGGCTTGGATTTTTATTTACTGCAGTCATCACGTTCCGAAGAAGCTGTTACTTTGTGATACACTGACATTTGTCAGGGCATTTGGATCCACTGTGATGACACTTCGCCACTATCACTGAGAGTGGCGACATGGCAGTGGGAAGGAACGACAAGGGCCGTGTACAATCGCTCATTCTTACAGGCAATGGAAGATAGAATCGATGTCGGCACGACTGACATAACGTGATGTTAGGCCTAGACCAACAAGTGAAGCGTCTGCCCTAATTTCTCAGTAAAAAAAATAACATGAAGTAGAATGGTAGCTGACTCTGCTTAAATGGCGCTAAAGAGATACGCGAAAGAGTGTTTTGAGTGTTTGATGGGAATTTGCACTCTGGTTTGAAACGCGCAAGTAACAAACTATCCACAGCTCCTTTTCAAGTCATTGACGAGTGTTGATGGCTCAAGACATGGAGGAGATGTGAACTACTTCATTTGAAATGTCCGTCTCCTTAAAATTCTAAACAAATTGCAACACTGTGGTTACGGACCATTGCATTCAATTGCCGCACTAAAGTGCCACACAACGAGGTTACTGAAAATTTCGGCTACCGTCAACTGCAAAGTGTTAATCACCAAATGTGACTGCAGTCGATTTACTGCCAAAGGAGTAAAGAGGACATTGAAAAAGATGTATGCTTTTTTGCTGATCTTTCAATTTAAGCATCCGTGCAGTAAAAGTTCCGTTTAAACAAAGAACCATGTCAGGCATTTGTCGCCACCCCCATGTTTGCCAGCATTTTGCCTCAGCAACCGCCTTCCAATACGCTTTCGACCGAATCATTGCTGGGTGTACTGCATGGCGTAACGCTTTCTATTCATGATGTTAACAGAGAATGGCAGAGAAGCCAACATTTCCTCACTCCCTCCAATGGGCTGTCATATCCCTACTAGACAGTCTAGTGCATGTGGTGATATGCCATGCTACCTCCTCCTACATTACATTTGCGCAGTTGGTGTGGTCGAAAATAGACCCTCGCCTTCCACAGAGCACATCGGCTGTGCTTTGGCCTTAGCTGCGGTACCATGCTTTAACCTGCAACTGCCATAAGGAGGCTTCTGTGACTCCAAACTCGATACAATGTAGTGGTTGGAAGCTATAACTGCACAATGTCGCTAGTGCATTGAGCAAGAAAGGCGCCATCAAACCACCTCGACTAAACTTGAAGCTCTAAAGCAGTGTTAGCTACGCTCTGTTAACGTATTGGCTTTCATTGCCATACTTATTCAAGTTGTTTCCTCCAAAGACTCACACTGCCAATGCAACTAGATGTGAAAGGAAAAAGAGGAAACTACCCTCCCGCCTTGATTTACTATGGTGTGCACAGTGTGTGCCGTTTCTATCCCTCCTTCTAGCCTTCTGTACCCTCGCGGGGCTAGATGCCACTCGCGGACATGGAGACACCTGAACACAGCGCCCGTCCCACCTGAATCGTGGCAACGTGGCAGTGATTCGATGGCTAAACCTCTCCAATCCATAAAGCACTTCGATCAGACCTTCCTTTCACCATAACTCGATGGAAGCATAGACTCAGACGGATTAGTAAAGTGTGCGAATCCTTGCGATAATGGTCACCACCCTGCTCCATTGCTCACGTACATGAGTACCCAAAAGCACCTTTTACGATGAGGTGAGCTGCCACGTTCCGATATCAAACAAATGTGACTTCTTTTAAAGGCATGCTACCTGCGTCTAGACTGACTACGAAAACTGACACCTATGAAAGATGCCGTCACTCATCCATCACCGTTGCCTTTGTATTTAAGCATCTGTTGGGGAGAGCAAGCCTCCGTCTAACTCCCTCCACTTCACCTCTGTCACATTCCGCCCTTCCAGGACTCACTACATCAACTGACGCCTTTGCAGCTCTGGCGCCAAAACACCCTTTTGAAAATGCCTCTGGCTGTCGCCTTTCACAGAAACCTTGTAACACTCGCGCTCCTCAACACCAGTATGTAGTCCTAGGTACACTACAAATGCACATTTTTACCACTCGTCCAACCATGTAGAATGCTCCCAAAAGTATTTCAATGCACTTGCAATCACATATTGTGCTTGTGTCTGTTGGTACAAAGAAAGGAGAACAAATGCACTGGCCAGTTCGCATGTTATGCGCTGTTCAATGGATGCTATATCCACCGCAAAGTGACCACGACCAGGGATTACTTGTTTTGTCTCCATTTGCTGGTGCTTAATGCGACTTTCTTTCTGTACTCTCTTAATGCCTCCTCTACAAAGGATTCTAAATATATTTTGAAAAAGAATCGCAATGACACACCCAGCCTTCATCTTCCATCGACTCATCCATCCAACTCACTGAATGCATCTTCTTCCTTTTTTGCCGGGACGGTCGCATTTGCAGCATAGACATCATAGTCATCGAAACGGCATATTAACGATACTGGGATCTCACATTCGGTCACAGGCTCAACGCTACAATACTAGAAAGGTGGACGAGTAAATGCACATTCAGTGACGTCTCTTCATATCCTATACGGATTGATATAACCAACAATCATTGAACCCCGAAAAACTTTCTGATCAGTTAATTATACTTGGTCTCTTCTCCTCCTCCTCCTCCTCCTCCTCTTCAATGCAGCCCATACCTCTAACTTTGCTGCGTCGCATTGTTTGCTCTCCTAGCCCTCCACATCCAACAGTCTGTTACTGTGGGTGGCATGCTCACACTTTGGACCTTCTTTTCGACTTCTCTATCGACTTGCTCAACCACCAAGTAATGAGGGTAACAGTCAGCTCAGTGACTCCAAATTCAACCCAAACTAAACTAATTCGCGGCGAACACCCTAATTCACTTATTATGGGCGAGCAAGTAACAGAAAAAGGTGAATGAGAAAGGAAATAAACGTACGTCAGCGTTATGCGATGAGCTACCGCAGTTGCTGCAGGTCATTGTTCCAAGTCCGGTCGGAGCACGTACCACTGGTTTACCGGGTTTGGTCTAATAAGCACAACTGTCTTGACAATTAGGCTGTCACTGCTAACACAGGATGGCATTTCAAAAGTGGGTAAATGTCAACGTACCGTGTACCTGTACTGCCGCCAGACATCAGGACACATCTAAAACGAAGCAAGACGTTGGGTGATGAAATTAACTTTAAGTGCATCTCCGGTCCACAAGCTGCCTTATGAATGAATGATTAATTGGAGGAAAGATCAAAACAATGATACAAATTGTGCATTGAAAGGCGGTAGTGGTATGAGTGAAGGGAAAGAAATGAGGTATCAGAGGTTGACGTAAGGGATGAGACGGCCCCACTGATCTTGCCATCTGCATGAAACGTAGAGGAGGAGGAAAAGGGGTTATTTGTGATTCGGTTAGCCTTTGATTTGATAGCTGCATTGTAGTAATCATCCCCACGCTAGCCCTGTCATTTTATGCCAACACCCAACAGATTGGTTTTAGCGCGTGCACTAGGGACAAACGTGCAACTGCGCTGACACTAATGTCTGTTAAAAAAAGAAGGGAAAGGCGAATTAGTGACCGGTCATTCTAAACGCAGCTTCGGGGTCCGAGTATGAGAGTCAAATAATTGCACTCGCGGGACTTGAGGGGGGGTGGGAAAGAAGTGAAGACGATTTTGACTATTTTAGAAGCAAGAATGGATTGGAAGTGGCGTGAAGACGTGGGGCAAGTGGACTTACTTTGGCAGTATGACCTTTACGTTTGCATCGGGTGCAGTTCAGATGCTGAAAGAACGTCCAGTTTGAGCATTCTCGGTAGTCGTGCCCAAATTCACCACAAAAGCTGCAGGATCGACTAGCACAGTAATAATGTTGGTGACCCGCCCGTCCGCAAATGGAGCAGGGCAATAAATCCTGCACGAAGTAGGTAGAAAGGAGAACAAAATGGGTGATGTTGATGGCACTGCAACACAACGGTTTCCACGAATTACAATGCGACATGCCAAAGGAGAATGTGGTGCGCCTACCTTGGTGCAATACCTTGCAATGTGGTTGGGGCCACGACATTTGTAGCAGATGCACCTAAACGTCGCTGGTGTTGTTCTCTTCAAAGGAAGCATGTCGCATTCATCCACCTTCCAATATTTAGGATCAGAAGACATTTTTGCTAACTGTCGCTGGAAATAGTCAATTGCCTCATTACGATTGAACTGTGTTGACGACTTATAACACCCCACAACCACATTCCCTTCCTCTAATTTGATCAAAGTGTCTTCATTGTCGTACCAGTCGTCATCGGAGTCATCGTACGGTTCTCCTCTCTTGTTATTAGCATTGCTTTCTGTCGCACAGTTCTCAACATTTGTTCCGGTTTGCTCAGGCACAGGTTCTGAAGAGAAGGGTGATTGAGCATCTGAAGAACTCTCGCTGTCACTACCTCCAGCCTTGGTGCTTTCCATGATACGCTAAGAATGCGGCGTCTCTGTCCCTCACCAAGTATAAATACTCGTGCCTATCATGACCTCACTGTCCCCCTGCGAATGACATGAGTTTTGTTGATCAAAATCCCTTCGCCCCTGCCCTCCCCTTCCCTCGTTAGGCATTTAAAATTAATGACCAATCATGTGTTTGTATTTGTACTCATGACGTGGTGACAACGAATTGTTGATAACTTAATCTGTAAGTCGTTCTGCAAAGTCACGAAAAGTATTAGAGGGCAGTCCAGGCTCATATATGCTCGCTTGAATTCACAGTTCGGATTGGACCGATAATATAGCGATGGTGGTGCGTTATTCGTCGCCCAGCGGCAGGTAGAGGAACAGTTCCTGTTCTCTCCACAACACATTGAGCGGCTGTGTGTTCCCGCACTGCACCGACTCTGGATTTCTTACTCAGAATAGGTTGCGTGCCTCCATGATTTGTGGGGACGAGGGTGAGTCGTAGCGTTCCCCGACCTCTTTGATGTTATATTGAGTTTAAGTGACGTAAATCGAAAAACCATTGCGTGGGGTGGAGAAGAGGTGGAGTAACAATATAAATTACGCAGATTGTTAAAAGAGGTACTTGTTTGAGCGTCAAATTATTGCATGGTCTACCCTGCTCAACCTCCCAACCCACTCAATGCATCGCATTCGCTCCACCTGAACCACCCAAGAAACAGAGATGGCAGTCACGACTTCCTCACAAGAGAAAGTAACTGGTGTCATCATCGCTATTGACTGCTGGGAAGCGCACAATATTCGAGGTTTCGGCCAATCCATGAATTGTAGTGCAGGAGGGGAAGTGTGTGGGTAGCAAGGAGCTTAGGACCAGGCAACATTCGACAACATAAGCATCACAAAAGCAATCAGAGGGTCAATCCTTCTCTCTTATTTACACCTAAAAGTACCCTGAACTCTGCGATTCGTTAAGTCGGAGCCATAAGTAGCAAGTAAACCAGATCCTCCACTATTTTTGCATTTATAGCTCGACAGCACGCCCACTACTTCCTCGGAGTGCTATTCACTTGATGAAGACATTGCCGCCTGTGTTGAGTTTATTCCAAATAATTATTTCACTTGTACCCTCTCCTGTGAGATTATTTGCGTGTTTACAACCGCCACTGTGCAGAGGTCCATGACACACATTCGAACTCTTTTAGCACAAAAGTAGATACCTTTTGTCTATGAGTTCTCTCTTCTGAGTTCAAATAATTTTAACGTGTTTGCCGCGTGGAAAACTCACGGATATCCGCATATTCTTGCCACGGACTCGTTTACCAAAGTGGTGGGTTGCCAAATTCTAGTCTAGCTTGCTTTGAAGTGCAGATCCATTATCTAACATGGGAATGAAATTAGGGGAAACAATTTACCACAGGTTCTGGACCTTGGCGGCAAGGCGCAGAAAACCAACCAAACCTCACCTTAGAGATTGCGCCTGAATGACCTGACCCAAGTTAATTACCACACCGTTGATCGACCACGTCAACTCAGGACAAGCGAACTTACCTGTCTAAGCTACATCCTTAATTTTAGGGACGACTTGATTCCCATTCTTACGTCAGCTGCCACAACGAAGCCTCGCTCGCTAGACTATCGCTGAAAATGACGAATAAGAAAATCGCACCTAAGTGCACAATCATGAAACCAACAACACCCATGGGACTGCATATCGCCACCTTTTTCGACCCTGGTCTCCCAACTTGGATGCTAGTCTAGTTCCTAGAAAACCCTCGCCACTAAATCCAAGAGCCCAGATACACACCAAATTCAGCAAGTTTCTCAACTGCAACGCAGCTTCGCCAATCAACCAACCCATCGTGGGACAAATAAAGCTTGATAAAAGGACCCAATGTTAACAAATGGGCTATGAGCTCGTATAAGACTCATAGTTCCATGTTCCAATAGCAGTGGAGCTCATAAGCAGACTATTAGATCAAAATAATGGTTTCCAGAAAAGAAGCGCGCAACTCAAGACATCAATAATGTCCTGAGTTTAGAAGTCGTGCAATAGGAGGCACTGATCAAAAACAGTAACCAGAAACCCTTTCTAATGGAAAGAACATTAAAGCCCCGTACGCCTCACTCACAACAAACCAATAGAGCCAAACACAATTCCGCTCCCACCTACCGAGCCGATGTCAACTCATACAGTAAGGAAAGACATGCACTGGACCAACTTAAAACAGCTAATTATTGCAATATCCCCGCGAGCGGTGGGCGTATATGTAATCCCGATTCACACAACCGGCAAGAATTCACCTCAGCGACTTTTACATGATATAAGAAACGATTAGCAAGAAGGAACTTCAGAAGCATAAACCCATGACCTCAAAAAAAATTAAACCACAATATAGAATATATTTTAGGTTCACTTTATGCATTCTGTTTTCCAATATTGCGGAGATACGCTTCGTGCTCCACAAAAACATGCTTCTGGGTTGGGACTACAGACCACAGATCAGGCGTAAGGTACTCGTAGGTTTTCCTTATGGCAACATAGGTGGCTTTGGCTAAAGAGGGGTTAAAGGTTAACAGAAAGTAGGACGACATACCAAAATTACCAAGAGTCGCCGTTTGTCCTCGAGCACTTGTGTACACGTCCTCGATACCGGCCATAGAAAGCAACTTTTTTGGGACTGGGGCACTAACAATCCCAGTTCCTCTAGGTGCTGGGATTAGTCTCACCAACACCGAACCACATTTTCCAGTCACCTTACAGGGTACAGTGTGTGGCTTACCAATCTTGTTACCCCAATAGCCCTTGCGGACTGGAATAATTGAAATCTTGGCTTGAATAATGGCACCACGAATTGCCGTGGCCACCTCCTTAGCACACTTCACGCCAAGACCAACGTGGCCATTATAGTCCCCCATTGCCACGATTGCTTTGAAACGGGTACGCTGACCTGCACAAGTCTGCTTCTGGACCGGCATGATCTTTAGAACCTCGTCTTTGAGAACATTTTGACCCAGAAGCGTATCAACGATTTCAGCCTCCTTAATGGGGAGACTATACATGTAGATCTCTTCCAAAGAAGTGATCTTTTTGTCTTTCACAAGTCGCCCCAGGATAGTAACGGGTTTCCAGTCCGCATCTTTACCCAGTCGACCACGTCCTCCACGACCCCGCCGACCGCCACGACCACGACCTCTGCCACCAAAACCTCCTCTAAAACCTCCCCTTTGTCCCGCAGGTGGAGCATTCATACTGAATCAAACAGCAAAAGACTAATAAGGTTAGCAGCGAGAATAAACCACCACATACCACACGCGCAAGCCTCACAAAAGTCCCGCCCGGCCCGTAGAGACCTATCTAAACAATTTTTCCTATTTCAAAGTAAAATTTTTTGTTGATTGTACAATGCACATTTTATTTGTTACTATTTTTCTAACTTATCAGTTGTTATTTAAATTTTAATATTTCTACTATTCGTTTCACTTGAATACGATATTGAAAAATCCTTTAAAGTAAAGCGTCCATAAATCTTACCTTCGGCGAACGCGTAGTTGTTGAAAATTTGTCCCAATCTCAGTTCATTTATCAGGCATATCTGAAGCTTTTAACGAATTGAATTTCCTCTTGAAACTGAGTTACATTTGACCGCCTTCTTTTGGTTTTTTTGGGAACCACACTTTCCACAATTTGATTAAAAACTTTGAGTTCTTTGTAAAAGTTCCTTAAAAGCGCCAAATCAATTCGAAGCGTTTTTTGGTGGCGTAAAGTATATTTGGCAGAAAATCTCAAATACTTCTCTAACGCTTTGTTTATGTGACTGCCTGACGTGTGACAATCAATTTAGAATTTGTTTGGTCACTGTACCTGTGGATTGACCTTTGGGTCATGCTTGGGCCCATTTGCCCTGTCGTCTTCGGAATACGTGTATTCAACCTCACCTATGCCTTCTACCACCCTATGGGAAGCCTCGGGACGCTACAACTATAAATACTGTAGCGTCTCCAAACTTCCCACAGGGTAGAAGGAGGAAGTAAGTGGTGTAGCGTCCCCGGACTTCAATAGGGTTGAAAAAAGCAGTAAGTTATGCTGAATACATGTATTCCGAAGAGAACAGAGAAAAGTGACTTGAGCAAGGTCCGAAGGCATTACAAGAGGAGGTGACAACATGTATCCCAGGGCAAACAAGGAAGTTTGGTCTGAGCTTGGCCCTAAGGCCAGCCTACCTTTACAAGGGCCGAAATAGTTATATAGTAACCACCAGACCTCAGATGGTCACATAAACAAAGTATTGCAAATGTATGAAACCATATTTTCCAGTCCGTCATTCTTTTGCTCCCCGAATTTTTATAATATTGGATGATTCTTCACAAGTTCTCCTATTGTATTTCAAGTCCAGGAACAATCTTCAAGTTGGAAGAGGTATATTTGCGTTAAAAATATGAGTATCTTCATCAGCATATTCACTAGTTGTGTAGGTTACCCGTAATCTTAGCGTCGCTTAAAGTTTACTGTTTCTGGGATTTAGTGCACCATTCTTTGACGGACCACATTGAGAAGACGGTTGAGCACAAGTACAAAATTAAAGAGTTGCAATGCGTTGTCTGTGTGACTGCCTGACATTCGGCGGTCACTTTAAGATCTGTGCGGTCTTTGTAGTCGTGGTCTAGCCTGTGGGTCACGCTCTGACCCAGTTAATTTGCCCTCTTTGAATACATGTATCCAACTTCACTCCCTGTCTTCTTCCACTCTATGGGATGTCTCGGGGTGCTACAAGAGTGTTTAATGAAAGTCATTTGCATTTGTCCATACGGTACAGTAAATTGATTGCACTCGGACCTCTTACACGTTGAGAATATTGCTCCATGAGTTAATGAGTACCAGATAAGCTATTAGTATTAAACTTCACTCCTACTTGTTAATGCGGGACACGACACAGTAACATCTTCCTCCTCGATCTTTTCACTTTTCGTCTCAGTCTTCTCAGAAGGAGGATTAATCAAAGAAGATTTAGTAAGCATTCTAGATTTACAAGCAGATGGAGAAAGGTATGCCAAATGGTATCAAAGCCAATCGAGGGAGGGACTCTTTCACACCTCTACAGCATTCGGAATGAATTTTTCGCCTCTCGTTTATAATATACATTTTAAACAATTTACAATTTTTTTAGAGACACCATCTGGACGCTCCGCTTATAATACGTACTAAATTCCACAAATTGTAATATAAATATCAAGCAGTAGAACCCTTAATGCTTCACTCTATCCCCCTTGGGATAAATTGAAGTTTAAAGAAGAATTTGTTACATCTGTCCCACTGTTTCGACTGAGGAATGTAGATGTTCGATGTTTTTATTTTCTTCCACGTCATGAACCTCTCTTGACCGAAGTCTTAGTTGATACCATTAGAAAGGCTAGGCTAGAATGTGTGCAGGAAAAGGCATGAATGTGATTTCTCTTATGTTCTCTACGTTGCTTAATTTGGGTAGAATTGTGAGGAAGATAGCCTTATTTGACAGAACATACCGTTGATAGTGACGAACTCGTGGGGCCATCCCTTACCTCCACTACTGTGACGAACATTGCTTCACAGTTTCTCATTTCATGTAGCTGCACCTTTCACTCGAGAAGTAGTCTCACTACTATCCGCTTGTTTGCATCACAAGATGTTGAGAAGGTATTTTTGATCGCACGTCTAATTGACTGACCAACTCCCCTGCTGATTGTCGTTCACCTTATAAGTTCTTGTTGAAGGATTAATTAGAAGCTCCTGGCTTTGAGGGCATCACTGGCACTGCTTGATTAATAACTACTTGTTTTCCCTTAGGTGGCAACTGAATTGTGAATTTGCATTTACTGACGTGAAGACATTGTAATTTTATTAAGTGAAGTGGTCAACGTATTGTCATATGCACTCAAAGGCTGTATGTTAAGCTCGAAGCAGAGGCAGTATGTGCAAACCCCCAGCACCTATAAATGCAAGCATAGAGCAGCTGTCAAGTCCATTTGTAGTGAGCTTTCAATCCTCCATTCTGCTCTACTTTTGCCTCTTCAAATGGATCAGAGTGAGAAGACCTCGGTAGTCCTCTAACATCAGTAATCCGATATTATTTTTTCTGGGTAGAAGAAAGGTCGCAACAAGATCAAAATAGCTCCAATCGCAAACAGCAAAGCCAGATCAGTAGGCTCTTTGCATTTTATGCTTTTACTCTCCTCTTTGGTGTCTCAGACTACATTTTCCAAACGTCGCTTCGGACTCTTCAAGAAGGCCTATGAATTGAGCGACCTAACTCGAAGCCATGTCAAGATCCTCGTCATCACCGACAAGGGTTGCCTCTACGAATATGCCAGTCCGTACTTCGAATCCAAATTCAGAAGTGTAAAAAAGGTCGTTCCAATGATGACAAATGAGCGGATTCAAAAGGTGAGGCCTTTTGAAATTTTACATCAACTGTGCATCATTTAAGTAAAAGTCATTTAGATGTCACCTCTGAACTCTGTTCAGTTTAGAGAGGTTTTGTCCCTTTTAAAGATTGTCCTTTTTAAAGGGTGCTGAAAAGCTAAAAAATGCAACTCCTCAACGCAATATGGCATGGTTTTGAATCAGCATCGCTAACGAATGCACCAGATAATGAAGCGGAACAAAGTACCTGAAGTGGGTATGACGGTGAGGGTTTTTTACCCATCTGCCCTCCTTCGTCCTCCCCACACAAAATGCACACCATCTGCACAACGCCCTTCATCAATTGTTAATGCACAATTTTAAAGTTTTGGTTAAGGTGACTAGAAAGTGCATTGACATTAACCATGTGACAGTATGGATGCCCTAAAGGGGATGTAGAATGGTGTGCACTCGTGTCCCCTCCCCCCGCTACCCCTGTCAACGTCACTTACTGGCCTTTTGTGCTTGCAAAAAAAACAGTTTGAAATGATTATCACAAAGAGTTTAGATTTTGTCAACATCTACTGCATAACATTGGTAAATTTGTAGTCACAACGACACTGATTTAGAGCCTTGAGAAACTTCGGCAATTGCTCTTGGCAAAAAGGAAAATAATCGTATATTAGCCGTGTTCCAAAGAGTTTTATGCCACAATGCGGAGTAGGGAAGTTTCAGTTCCCCCTTTTAAGCGATCTCAGTCGAGTGAAGGGACTGGGCGGGGCCCCCTCACTCCCAGGTCGCACCACAGTGACGCTACCCTTCCTCAAGCTGAACTCTGGTTGCTGTTACAAGAAGGAGTCAAGAAATGAACAAAATTCCTTTTGTGTCAATTCGTTAATGTTCTTTTTTTAGATCTTATAACAAGCCTTTCATGTACTACAAACATCAAATTAATTTGGCTTGCGAGGCTCAAATGAAATTTGGCACATTTTCGAACTGCTTACTGATCGGGAGGAGAGAAAATTTGTCTCCAAAAGTGATAAACTATGCATCAGGCTATTTATTCCACCATAAAAGACATAAAAATTTAGACTTTTGACAGTGAGCCACCAAATGACTTTGATGTCATCCGCCTGGTTAAATGGCATAGCCCCTTGTGGTACATTTGACGTTACGTATTTTGAGTGCTCAAGTGTATTCTTGGTGGCTTGCGTCACCGGCACCCAACGGCTGAAGTCGTCTTTTAGTGGAGTTCCCGCAAACATCACCAACTTCGCCATCTAATTCAGCAGCACTTGCACAATCTTCTTTATCAGACACTTGCATGACAAAGGAAGAAAAAGAAAATAATCAAGCTGTTTCACTTTTATTATTTGTTCAGTGCTTGTTGCGGAGGGAGGTGCAAATCAGTTGAAACTGGCAATGACTGGCAGTGTTTAGTGGTTGATCGCTTCGCATTTCTTGTAGCATTCGAATGAAGTACATTGCGTGGTAAAACGTACTTTGGATGACAATGGAGATCTTCGGACCTCTTAATTCCGTGCTTAGGGTTGCATACATTTTAAGGAGGATATGTTGATGCAAGATTCCCGTTTTTTTTTGCCTTTCGTATCAGTGATTGCTTTGAAAGTGCAAGAGCCAATGCCACTAAACGTCTACAAGTAAATTACTGCCAAGCATCCACCAGATGCTTCCCACTGTTGCCATTGTCCCCTGCACAAACTGCAAGATGCTTATAAATTTCTTGTGTTTGGCAGCGAATAGAGCAAGCAAAGCCAAAAGGGAAGTATGATGGGAAGACCACTGGCCTCTATCGTAATGGCCTAGGCGGTTACTCGGACACTTCTTCGGGGGAAGAATCGGCCAATTCTATTGACGACAATGTAAGTCGTTTGGTCTACTCGTAGAAAAGCCTTCTAAATCAAGCCACCAGATGCTTAGGAGACATGGAAACAAAGAAAAACAAGTTAATCCTAAGGCACCTCTTGTGTGCGCTGGCTAAAGACATGGATTTACGCCATTTTATAGGAGGGTGGTGGTGGGTGTCAAAATTTTTCGATTTGCACTTCCTAAACATCCTGCATTTGGGCTAATGGGGATTGTTCACTCAGGTCGGCACATATTCGCTCTATCCTTCAATCCGCCCCACCTCGCTTCCCTCCGTTCCGTAGGCGACCTGCAAACAGAATCACTAAGGCTGGCACTCAAGAGTACGCGTACCTTCGCAGCTCCGTTTACACAAAATTGCACCATCAGTAGCAACATCCCATTCTGGGTTTCATTCATTCATTGTTAGGAAAGACCTACCTGCAAAGCTCATTCCAAAGCAACCTTGGAGGTGAGACACTGCACTATTAGCAACGAAGTGTGAATATCAAAATGCGAAGAAGTTGAGTCAAAACCCTCTACCACTTCACCGTCATCCGCTCAGACAAAATGGTAAAAGCCGACTGGGAGGGGGAGGATAAGGACGAATTGCCAGATTTGTCAGAGTGCTTCAAAGCCTTAAAATCAGGCCCATACTGCTTTAAGCCGGGGGAGTTCGTTTGCGCTTTAGATCCTAATGGTAAATCATTTTTCCCTAAAGGGTAATGAACAGCGTGTAACAGACCTGGGCACTGGGAGGACATCCACATCAATACTGCCGGTTAGCTTTGAGGTGAGGTGGACGCGCTCTTTCTCACATGTGTACGCGTTATTTTGATGGCATATTACGAGCTCTATCTTACCTCACCTTATAATAATATGTGTACACTTATGCCCTTTTGTTTAGGAGACCTCTTTTCTAACTTACAATCCAGGTAACAACTCCTCTCCCTATGGTTGCTACAGCACATTAGATAATCCTCTGCCAATGTATTGCAACTTGCTAATGCAAAGGCTGACTTCTAAATGGAAATAAGTACTCCTTCACTATTTAGACAACATCTATGGTGGAGGAAGAAATTGCATCAATCCTTCAGAGGTTGTGACCGACCCACCCCTGCCCCATTCCTCCAAGGTAGGACCTCCAATTAGTTATCTATGAGATTGTTTGACTGTGTCGTTGTTAAGACAGGAGGAAGGGATGCTCTCTTGACATGCAGTAGAGGCACTGTAATTTAATTCACTCAAAACAACAACACAGTTGATGGCTCTGTTTACTGTGATGAGAGAGCAATGCAGGGAGGAAGGCGAGGAAGTGCACAAAGCTTTAACCTCCTATCTCACTGCATCCCCTAAGAAAAAAAAAAGCAACCAGAGCCTCGTGAGAGCATTTGCCATTGCATGTACCATACCTGTGCTGTAAGAGGTATCAAAAATAGCTAGCGACTGCATATAAAATCAAGTCTCATAGAGTGTGGTTGAGGCTTCATTACTACGTAATGCTTGTCCACTAAAGCGCCATTGCCAGCACCTCTGCGCATCGAAGTACACTGGGTCTGATGCAGCAACAAAGAGCACCACCCTCGCCCATGAAGGACATACAAACTCCACTAGTGAAAGAACCTGAGTTGGACACTTATATGCTAACTGCTCCCATTCCCCATTCTCAGGAGCTCACTCGATCCGATACCCCAAGAAATTGGTTATAATCCAAAACAAAAATTTCCCTTTTCCTTCTAGAATGATCCCTACAATTGTAAGGTTTGTTCCTCTCTTAAAGAAAATATTGCTATAAACTAGTAAATCAATCATGTCGGTAGGCAGTAAACTGCTTTCCACGGTAAAAATGCGATCTTGTAATTCTGTTACCTTTTCATTTAGAATGCTTTGCAAGCATCACCACGTGCCATGGCGAGAACCTTTCCATCAAAGGTATTTTTAACAGTTTGATGATTTGTCACAGGTAATACTCACTCTTTGGCTCAATTTTCAGAGACATTGCCATCTTAGTAGTACAGTTGACCTTCGCTTAGATGTGTGAGAAGAATGTATCTTAACAAAGCGAGATCACCTCTTATAAGGAGGCTATTAAACCACTCTCAAAGGAAGGTAATCAGTGTGCCCAAGATTTTTTTTCTGGCTAATGTTGTGGTGCTGTGTCAGTCATCGCTAGAGCAGCAGAGATGTCAAAATTTTGGAGACAGACGACTATTAAAATTTATTGTGAAACTTGCAGACCGAGAAATCGGCTGATGGAGAGCCGAGCATCGTTAAACCTTAATTATTTACTGCCTTCTTATAGGTGGTGAATGTAACAGGGGCAGAGGATTGCACAATTAATCAACCTCACAGTTCACTTCGCATACCTCTTCCTTTCAAGAAAAGAGGTGGGTTATTTTTGTGAATTGTTGCCGGAGCAGGAACGCACTGTCACCGTCGCCTTTACTCGCTAGTCGATGGCATGCATGCCTATGAGGTCAATTAAGGAGAGCAAGGAGTTAAGTAACAATCCCACCAAGTAGCCTGAAACTCAGTTTCAGGCATGCAAACACATCTAGAAAGTGGGTCTAACCATGGTAAAGTTAGCTAAACCAATATGCAGCGATAAAAGTTTTAAATAGCTCATAAACTCGACAAAAGAATCGGTTAGTATTTTTAAACCAGGCTCCCATTTATTGATAACTTAATTCTTTGATATAGGAGTGTAAAAATTATGGAACAACCAAATTACCATTGAAAAGAAGTGTCAGAACCCTTTCTTTTGCTGTTTTATTTTACGCTTCATCATTTCTCTGCATGCAGTAAAGATCTCGGAAATCCTAAGAGGCAATTTTTGTGAGTAGTGAAGGGCTAATGAGTAGATATGAAGCATTTATTTTGCTCAATTTTTGATCAAGAAACAAGCCAGTTGCTGGAAATTATGCGTTTCAGAGATAAAATGATGTCAGCCCTTGCTGTTTGTTACCATTGTAAAATCATTATTTTAGCAATTCGGTGAAAATTCGAATCCGGATCTAATCGTACATCAAGGTTGGTATATTTGGACTATCACTTTGTTCGCTAAAAGTGCGTCAGATGCATTTGTTGTTTTATTACAGATACCGCAGGTAGATGCGTAAAGGCACCCTCACCAAATGTGATGGAAAAGTGCCACCGTCAAGATTTCAATGGCGGAAACACCAATTCTGTATAAATAAATAGCTGATTTCATATTTTTTTTGATTTTGGATTGCTACTTCAATGCCACGTTCGTAAAGGTTGATAAACTCACCTCTCCCTTACAATGGCAATAAAAGGCGATGCGACCTGTAGACAGCCCGGCGACTTTAATTGCCATACACACCCCTAGACGAGTGGGCAGCAAACACGATTAGGTGGAATATCATGGTTGTGTAGCTATGCGAGTAGGACTACATGTTCGTAATTGAGACTTCTAGGCTATTCTCTTAGGTCTTAGTGGGCCACACTCGACTGCATTCAGTATTGGCTCCTAGGTATATTCGTGAGTTATGGACACGATCCGGAGATCATGGTCTCCAGCAAAAGCGCAAGCTGCAAATACTATCCTGTCGCATAAAGCATTAAATTTATTTTCGAATAGTGTGGCATAAATTAGGTGTAAAAATCACGGTAATTCTCGATTTAAAGATTTTATAACAAAAGGGAAATTTCCTACAGTCGCTGTAATTTGCACAGCCTTCTTTCTATACCATACAAGTTCTGTAATTTATTTAAACAGAGGCAAAAAATTTAGGCTATTTGTCTATTCTAGTAAGCGTTATTATTATGGGTGTAAGTAATATGTCTTGTTTATATGTGATAATGTCGATCATGTTTGTTCACAATTTGTTATAGCGCGCCTTTTCTTACTTGTGTGATTGGTTACTACGATGAAGAACTACAGCTGTAATCTAACCAATCGGCTGACGGTCTTTGGTCATGCGTTTTCCCGTAAACAGCATATCTCACCTTTTCGTGGCGTTGTGTTGTTGTGAGTTGCTATGCTCCAATAAGAGATAAAACGTACGGCTTCCGCATTACCAGTCAATTTTGGAATCATTCCTGATGGTTATTGACACCCCTGCCGAACCAGCACCGAATAATAAAGGCGTATCGAAAACGACCGGTTCACCTTCAGACTCGAAAATGGACGATTCGAAGGATCTTGAGTTTCCAAGCAGTTCCTCATCCTCCTTGCAACAAGCATCCGGAGGTCCTCAGAGAGTGGGTACCTACATCATCGAGAGGACCATTGGGAAAGGCAACTTTTCGTTTGTTAAGCTTGCTCGTCATACAGTTACAAATGTCAAGGTACTTTATTTCTGTTTCTTGTTTACATGCTTCGCTACAATAAGGTTGCAATAAAAATTATCGACAAAACCAAACTAAACGAGGAGAATTTAAAGAAGGCTCAACGCGAAGCGGATATACTCAAATCCCTTCACCATCCAAATATTATCAAGTTGTATCAAGTTATGGAATCTGAGAAACTTTTGTGTATCGTCACCGAATACCTTCCCAATGGTGAACTTTATGGTAAGTGGTACGTAATCAGTGTCGCTTCATCTCCAGACTGTTTTGGAGGTCATATCCCATCTGGTGGATTTGCCTTAATAATGTTAAACCGTTGAGTGACTGCTTTTGTCCTTTGCCATCGGTTTTCTTATTTGCTTCTCTGCCCCCCATAAATGTTCTTATCTTTTGTCTCCTACGCTTTGCATTGGTGGCTCCTGATCGTGTTCATACCGACTGAATGCCTGTTCATGCACAGACTTCTCTACGTTGTCCCACTCTATGCACCTAGAGTAATGTTAGGTAGTTGTTAAATTCGGGTTACATTTTTCATTTTACAACCATGCTAATACTTATCTTGGCATTCATTTATGATGCAAACACTTTCCCTTCTCTTGAATTGTCGCTTGTCTACAAGATCTGAGATGTCTCCTCTCACTAGAAGTGGGGAAGTCGTTGACCGAGTTTGTCGCTTCTAATATCCCAAACTCTCGGTGACTTTTTCCTCCCTCATTTGAGAGGACTGATGGAGTTTGTATCGCCATGATGATGAATTCTGCAATGCTTGATGCTTACGCTCTGCTTCTGGATGAGGCAAACTCAAAAGCCGAGTTTGTCTTATCATCCTCGCATGCTGATGCAGATCTATTTTTGTAAATCGGCGAATCCACCTATCAGCACGAAATAACGGTGTCACACGATGATTGCAATCAAAATAATAAGTGCCGTTTGTGTGTACGCGCTTTTGTGGACATGCGCTTGAATCATTTACTAGCTTGATGGAAAGTTTTGCTACATGCGTCGATTGATGTAGTGTTTACAGTCGCTAGCTAGCTGCTTAGCTACTTCTCGCTCTACCCAACTACTTTTCTCTCTCGTGCTGTGTAATTCCATTAGATTAGCCTAAGGTCAAGTTGTGACAGTGAATTCCAGCCAAGACTTTTTGACAAGTTCTGCAAGCGTACGTGCGTAAGCGCTCTCTGGCCACCTAACGCTCCTATTCGTGTGTGTGCCTACTTGTCTATGACGTCATTCCTTGGCAGCACGAGGCAAGCTTCACACTGGATGTTAACTATTAGTGAATATTCAAGAATCTTTCTCCTAGGAGGTTCCCTTTTTGGACACTATTTGTACTCCTGTTGGCTATATAGGTCCTTCTGCTAGTGGTCAAAGGCCTATTGCATTGTATTTGTGGTTTTGCGTAAGCTCTCTAGATGAATGAGTAAATAAGGGCGCTGTTTTTTGTTGGTTGTAGAGTACATAGCAAAGAATGGCTACTTGAATGAACAGGTGGCACGACACAAGTTTATGGAAATCCTTTCGGCGGTGGAACACTGTCACCTAAACAACGTCGTTCACAGGGATTTGAAGGCAGAAAACATGCTTTTAGATCAGCACATGTCCATTAAATTGGCCGGTATGTGAGTGCAATATTATTTTTTATCTTGTTTTCGCGGCTTAACCCCACCACATCAGCCAACTCTTCCTTTAGTCGCCTTTCCTCACTTCTCTCGTTGTATCTACACTTCTATTGGTCACCATAATGTCATTAGGGCGTTTGTTTACTTGTCGTCTTTTGACTGATGATAGTTTAACCTTCACTGTCCCTCCACCCATTCTCCTGTGGCGTTGTTTTTGGACAGCATTTTAGTGTGCCATTGCTGGATGTGCATTACGATCGCGGAGACAAGATTTATGAGTTTGTCCGCCCCTCCTTGATGACTTCGGTATAATGAAGCCTTGTGGATGTATGTTTAAGTGCCGACTCTTGATTTTAAAGGTGGTTATTAAATTGGGAGTGGTTGAACTGTAGGGCATTCTGACTGGAATGCAACCTGAACTCATTTTATAACTCGAATCAAAGCAGTAGAATCAATGACAAAGCTCAATTATTTTTACTTCTACCATTTGCTAGTATGTATGGGTTTGAACTCTTTTAGGTATAGAAAACGTCATAATTATAAAGGAGTTTTATTACTTGCTGTGAATCACTGTAACCAGAGTATCGATCTTCCAGCTTTTCTCAAAAGTTGACATTCTTCTTTGGCAATACGTGATTAAACTTTACGTTTATCCCAGACCAGGAGGCAGGAACATTATCCCTCATCTTTACCAAAATGGTTTAATGATAGGGCAGGTTCCTCACTCTGCTGACTTCGTCGTCCTTAGACGTGCTTCTATAATTGCCCATATTGTGCGATATAGAATAATGATCCTATGGGTCACTTGGAAACCTGGCGTTGGTTTTACTCTCATCTTACGTGTAAGACTTTCTTTACAAAGTATGCATGAACTTTGAATGACTAACGAGTCCTTGCTTCGTACGTCACAAATTTTGGTAGTCACGCATCCACAAATGTCGATCTATGCCTTAGATCAGCTCTTGGCTAATCCTCTCCTCTTATGATATCCATAAAACATCAAACAATTAGTAAGTGCGTCATAGTTGTTAATGATCTCGTAGATAGTTTGAAGGCATTTTTGAGGACTGTGATAAACTTCATCTTTTTTTCAGACTTTGGGTTCGGGACCTTCCAACCAACTGGGCCCGATCTTCTACTGACCACATGGTGTGGCAGTCCTCCCTACGCAGCACCGGAGATCTTCAAGGGTGAACCCTATCTGGGTGTATCAGCGGATATCTGGGTAAACCTCTTCCTTTTGCATGGTTCTGAAGGACTTTTGATAGTACTTAAAATACATTAGTCCACTATCTTGAGTCAACTAGACATTTTCGGAAATATCCAACTTGACAGGGTGTTCTGCAAACTACGTGAAACATATCAAATTCTGATCAGTGGCTTAATTTTAATTGTGGTTATCACATTATTAGTGACTAGTCCTCTTCACATATGCTCTAACAGTTGTCCACTGCGGATATCAAGAAATGGTGATAATTAACGCTCTGAGAAATTCAGTGAGCGAGTGAAGAGCATGAGCCTGCTGATTTACATGGCCATATATTTTGACACGCATATGAAAAGTGTAATTATAAGTACATATAAGTGATTTTCTTGTTCTTCCCTTCCTCTTCCGTTCTTTCATTATAGCGATCAAGTCTTCCCACAAGTCAAGCTTTGTACTCTGTTAGGTGACAGGTGTTGCGTTGTCTCGGTCGTCCAGGAAGAGACTGTTCTTTTTGTTGATAGATTTGCCAGTTTGATCAAATTGTTCTCTTTATATAGGCTTTTGATTTTCCGCCTTTCGGTTTGAATCGAACTGGGTTGGGTTGGGCCAAGTTGAGTCCAGCATGCACACAGTGACACACAAAGCAAGCCTGGCTAATCGGGTGATGGCGATGCAAGCCTCAGGCTTGTGTATTCGGGCGGACGGTAGTGTAGTCGCTTGATAAGGCGGTTTTACTGTCGCCAAATTAGTCGTTGTGATTGCTCAGGTAGTGGTCACTCTAGCTTTTGACACTAGTCAGTACCCGGGATAGGTTTGTTTAAGTTCTATGGCTCTTCACTTGGTTTGAATGTGAATCAATTGCTTAGCTACTACTCTAGGCAAGTTGAATCTTCCCCACTTGATTTGGTTGCATCTTTCCGCGACCTGATATCAGAATCGAAGCCCTCCAAAAGCATTTAACTCTGGGAGTATGTGTTATTTGTACTTACTGCCTACCACAACTCCTTCATTTGATGTACTTGGAATTCTGCGAGATTTGGATTTTTTTGTATCGTGCAAATACATGTCGACAGCCTAAGGTAGTATTCGGATTTATTACGTGAAAATGGATGGATCCTGCTAAATTTGTAAAGGGTCCCTAGAGTACCAAGTGGAGGTACTCTCCTGCGACTCTTGATGAGGTTGTAGATGCATGCATGTTAACTTGACATATTCATACAAAAGTTGGTTCATTATGCAGCATTACCTTCAAGATCTCGATTTGTTATTCATTCATCATTCCTACTTCTATCTTTAATTACTTCTTAGATGTTGTGTGAAACAGTCAGAGTTTCATCCCTCATTTCAGAGCGAGGCTCTTGAAGATTATTAATCTCACTTTATGACGCCTGTTCAAACGTTCATCTGCGTTTTTGGCTCAAGAAAAGAGGGTATTTCAAGTTAATTGTTAGGAATGACGTCAGATTTGCAGTAAGTGTTTCGATCAAACGGTTGACTGCATTTAAAATGCAGGAATTTGTTGCGCATATTCGAGCATTCCCTACGAGAAAGCACTTTTAATCTCCCGAAGGCACCATTTGGAATCATTCTCCATAGACCGATTAGGCGGGCTTCAATGGAACTGGCAATTTTTGTGGCGTTTAAACGGCCAAGTTGCACGATTGGTCATGTAAACTACTTCATTTAATGTCGTTTTTACCGACCTGTAGAGCCTTGGAGTGATCCTTTATGTTCTCGTCTGCGGTGTGTTGCCATTCAATGCTCAAGAGGTCTCGTGTCTCCGACGCCAAGTCCTTGAGGAACACGTCAGGGTACCCTACTGGCTTTCGATGTGTAAGTCTCCCCTCTCCCTCTCTTCATCCTCCAACTGCTCAGTTGAACTCCTTCGTTTTCATAATTGAGGATTTGTTTATGGTTGTGGATTTGGTTGAGGCTATCTGAATTTTTCTTTGTATTTCTGTTATTTATTGAACCATTTCGTGGACTGGGTGTGTCAGTTAGGAGTTTCGTGGATGCACATAGGCCCTCAACCGTTACTATTGGCTCAACAATCATGGCGGCCAGGGGATTTGTTTTTAGTTCGGTGATTCGGCTGAATGGGATTTTATTGTGCATTACAAATGCAGTCATTCGTACTTTCACCAACAACATTGTTGCAGCCTTTGGGCTGCAAAAGTTAGTCTTAGATTTTAAGAACAATGCATTTCGTACTGACGTGAACATCCTTAACTTATCCGCCTAAACAGCTAGTAAACGGACCTTCTTTGCGGTAGAGCAAATCAACTACCACAGGAGCACCATCTGCGTAGTTTGGATCCACCTCTTTTAATTTAGTTAATAGTGCAACGTTTTGTGACAGACTGCACTGTTGTTGATTCAATTCTTCAGCGGTGTCTTTGTTACAACGAAATACTTGATTACAGCCTAGTGTTTGGTCCTTAAGTCTCCTCCCTTTTTGCTGATAACTGAATTGTCTTTTGCCTTGACGTCAATGACTGTGGGTACTTCTGTAGGAGTGAGGAAGCTTAGCAATAAGTTTCTCAGAACCTTCCATTATACTCAGCGATGTTAAAAACTCCAGTCTGAGTTTTCTAAGATACACCGCTCAAGGTCCGTTCCAGCATCGAATGCGCATGGCGAGAGCTAGTTACACTTGCACTTGCAAGCGCGCACGTTCCGGTGAAGTCATCTTGGCTCATGTGTCCACTCACATTTGCATACGATTGCGCAAGCGCCCTGTTCTTCAATGTATGTCAGTTTATTTAGCCTGCTCTGCATCCAACTCTCCCTGTTAATGACGTCTTCATCAGTAGTATTGGTGGTTGCATACTGTTATAATGCCTTCGGTGTGAGATGGGCACGAAAGCGCTATATTTAATTATCTCATAGAGGGGGTGGAAGACTATTCGCATATGTATGAAGACGGAAGATTCTAAAGGTCTCTGTAATCAAGCCTGTAATTAAGCTAGCATGATGGATCTTCGCACCTAGTCAAATCAATCGGACTTAGCTTAGATCGTGTGGTATTACCTTTTGAATTCACAAACGCTCTTTCTCTATTCCTTGGATCAATTTGATTCAACGAAAATCTGATCACTTTATTGCTTTCCTCGTCAACTCATTTGTCATTTGATTGCTCTTGTGTCTGTGTGTGTCCTTTGACGTCATTGTACGCCGCCTCCCGATAAGTCGCAAATTTGATGAAGCTCAGTGCTGTCACAAAAGCTTACCTACTCATGCGCGTGTACCATAAGCGCGGAAACTAGCCGATTTCCGTTAAGTGCTTTGCTCAACCGTTACTTCTACGTCATTGCTCTCAGAAGGTGGGGAGGATTTTCAAAACCACGAGACATACCCGCATTGTAGGTTATCTCTGTGCTTTTACCGATTTAACTGAATACGGGGTGCCTCTTGTGAATATTGTGTTGTAAATTTGCGGGAGTCATCTGGTTGGACCTGTATTTGTCCATCCCAAAGTGCATACCATAACCTCCGCACTTTCAAGTCCATTATCGTCTCCCCTTTCTTTGTCTAGCCTGTGAAGACTTGCTGAAACGGATGCTAGCCAAATCACCTAGCAAACGGCCCTCCATAGCTGAAATTTACAACTCCAAGTGGCTCTCAGAGATCAATGATCCTGGCTCTGTGCCCTTTCCCCTCGCTTTGGATGAACCCGATTCGGCGGGGTGTCGTGAGCACCTCTCGGCTTCATTAGGCTCAACCTCCGCTTTTACTAACAGCGCTGCCTCCTACCTGTCTGATCAGTTACGGTCTTCGTTTGCCTCGCCCTCGTCTCCAACGCTGGCGGCAGAAATGAAGGTACGCCTAATGCCGAGTTGATTCTGGTCTACTTTCCAATGCTGGAAGTGGTGTACATATTTGCGTTTTTTGCCTTAACTCAGCATTATCCTTTGCATTTGGCGTGCTTCGGGAACGATTCTTGTACGCTAACCGTGGTGGTTTTTTGCCCACTACAGCCACCCCTTATCCATTTTCTGATTGGTTAGATGTGGTAGACTGGATGACGTCATACGAGCTCAGAACGTGTAGTGATGAGGTCACTGCTCTTCGCTTGTGTATACGCGCGCGTAGGTGTGTGCGTACGTGTCCACCTTAGACTTGGCAAACATGCTTTCCTCTGGGCAGTTGATTGGTTAACCGGTGGGGACCATTCATGTTTGTTGTGATTTCTCTCTTGCTCTCTTCCTTCTGCGGTCGATTATGACGAAATGTGCGCAGTGGAGGTGGGGTTGGGGGGAGGAGAAGGGGAGAAATAGGAAAAGGAGAACCACCTGAATCAGACTACTCGTTCTTCTTTCTCTTTCAGAGGAAAGGGTCATAGGCATTGTGGGTAGATTTGAGGCATATCTTGACCTAGTCCCATTTATTGGCCAGGGATACCAAGTTTCCCTAAAATTACTTGGTTTGGGTGTTTGTTTATCCGCATTCCCGGCCATTATTCTAGCTGAGTTTCGGATTTTGGAATTTTTAGTCTTACCCAGTACCCAGTAGGCAAATAAGGATCTGAACTTCCTTATTCCTTTTTTAAGTTTAGGCTCACTTCAAAATTACTTATGCTCTTTTTTAAACTTGTGAAGCTTTGATTTACTTACTCTCTCGACCTCTAAAAAGAGGAAGTGAAAACATTCCGCATTTCCTATGCTTAAAATTCTTCTGAGTCTATTGGCTCCCAATGATCAGCTAAATTTGTAGCCCAAAATTGTTTTAATTAATTAGTCGTCCGAAAGCCTTTAAGCTGTATTCTGACTATACACTCCTAGAATCCTTGGTTCATTCGTTCATGCTGTATATTAATTCCATTTAGCTTCTTCACTCAGTGTCAGTCACGCTTATTGATGGTACTATAACCAGCTTTAAGGGAAGTGCTCACAAATCCGCTTTCTCAAATGTTGCTCTCAGCTAAATTCGAAAAGCAAGAGGATAGTGAAGGAGGAAAAGCACATTTGCACTGACACCACTCCAGTGTACGGCATTGGCAGCGGTAGTTAGATTCGAAGTGACGACGAGGACCAGTGGGGCCGCCACAGGCATTACTACGAATGTTGCTGTGCCTACGTCAACCGGCGATTGGGTGCGTGCGTGCGCCTGTCCATGGGTGTGTGTGTGTGCGCGCATGTGATTTTCTGTCCGTCCCTCCCCTCTCACGCCGCTCCCCATCCCACAGTCGTCAGCCCACGCTCTTATTCGGCTTACCTACCTGCCACGTTTCCATGCGGTCGACTTTATTGGTTGGATCGAATCCCCTCTCACCAACTTTCCCTGTCGTGGACAAAATTTGTCAATTAATCTGTTTCCGTAGTGCTTGTTAAACGTGACTACATTATCAAAATTGCTTTTCTCAAAACGCCTTCGGAACGCTTCTCATCTAAAAAAGCATCAAGATGCCATTTTGTTTAGGTTTAATTTACCAATTTGAATGTAGTGGTCTCTCTTGACTATGTTGAAACACACACTCCCATGAGTGTGAGCACCTCTGTCAATGTATTTACGCATTTTCTTGCTTCTGGTTTCAATAACATTTATTTTAATTTTTCTCTTCCTATTTATGATATTCCACCTTATAATTTTCGTCGGTATTTATGGGCGACCCTAAATCAGCATTTCGTCGGGTTTGTTCAAAACCCAAAAAGGTCCGTTAAGTATCTTGCGAGTCTTAGAAAGGCTATTTAAATTTGGATGTAAGTTTAGCTACTGCCTGAAAACTTAATCTTATAAATGTAAAGCTAATTCCGCTCTGTTCTTCTAATCCTTGTAATTGAATGTATTCCTTTCCTTCTTTTGTAATTTTTCACTTGCTTTGAAGGAAACTTCACACGAATGTGATCAACTCCATTGGTTGGATTCAATTTCACGCTTTCTTAATGCTAGGCACTGAGTTGCAAATTAGGAAAATATCTGTTGGGATCAAAGTTATCAGGAGAAATACCTGCAGGCGATACAACAATCTGGACGAAGCAGGGGCAAAGGAACTGCGCCTCTGTATGTTGGCTGTCTTCCCTTCGGATGGTGCTGTATTTTGCGTAGCGAAAGTGATTGCTCTCCTCAGTCTCCATGCCACTTGGCGTTGGTAGCACACAACCCCTTTTTTTGTGACGACTAACACCTTTGTTCGTGATTGTATTGGCGATTTTTGTTTTCTGGCCTTAACGATGGAGTAGGATGGGCAGTGGTCTCCTCTCTGACTCCATCAAATATTCTGCCTTTCTTACATCGAAAGTCTCATACAGCCCCTATCCAGCCTTCGTGGCTGCTTAGACAGTCTTTGTTGCCCACCTCAACCTTACTCGTTCGATGTCTTTTAAGGTGGTAAATTTTAAGGCACAGGAAAGCTCTCCAAACTGTGGCCTTATTATTTGACTTGGACGTCAACCCTGCATGGCTTGAGGTATCTTTGATGCAGTTATCTTGCATTCGAGTCCAGGTAGCTCACTTATTGATGCACGAATGGTTTGAGGATTCGATAAGGTAGGCTGACTAGACCAATTCTATGCTATCAGTGTAATAATCAAGATGTGGTAAATTTTACGATTACGGCAAGTATTACACGGCACTTCTTCCTCTGCGTGTTTCTACATCACCTGATTGCTCGTACATTGTTTTTCCCATCGGCAGCTTTAAGATAATAAAAGTTGAGGCCGTTTTTGTCTGTACTTAACTTCTACAGTGCAACTTTATGATCTGGCGGAAGGTCAACTGTGAATGAACTCAGTAGTTTTCACTGTACTTCGCAAAATCAGCAATTGTGGATGTGTATCAGGGCTATAAGTGCACTCCTAGTTACAAAGCACTTATAGGCCTGCACGCATTTGATAAACACAAAAGGTTCCGTTACTGTTATTGGTACAGTTATTTGTCAAAATTGGGGTTATTTTTTGTGCGAGTGTGATTGGCGTAATTGAGGCGCCATCAAAGAGTGTTTAGGTGTGCGTATGCATACGACCCCTATGACGTCGTAGGTGTGTATCCTATTCCGTGACAATTTTTCTCTTCACAAACAAATTGTCATCCTCTACCGTCATTTACTTTAGTCGTCTCCTCTGCCAAAACGCTAATCTAATTCGTTCCTGTGTTAGCTGTGATGTTAGATGGTCTGTGCATGCTGTCACTTGACTAAGATGTTTAGGTTATTGCAGTGATGATGCAACTCTAAAACGCTTTAAAAAAACTTGGGTGATTTTTGATTTCTTGGTACAAATATTGCATGAGACTGTCATGCGATTGATGGACTCTGCAGGTCTTCTTCAACTTATCAATTTTTATTAAAAACTTCTTCAAAATCGTTTGGTCACTTCACATTGTATGTTTGTGAAAAGATGAAAACTTCCTCTCCATCATCGTTGGGCAATCCTCATTGATGGAATCTGTGTATTCACTCCTTTTATGGTAGCAGCATCTTCGTTTCTTAGATTCAAATGTAAAATTGCCTAAGAGCTAAATTTTAAGGTGGCGCTATGTTGTATGCTGCAGGCGCTAAGACGTCCCCTTTTCCAGCTTGGCTCTAATCCCATTGTCTGGTAAGCCAAAATCATTCGTCTGACAAATGGGCAAGATTGACTAGGTCTTTTTGGTTAGATTTTCACTACTTATGCGATTGTGTGTATGCGAGGTGACACCATGCACACATCTCTTTCGTTCTCTCAACATCATTCACCGTTATCCATTTCTGTTCCTGCATGTTTTTTACCATTCAATCGGAGAGCACCGTTTTATGCACTCTTCGCTGTGTAGCTTCACTGACTTCCATTTCTCAACTATTGTTGTTCCATTTCATGAGCGTCTGGGGCGGCAAACATTTTATTCTTAATTTTGCATTGTAAAACATCCCCTACTATGACCCATCTTAGCACATCCATAGGAATAGTTGGTGACACAAGCACCTGTGGTGTAAAGAGACAGAAAAGTGGCATATTTGTAACGACTAGCTTACTTCTGTTGCATCTACTTTTGGCTGCTTCGAGAGGTTCTGAAATGCTCTTAAGGAGTGCCTTATAATTCTCTTCGAATGAATCCAAAACACTACGTATGGATCGGTGGATCACTCGGCGCACCTACCCAAAATCTCGGACTAAGGAACTGCAGTTGTGCAATACTGTTGACTTCTATGGGACCTTAGGTGTTCTAGAAAATACTCACACCTTGATTTTGGCTTTTTCAACCCACAGATGGCCACCAACTTCATGTTGTCTATTCCACCTTACATTAGAGTCATGCAATCGTCTGGATTTGATGATATAAACGGTAGATGATCATACGTAAAACAATGCCTTAGGAGGAATGATGGTGATAATGGAGGAACATGCGAATAAATATGGGCATGAGTATCCAGTATCATCTTCCCAGTTTTTCTCGCAAATTCCTTACAAGTTGAATAGCCTTTGGGCTCTGTTCTTTGTTGGATAATAGGCGGCAGGTAGGTGACACGGGGTGGAAGATGTGTTGTCTCCGAGTGCCCAAAAGTAGTCGTCTTTTCTATTAACTGATTCACCTGTCAGCCCTAATAAACTTTTGGATTTGCAGTGGGTTGTGGTAGTTTGAGCGAATTTTAGCGTACGCAGTGAGAGAAAAGTCAAGCGTGGTTTTCTGAGTTGGAAATGATGCAAACTTCTGAATTGTAAGGTGGGTGGATGCTACTTGTGTAATTAGTTGATTAGTCGCATGGTTATGTGGTATCTGCTGCAGTTTTTTGCTAGATCGGTATCCAAATACGAGGGACAGCCGGAATTAGAAGTCAATATGTGGGAGGAACCCTGCCATTTTCTGGAACTTTATCTTCCAAATGGGCGCTTTGTGGGGGCTGTCGTATGAGTAGAGACACGTTGTTTATAGTCATTATGAAATGTCAAGTCTTCCTCTTATCTTGGAGTTGTCCTTTATCAGAACCATGTCGATAACTGAAATTGTCAAACCTCGAATGGTACATGTTGTATAACCCCTATAAAGCAGTTTGTACAAGAACAGATCTTCTTCAACTCTGAGGCTGGTTCACCACCCACTCTTAAAGCAGTCAGGTTCCATTGAGGTGCATTGGCTGGAACTGGTATGAAATAAGGAGAAAATATGCTGAAATATGCTCAAAGATAGCAGATTATGTTAAAAGCACTGTTCCAGTCGTTTTTCACATCTACGTTTTGCATTTCATGCGCGTGGACAATCGAATGTATCAATTGTGTTCCCATAAATCACCGCAAGCTTCGCAGGCGGATCACACCCAACGGCACACTAGCGTTTGCGACCACCTAATGCAAATATATAGTGATCGGAAGGCAGATGTGGTATGGTTGAAGGGTGGCTGACGAAATAGCTTGCTTAATCTGTTATGCAAACAGAACGACTTCCAATTTGTTATAAATTACCTCTTTCGTGTCAAGCACCATTCAGCTGCCTAGCCTATTCATCCTATCGCTATCGCCAGGCTGGTATTGTTCCACTCAATAAGCAGTTCGGAATCGTCGGTGCACTCCAGGCTACGGTCCCCCTTATTGGCCAATGCATTTGCTGAGGAGTCGCTCTTCAAAATGCTTTTTTTAACTAATCTCTCTCCTCACTACCAAGACGTAGAAGTGGGGTAGGGGAAACGCATGCTCACCTGGAAGAGCCTTTGAAAGTTATATATGAAATGGTTATTTCGTTTTGTTCGGTTTCTTTAAGGCTCTTGCGCGCGAAGCCAAATTATTTGCCACGCATTTGTAATGTCTGCCTTAAAGTGCCACTATTAAATATTCCCTTTCCATCTCCATCTCCCTTCTGGAATTATTCTCTTTCGGACAATGTAGGCGTTTGGTCTGATTCAATTTATCTAACTCCTTTTCTTCAACCGCTTGTTTCCCCACTCCCTCTCCCCTTCACGTCTGCGGTCGGTTGTGTCTACTTCCGATACACTCCGATTTGAGTGTGAATACACACAGTCAGACAGTCACTTGGCCATAGAATCTGGCAAGGTGAAAGGTAATGGCCGCATTACTAGGCTTCCATTTTTGGCAACCGCTTGGTGCACGTGTCACAGGTGGTCACATGATACGTAGTTTATTCTAACCCACACTCTCCCCTTATCCTTGTCGCCCTTCTCTCGCTTTATTCCCTTTCTTATTTAGGCAGGAAAACTTGATCAAACAGTCATTCAAATCATGGAGAACTCAGGTATTGATCGTGGTCAGCTTCTCGAAGTGAGTTTGCCACCCTCCCCTTCACATTTAGTGTGCTAAATTTTATGCCTCTTTTACTTCCTTTCTTATTTCTCGTAGTCTCTAGGACGTTGTGCCTATGACCACCTGACTGCCACCTATTTGCTTTTGGGCGAATCGCTTCGTACAAATCGACATAGTCTGCCGCAGACTCTTGCTCCACGCACTGAGGAGATTGAGGTCCTACGTCAGGCACGCAATCGGCAATCACAACAGAATACTAATCATCATCACTACCACTATCATTACAATCATCAACAGCAGCAGCCACACGCCCGTTCTTCCTGTCCTTCTGGTGGAGTTGCCGTTGAACTGCTCTTTCAACATCACCTTCCTACGTGGTACCAGCACGAGGCTTTGGAACGTCGGGGCGCCTGTTTGGGTGTGAAAAACTCGCCTTCAATCTCCGTTGCTACCGCGGCTGCCACCGATGTCAGTAGTGGCAGTGCTGACCGTGGCAGTGGTAATAGCAGTGCAAGTGGCGCAAATTCCACAGCCAATGTCTTTGTGAGCCCCGGCAATGGAGGCTTTGGTGTCGATAATGCTAGTAGTGGTGTTGGTGTGAATGACGTCCCTATCTATCCCTCCTCTCATCCCCGTCAAGGCTTCCTCTTCGGACCGACGCTGCCCCGTGTGGCGGAGTTTGCAGGGCCCATTGGCGGTGTTGGTCTAGGTGTCGGTCTCCGACGTACTGATGCTTCACCGTCACCACCAACCTCGCCGATTAATCTGAGCAGTCGCAATGTTGAGGGCGACTGTTTTGAACCCGACTGGTTTCCTTACCAATCGGAGGGCGTTGCTTCTTCGCCCGCACCTATCTTCTCTTTTGGAGGCGAACTTACTCCTCGGGTGGGTCTCTTGCTGGTGTGCCATCATTCCACTTTCTCCAACATTGTTTGAATGCACTTACCACTCCTAACAGTCCGAGCTTGCCAGCCTCGGAGGGTAGACAGTTTGCCAGTAAAAAGAATTGCTACCAACGGGATTGAAGACTTCCATGCTGACTTTAACATTGCTTTAGAAATTACTTTTCTCCATGTTGGTAATAGCAAGAGCACCGTCATTGCCTTTTTTTCAGCAAAGCAACCGCTCCATACTCGGAGCGCCCTCCTATACAGTGAATCCCCTCCGTACTGCAAATGCGATGTTCTTCTCCACTAATCCAACGGAACCAGTCGAGGTCTGCACAGCGGCCCTCCAACACACTAACGTCTCAAATCCATTTGGAGGGCATCAGACTGCTGCTGCACGTGAAACCGATTTGTCCTACCCTCATCCCCTTACCACCATGCCCTCAACTTCAGGGGATACTATTCCTCATTCGCATCATCAACAGCGTCGCTATAGTGCTACTGGTGCTTCCACTCGCCTCCTTCATCTTCCCCCACCACTTTTACAGTGCGCCTGCGAATCTCAACACCTCTATGAAAAGTCTGTAAACGACGAACATACTAGTGGTCTGGGAAGCTCCATTGAGGCAGACTCACATCACTCTAGCTTCTCTCAACCCACTACTGTTGCTCCTTGCCTCACCGTTTCGCACTTTGCTCCCATGGAGACAAGTTTCAATGAGGATGTAGGCATCGACATCCCCGCTCGTACGTCCCGTAAACATATTTCTGCACACTCGCCACTCCAGTCCTCTTCCTCCTCGTCATCTGCGGCTGCAGCTGCAGCTGCTGCAGCAGCTGCCGCCGCTGCTGCTGCAGCACTGGTGATCGGATGCCCACGTCGCAAGTTCGGAGTGAGTGAGCGTCCACCGGCACTGGCGGAGCAATTGAGCCGGTTTCAGGGTCTTGCACAGTTAGGCCAGTTGCACCAACTGGCGACTAAGGGTGTGGGCGATCAACAACCACCGACCCAGCCCTACAACAGCATGGACTTTTGAATGTGTGTGTTTGTGTGAGTTTGTCCGTGCTTATATAAGTTATTTCATCTACCTACTTACTCGTCCACTCATCTACCCCGTATTCATCCCCTTTTCCTTTACCTTTTCTTTGTTCTCTCTATTTCTCCCTGCCTCTTTGCTCCTCACACTGCTTCTTCTCGTGATCTTGCAAATGCACTTGTTACTTGTGTAAATATATTTACTTGATACTATCAGCGTATGTCGCGTTACAGCGAGCGATCCTTTTTTAACTGTTTTTATGTTTAAGCATCACAAAATCACATTTCAAGACCTTTAATTGTCAAATCAGTCAGTAATCACTAATTACTTTTGGGTATTTTTGTATCTACATCTTCAGTTCTTGTAAATACCTGCTTCATAGCCTTCTATTAGTCCATGAATATCGAGTGTTTGTTGATGTGTAGTGGTAGCAGTAGTAGTAGCAGTGGCAGTGGTGGTGGTAGAAAGATGAGGCACGAATGACCTTTGATCGGCGGCTTCACATCAATAGAATTCGCCCCCGTTTGTGGAGCGCATCTTTAACTTGGAATGCTAATATTGCTAGCTATTCACTGTGAAGAAAAACTCACCATGAAGTAGCTTTATAGTGATCCCACTTGTTTTGGAGGGCTGAAGTCTAGCACAATGAATTGCGCATGCACAGTGTTTCCAGAAATTGTGCCTCAATTCAGACGCATCTCTACACTCCGCCTTGGGGCACTTCAACGTTTTCCCCACCCTGAGGGGGGTGGGTCTTGCAAAAGTATCACCAGATTTAATTACTGCATGTTTTGTATCAAAGTAAGATGAATGCGTGACTGAAGTGTGCAACTTTGGTACATTTGCTTTTACTAAGAGTTGAGGGTAAAAGTGAGCAGTCCGGACAAGGCTGTGCTCAGCCATGTTGTGGGCTAATGCCGCTTTTATGTGTTTTGACCGGCCTTTTTGCATTTACCCTTGGCAACTTTGTTAGGTTTGAGTGCAGAGCAGGCTAATTGCTGCAGTAATATGTGGTGATGGATACTAACTAGCCGGAAAAGCCATTTTGCAAGAGCGGGTCTTCGCTCACTTGCATTAAATCAGGTAAGCCTTTGAAAATAAGGCAGGAGACAAAGTGATCACCTTGGGGAGAACTTGAGATGGATCGGTTATCGCCACCCCGATAGGCCGAATAAAGCCTGCCTCAAGTGGGTGCCAAACGTGTCCTGACTGATTTGATGCCCTTAGAAGAGTTCCTTTGATAATGCCGCCTATGTTTTAGCCTTCAAATGTCGAAGGGTGTTGTCCTTTGTCATCAAAACAGACCTCTGATGTTTATCTTCTTAGGTAACAACTTCCTATTCCTGTTACATCAATTATTAGTTTTTTTTCGTTTTCTTTTGGTATATTTCAAGTATTTTAGCAAAAATTGAGGATCATTCCAAAGGTGTGTACTGAACAGAGAGGTACACCGTTCTTTCCTTAGCGTTTACGTCTAGTGGGATGGCTGAAAGGAGGAGAAAAAGAAAAAGGTGTTAAGATCCAAAATGGTGGGCTAGACCGCGGCGTCAGTTGCTCTGTTTTACTAATGAACAAGGAATGACGTCAACTTCCGTGGCGGTATTTAAGTCTCAACACCCGGAGGGCTTGGAGTGAGGCGAAAGGTGGAGAAACTGCTCTTGTGCACATTGGTGTGGCAAGCGAAGAATGGAAGATGTGCCGTTCCCTGCTGATTTGCGACACATTCAGCAAATGGTATAACAACATTGCTTGTCAACTGTTACTGGGAGAAATTTCCTGTGGACTCTGTTTGTTTGACACTTCAACTGTCAAGTCGTACTACAAAGCAACTGAATGAATTCGGAAGAGGGCAAACCTCATGTACAGTTTTCTGTCCATCTCCCTGTCTCAGTGCCATGGAATTACGTTTGGCACAATACTTAATTGAATGCGGAAATTACTTAAAGAAATGGAGTTAAAATGCTACTTGTCCGGACTTTTCAGTACATAGCAGCACTTTTTGTCAAAGTAAAGCGATATTTCGTCAACCACCTTGGTGCTAATTACATTGAAACAATTCTTTTCTTTTAGGTAATAAAACTAAATCTGTCCTCTGCTAAATGAGCGAAAAATCCGAAAATTCTGTAGTTTCACATCGATTACTGTTCGGCGCAGGCTGATCATTGCGGTCTTAACCGTCAAAGTCACACTTTCCCTTCTAAGTCTCGAAGGCTCTCGAAGTCACCTCAAAACAGTCTTCTTGAAGGCGCCAACAACCCTTGCAACCGGAACCATTCGATCGTACCGCAAAATCTCTGTTGACCAACGGAAGGATCTTTAGTTTAATTTGGCATAAAATTTTCTGTAAGAGGCTAAGTCCTTTTTTAATCCTTTGCTTTTTAGTGCCAGTTTACGTGGCAGCTTTACTTTTGCTCCTTCCTCGGCTCTACCAGTAGCTTTAAGTCTGCTATGCGCAGATAACACATTCCGTTGACTGTCATGCCTTCTTCTGTGTTCAGGGAAGTTTCGATGAGCATCAGTGCGTGTACTACGCTTGGTATTTCTTTTCATTTGTTTTGGAGCCGATAGGGTTTGTTTAGCTGTTTGATTCTCGTATGCTGGTGCGGAAAACAATCAAGTGGCCCTGTCTTAATCTTCTTGCGGGGAAATTTCTGATGGACTGGCATTGTGTGTCCGTTAATTAATCTTTAAGGTTGAAGTGGCTACAACTGTAGCGCTCTGAGTCTCCTGATTTCTAGAGAAGGTGTGACACTTGAAGAGATCAGGTACTGACAATGCTCGCAGAATTGACCCCATTGACATGCCCTGGAGACCAGAACACTTGGATAAGTTGTCATGAAGAAGGCTATCGTTAGCCTGTTACTGAATGTTACAACGCAAATCATAACTGGAAGAGCATATTCGTTCGTTTTTTCAGAAACATTCACTTTACTATGATCAAGACACCAGCAACTTGGACAGAATTTGGCAAGCCTTATTATGACACTTAAATTGGCGACCTTTATGGGTCAACAATAGGAGCGTTAACTTCTCTTGGAGTTCGAGTGATGGTATGCGGCATCAGAAATACCAACTATAAAGCGTGATCTGATGCCTGAAAGATGGGCACAATGTTGTCACCGAATTAAGAGCACCGTCTCATAGTGTTGTCCGTTCTAGGGATAGTGTCGAGCAAATCAACTTTACTTCGATTCTGTTACCTGCTCAACCTCCCTTCTCCAATCGCCCTCAATTTTCCTGCTCTATTCTTCGCTATGTTATTATTTCCTTTTGTGTGCGGTGTTTGCCCATAACTGAGTCATAAAATAAGCACCATAAAGTCATTAGAAGCGTCTCAGCTCTGATCAGTGATCGGGGCTACTACCTCACAGTGCTACAATTTGCTTTGATGGTTTCTTAAACACTCAATGGGTGCATTGGAACTGCTTCACTTAGAAATATTTCACCCACACTCACACGGAAACAAACATTTAACCAGCAGATTATGCGCTCAGGATTCAGCCTGGCATATGCTCCACACCAGGACACTTTTATTCGACACCTCCTGACACTCCGCCTAATTTATCCCCAGTAGTCCAGCCTCGGAGAGAGGGTGGGAGGCAGCCACCATGAATAGCTCATAAGTCTTCCAAATCCTCCTCCCAGTGGTAAACGATGCTTTCCAGAACAACAAATAACATGCACTTTGGGAAATCAAGAGAAAAAAGTGTAGTCTAACGGGTTCAAGGAAACTATGCGTTATAAAAGACTTTAATAATAGTAAAATTCTAATCTACCATCCTAGATGACAAACATTTGTTGAGGATGAAATTGATCTGTTTATAACTTTGATGTTTGCAGAGAAGGGCGATGTGCTACGCTTTTTATTGCCTACATGCTAGTGGTTTGCAAGGTCTCCGCTAACAGTTGTTCCAAACAGAGGTAACTACAGCGTCAGCCCTCGGACCCCCATCCTTCACCCATCGCCTTACTTGCCACCAAGCTTGTGGTCACGTGAGTGTCATTTGGCGGCGCGAGAGAGCTGCAGTTGTTGTCGCCTGTCTCTCCGTGTTTGATGCCACAGGCCTTGTCACATCGGCTAAACAATAACCCAGTTTTAGGACACTCAGTGTTGACTTTTATCTTGCGAATTTTAGAGGTTGAATCAAATTTAATTAACATAGTTGAAGGATGTCAACCATCAAAAATGAAATAAACAAGACTTGAAGCTTGCACTTTTCCGACAAGTTTTTATGTCCTAAGTCGAGGCATCTGTGCTCATTACGAAGTCCCATTCATAAAAAAACCGAATTACATATGAGATCTAAGCGCTAGATTCCCCCCGAATTCGTAATGGGGCAAAGTACAATAGGGACAACGTGCTACATACGCAAGAGGGACGGACAGAGGGAATTACCAGTTACCTGGAATACTCGCGGCGGGGATTCAAGTGCTTACTCATTTAAAAGCACAGCTAAGCAATATGCCCTATCAGGATAAAGCCAATTGCATCATTTAACTGTTTGTGTGTGCCATTCCGTCCGATTAAACACAGGTTTGAGTCGCACGTTTGTGACTATATTCCAGCAAGTCTCCCTCAATACCACACCTATTGATGATGCGTTAGTCTAGCAGTAAATATTTCCTTGCTTATGGACGATTTGTTTAAGTTGCGGTTGTAATGTGTACTGGGTTGTCTAAAGTGCTTCCTGTAAATGGGAAGTATGAGGACAATCTGTACGTCAGAATCGCAAAGCGTGAGGGCACCATTTTTTTAAGGTTGTAGACACTCTTCTTTACTCCCCGCTTATCCTTCGTGCTTGTACCATTTAATTGCCAAATAACGCCATTCAGAGAGAATCTTTTTCAGAAGAGCCCTCAAACAAGGTCCTGAAAATAGAAGGGAAATTACAGTGCCAGCTAAACTAGCAGTGGTTTTTTGCAGTTTTGGTGTCTAGGTGAAAAGAGCTTTTAGTTAGCACAATAAAAAAATGAGGACTTACGAAAAAGAACTTTTCTGG